GCTACGAGATGCAAAGGAGCTTGGTGGTACAACAACTGTTATTTTTCAAACCTCAATGGCTTGTATCTGGGTGCAGGTCAGACTAGTGACACGGGAATAAGCTGGTACTATTGGAAACGTTCATGGTATTCATTTAAAAAGACAGAGATGAAAATTCGTCCAAGCCAGTTTTAGGATAAAGCACTTTAATTGCTGAAAACGTGAGTTTGAGGATGTTTTTTGAATCCCAAGTTTCAAATTGATTATTAGGTGATTTAAATCTGAATTAATTAATGTCGCATGCAGTATTTTAAATGATTATTTAAATAATATTAAAGGTGAGTTAGGCCTATTTTCCCCCTCAACCGTATCGTAGCGAAACGTAGCGTATCTCATTGTTTAAGTCATTAGTTCTGGTTGAATACTCCATAAACATAGAAATACCATGACGCTACGTTACGCTACGTTACGAACCCGCGTCTGGGTTCTGCTCAAGACAATGAGTAGTCTACTTGTTTCAAAATTGCTCAAATTTCTTATGTTTTGTAAAAAACTCTCTCTCATATTCATTTAAAAGTTCAGCGAACTAAAAGCGTGTCAAATATTCTGAAAGTTATTGATATTTTAGGAAATATATACGGATTGGAAATGTAAGCAAAGCGTTTGTTAACATTACGGCCGGACTGCGCCCTACCTTTAAGTGATGGTAATTAATTAATGAATAAACAAAACGCCGGCATTACTTGTTGGACACAATCATGTCGTGTTGTGGGAAACCTATAGCGTAAAATAATCCTTTGTGGTTACCCTGGGCGTGGGAGGATATTATATGGTGATTTACAGTTGGTGTACGGTATTTAGTAGACATTTCTTGTGACATCGATGTTCTGTTAAATTCATGCATGGATCGGTGCGATTCTTGATGAGAAATGAATAATTTTCATGAAAAGTTTACAGTACTGTAGTGCATAGTTTCTGCTAAATAAAATCGAGGTGACAACAGCGTTAACGAAGTTCGCCTTATAGCTATATACATGTGTCGCAGAATTCACTGGCTTCGTTCAGTAAATTGACCTGCACACGCTGGTTTTACTTTTATCTTTAATTTACAACAATTTCACATAACAACTCTCGTACAACAATCTAAACAATCTCAAAACGCTCTAAAACAATCTCCCTATAATACAGCTCTACACATTTACTTATAGTCCCGGTTCGGAAACCGTTCGATCGGACGTACTTCGTTTACCTTGGACATCGTGCCCGTTTCGATACATTTTGGCAAAAACAGTCAAGGCTAATACATTTAGAATCGTTTCCTGTTATTTTTCGTTATTTCACATTCATCCTGTTCGTTCCATTCATTATATAGTAAATACATTTATCGTTCACATAAACACACTGACAACCACGCACATTTTACTGATTTACTAACATATACACACAATATTTCCAACAACATGATCTAACTACCAGTGAGATAAATGTAGCTAGGTTTCGTTACAATTTGAATATAATTAAGAGACTCCATAAAAAAGCTAAGTGGCTGACTTTAAGTTTCATTAAAATAATCAATATTGAAGTGATGCCAATTTTATGAACATTGAGGAGGAATGCAATTTATCCATATATTGCAAAATATTAGTATTACATGTGCTTTCGATATTCAGGCGAGTTCTAGTTGGGCCTTGATAAAATACATCGTTTATTCAAATCTGGCCAAAATGTTCTAAGAATTGATTTGATGGATTCCAATGGCGCTGAGGCTTTCGCTAAATACGGAACGTTTAGTGTTGCTGATAAATCAGACAAATACAGATTGAAAATTGGCAGTTATTCAGGTAAAACACATCCTGCTTGGTGGGTTATTTATACCATACACATAATTATGAAAGTTTTAAATTATACCATATATTTAATCGATATACGCTTTTTTATAGCTAATAACACTACCACCAGGGACAAAGACAGAATTGGCCAATCAAAGTCGTATATTTCTGGGTTAACTAGGATTTAACTATGCAAAATGTATTTAAAGAGTTTTACACAAGCGGACCCAGTTTTGATTTTACCATAATTATTTATGCCTGGTTTTCAGGTTGCATGAAACCATGCTGGCATAATATTCTTCTGCATTCTATTCCGTACGATTGCGCTTCCTGGTATTTTTAGGGCAAAAAAATACATGATTGAAACTTCCAAGTTTAACAAGGTTAATACACCTCAAGATTATACCTTTCGTCATTAGCAATGTTGAACTTCATTTACATTTTGTTAATTAAACGAAGGAAACTCGTAACTAAAGATATGTATACAAAAGACATATATACAAGAATGTCGGGCCTTAATTTTGACGATCTGACAACTAAAAACAGATCATTATATATAAGTAAAGTGCTAGTAGGTACACCACATTAGTTTTAACACTGTTAAGTATTTAATACTTACGTGGTATACATACTTTATTGAGTTATTATGTTCAAGTTATCATGTTAGCTTTATTAAGTTATTGTGTTCAAGCTTTACTATCTTAGTTATCGTTATCAAGTTTTATTAAGCTTTATTGAGTTATTTAATAAGTTTTATTATTTGTGAAGTATTTAATACTTACGTGGTGTTCCTACTATTTTACTTTAAATTATTTTGATGTCACGGTGCAAAAAGGTCGTTATGAATGATTCGTATTGAATTTTTCGACAAATCTTAATTAAGAAAAAGTTGAACTCATTAGATACCTTTTTCAAGAATTTTCACTTATTTAAGCCTCGCCCGCATTCAAAAACTCATTAAAGATTGTTTTCCATCCGGATTCATTGCAAATTTCCACCATAGATCGCCGGACAAAGAATAAATTTCGGATAAAAAATCACTAATCGAACGATTCAAATAGCAAAGACAAAAAACTTCATGGGAAAATTACTATATATCACTTTCTGTTTTAAAATGTTATTCACAGATAAGTCAGTTTAATTATATATTCGTAATAGGTGACGCAGGCGACTCCTTCGCTTATCAGAACCAGATGCAGTTCACTACCAAGGATAGTGACAATGATGTTGATAGTGATAATTGTGCTACGAAGTACAAAGGAGCTTGGTCGTATAAGAGCTGTTATTCTTCCACCTGTTATTCCTGCACCCAGGTACAGGCCAGACCGACGGCGCTGGGATAAACTGGTCTGGTTGGCACTATTTTTCAATTAAAAAACGGAGATGAAAATTCGTCCAAGCCAGTTTTAAGGTTAAGCCAGGGACACAATTATACTTACTGGCAAGAATATAAGTTTGAGACTTTTTCTGAATCCTAAACATAACAAGATAAACTTATTTTCGATTGGTTATTATGTGATTTTAGTCCGTCAAAAATATTATTTTAATTAAATAATTAATGTTAAGCCTATATCGAACGTTTGCACGAAACAGTTGAACGTCTTTTTTTATTTTTTTTTTTACATTTATTAATTAATATTTAATATTGAAATCGCAAAAATTTTCAGCCTATTGCAATTAAGCACGTTGAAATAGTTAGTCTCATTTTTCCCTGACAAATCTGACAAACAAGGTCAATTTAAAAGTTTCAATCCATACATATTTTGCGAGTAGCACTATAACCCCGTTTGTGGCATGCTATGCAACGTCTAATTCACGAACGAAACCCGAAAATGGCTGTGTGGATATACCTTCTCGAGAATCTCGAGAATAAATTAGCTCAACAAATGTAGAAAATCAGAGAAAACGTATTATATTCTCCCACTGCATGAATGTACGATCCAAAATCTCACTTTCTTACTATAACGCAGTTCAAAACAGCAAGTACTCTTTGCAGAAACGGAAACAAAGTTGAAGGCAAGCTGCGATAAGGTGTGTATAAAGAAGCAACATTTTTAAGACAGTTCAGTTAAATTTGAATAAAGCAAACTCGCTAGCTACAGCAGCAATCGATCTCGTATTTTACTTGTGTTTATACTTGTTTATCGTTTTTACTGCATAGCAAAATGTATGGATTTAAATATGAGACTGCTTTACAGAACAGTTTTAGAAACATCCCAATTAAACTGTTCATCAGTCTACTGCATGTCATCACTCCAAATCATGAATCGAAACTTTATATCGCGAGGCATACAAAGATCGATTCAAAACATCCAGAGTCAATTAATTTAATCGGCTTCAAACATTCGTTTAGTCGCATATGAGTCGCTTGGCTGATCGCGTTCATTTTAATCTGGAAACTTAATTGTCATTTTTTAGTTTGGTATCAGGTAAGATCATATATTACTGCTATTAACATGGCATGAAAATTAAAAATTGCTATACAGCGTTGCAGTGTTAGGGTTTTCTGTACAACAAAGAACATCTGTGTATTTATATAACACAAAAGATTTGTTCTAGAGCTTGCTTTATTCAGATATACGGGTGACGTCTGGTCATAAATCGTCAAAAATTAATCTATAAAAATGCTGTTTATGCTTACACAGCATAAAAAAGCAGGTTGAAACGTTTCCAACTTTCATTAAGTATGTATTTACTTTTCGCGCTTAAATCAACTTGCAACTGCTAGACTTATAAGAACGATAAGTATGCATTCTCCAACAGCCCCACTTAGTTGACTCTAAGTCCCAACTCGGCCCCTGAATCCGTATTCGACATGCATTTTTCATTCCAATTTCCTTTTCCCGCGAATTTGATACAGAGTTCCTATACAGAGTTATGTGTCTGTGGCTCTCCTACAGATCGAATTGAAAAAACGAAGGCTCTTGGCTCTCTTTTAATATTGAGTTGGGCGCAAAAAATATATATTCCAGAGCTTATGGTAGTATTGCGTCTAATCCCAACTTTTTAAAGCAGAAATACCAGCGAACATTCAGAAGTCAGCCATTTCAATCATTCCATAAATATGAGATCCAGGCTAATTTTAAGTGAACCGATTTCAATAAGTTAGTAAGCCCCGATCATCATATTTCTTTCTAGTCATGTATTTCACATTATGGGCAAACAACTCTCTGTTTTAGCGCGCTGAACATGTTTCGCTTCAAACTGCTGGTAATCAATGTCCTGATCACGTGGAACTCATTTGTCTCTCCTGAAATTAAGGTCAGATGATTTCAATGTCAATTCTTGATTTGTTAATCCACCTGCAGTTAACCCTGCAAATAGTACTCTGAGCATGCGCATTTGTTAAAAACGTTGCTCACCTGCAAATAATACTCCGAGCATGCGCGTTGGCTTCAATTTTGTAAACAGTAATAGCGACTCGCTTTGCTGTACTTTAGGAAAATGAGTTGTATTGCTTACTCGTAGAAAATACGCGGAAAATACCCAAAAATAATAAAATAAATGAATGATAAAAGAATTATTGAACTCGGTTCTCGCAAAATATCGTGATTTGTCGGTGGCTTGCAGAATAATTGGATCTGCTCGCCGCCGAGAAAACACGATATTTTGCTCGACCTCGTCCAATAATTAATTATTATCGCCTCATTATCGATTATCTCTAGTATCGTTAAAGTTAAATCAAAATGAACTTGTCGATGTATTTTGACAGATTGTGGACATTCAAACAGGTTATGATCCTGGCTCGTGTAGCAAGAAGGAACGTGGTTTGTTAAAATTGATCAAAGATCTTTCAAGCAATGATAAACTGTTAATTTGCGCTGAACAAAATGGAGTTTATGCCTGGAAAACAACGGACGGTAAAGTTCTTTGCGTAACGTGCAAAAGTTCCAGAACATTCTGTCAATTCCCAACACTTTTGTTTAGTTTTTCGAAATCCCGAAATGAACAATGATTTTATTTCTAGATGCCAGTCCCTTTGGCGAATATTTCAACCCCGGCTACGACTGCACGGATATTCTGAATAAGAATTTTGAGTCTCGGGATGGATTTTATTGGATAAATTTGAATCGAGGTGCTCCAAAGAGGGTTGGTAAATTGATTATTGGTCCTTTATATATTCAGCTACATGGTTCTAGCCGATGCACGTGGAATAGTGCACAATAGAAATCGGACGGGCAGAATTGAATGTATCAATATTCCTTAGCCACTCAATTATTGTTCTAGTTACGCCCTAGATTAAGCAGTGCTATTTTCTGCCCATTCTTAATTGCTCATTTTTACCGCAGATCTATTGTGACATGACAACAGATGGAGGGGGATTTGCGTTGATTGGTAAACTCAACAGCTCTGTAACATGGAAAGTTCCATCCAAAAACACAACAGTTGATCCATTTGGTGAATCTCAGTTGTCCAGTGATCTCGGTGACGCTCAAGTTCTTGATTTCAGAATACAAATATCAACCACGGAAAACTTAAAGCTAAAGCAAATGCTCACTGGTAATAATAAATTAAATTTATTGCCTGTTGAAAATCTAATATCAAATCTCCAAGCTGCTTTGAGTCACATACAACCACAGTATATCAAGAAATCACCTTCATAAGAAATCTGTCAATCAAAGATCAAATTATTCAATCGCTTGAGTTTTCAATATTCCAGTAACTGAATATTTATGCACTCAAACCATCTTTCTAAACCAAAACATCTTCCTAAAAATCATTCCTTATCTTTGCAGGTCCTACAAACTGAGAAACACCCGGCCTCTTGAAAATATCATGATTGTTAATCAGAGGGGTTGTGGAGCGACATCACCAGGCATTGGTGACATCGCTTATGTCAAAGATCTCCGGACTGAGAAAATCGTCGCGACAAAATTTCGCTGCTCACAGTTTGGACTACATCAACACTTTTTTCTTAAAATTGGATGGGTTGGTATTTAAAGTTGTTGTTGATTGTCCTGTTTAGAATTTTATTGATAGTTCAAGGATCCGTTTGTTGGTATATTTTATTGCTTATATATTAAAAGAAACGAGGATTTTTCATTTGCTTAGTTCCTGAAATACACGAATCAAATAGATTTTCAATTTATTTTACTTTCAGGCAATGATGAACGAATGCTTCGAAAAACAATGTCCTCAAGGTTTTGCTTTTCACCCGAAGTATCCCATTCAAACTGACTCGTCAGAATCTTTCAGGTATAACTTAGCAACGACATTTGGATGCACTTACCGTATCTTATTTTTATACGGGTCCCCGTTTTTGATCAAGGGGGCAAAAGGGATGCTGATTTGAAATCAATTGTAAAAACTATACCCTGTCAAAAGGTAAAGTGCACCTTACAACTTAACGGTTCTAAAACATTTTTGTTAAATAAAACGGAATGATGTATTCCGGATATATTGCTTTTAAAAAAACTTGCTATGAAAGCTTTGTTTTATCGTAACATTATTTACAAATTCGAAATAGCAACTGTAGTCAATAACGGTTTTCAGTGTCTTCATAGAGTAGAATAGATTGTGCGGCGGAGATGTTTACTAAAGTTGAAATCACTTGATGCACGAAATAACCAACAAATATTTTTCCACAATTTCTGCATATTACAGCTAGAGTGTGGTTAGCGAAACATCTGGAATCAGTCGCAATTCAACTGCATTCATCGGCTGTGATAAAGGAGTGGTAGGTCAACAGAACTGTTCTCATTCCAGACTTTGTAGACTTTAAATTTTCTGAACTATCCATATATTTTGGATACGTTGGATACTTTTTAAACAAGGCTTCGAACTGGCTTTGATGGCTTATAGGCGTAAAAAGCGAAACTTTTAGTCATGATAAAGTGTTTAGTCCATGTATGCACAAATAATTCAATCCAAGGTGTCAATCTCAATTTTAGTGCTGCAGTTGTTTTAGTCCACCAGATAGCACAGACGATCTCTGTGGCACCGATTGTAAAGCAAAACCTGGCGCAAATGTGGTAAAGAATGTTTATTCATGGTTCTGGGTGAGGACATCTTCTCCAAAGAAAGTTTGGAACAAATGCATGGATTATAAAGTTTCTGAAACTAACGAAGACGAGGTCTGGTGCAAGTTGGTTGGTCAAAACGTTATCCCCAAGAGAGTAAGTCAGTATCAATTTGCTCCGCTATTTTTCTAGCTTTGATGAATGAATTTTTGAATTTCCATTTTTATCCAAGATTATAGTTGTTCCTGATAATAAGACTATTAATAAAATTCCAGCAGTCCCAGGAATATTAAAATTTCAAAAGGACAATCAAAAACTTTATGTAAGATCAAATGAAAGATGGAATGTGATTGCAGAAGAGAGAAAGGTAGTTATTATATTTGGGAGCCCTCTCTATAAGTCTATCATTTTTCACCGTTCCTATACAAGCTTTTCCTAATCATTCATCGTTTTATCTCAAATCGAGTAATATTTTTAAGCCAAAAGTTTCCGCTTCTTTTGTGCTTTTACTCTCCCTTTTAGGTCCTTTATTTTCTTTAGGATTCTATCATTATAGCTTGCTAACCAATCTTCAATTAGCAACCTCATCGTCATAGCAGTTGAAATTTGTTTGGGTAATTTATCATGTGATGGCGAGTACAATTCCGGATTAAAACTGTAGTATACGAAAATAGGTATCCCAGAAATTTTTCGTTCTCGTGGCGCTCGCGCGTGTACGCAAGTCTACACGGTCTATTATTATGTCAAGGTTGGCAAAGTTTTTTACTAAAATATACTACAACGTTTGGTAAGACCTGAATATCTTGCAAATTACAAAATTAATAAAAATAATAAAATAATTGCATCGGTTTAAACGCCGGTAAGGCATATTCATGTTATCTTGTACGTTTGCATGGTGCCATCAAAAAAGGTAATTTAGCTTGTAGGTACACTACGTAAGTATTTAATACTGCAAAGCTCTCTGTCCGTTACCCGGGCCTTCATCAATGCAATATCAATGAAGGCCCGGGTTAACGTACCGAAAGTTTCGAAGACAAAGGTTCCGTAAAATTATAATTAAATAGAATAATTGCGTCGTAAATCATTACATCGGGTTCATACAGTGCTAATTTATGCTTCTCTAGAAGCTTGTATTCAAACTCATGCAGCCTGTTGCGCCATTATTATAAATGCGGAATAAGACAAGACGATGTTTATACGATCAATCCTGATGGCCTGGGATCGTTCCGAGTCTATTGTGATATGAACAGTAAAAGGGAAGGCTAGACTGTGTTCCACAGAAGACAAGATGGAAGTCAAGATTTCTACCTTGGATGGTCAGACTATAAAGCAGGCTTTGGTAATCTTTACGGGGAGTTCTGGTTGAGCATTGATAAAATACATCGGTTGTCAAGATGTAGCGAAAATGTGTAATTAAGTATAAAGAAAGGAATTAATTCATAAAGTGTCCATGATTTATGGGTTGCTGTAAAGACTGCCCATATAGGATGAGTTTCTTTTGACCGCTCAAGATTACCACCTTAAGAAAAAGTATGCAACGCCGGTGTAAGGCTGTCATCAATTACAAGGCCAAAAGAGGGTCAACAAAATATTAATATTTCATATAGCTGGCCTTAGCATGTAATTTAGTGTATATTTATACTCGTATAGCTTATATATTGTTACAGGGACAGTTACGTTCATTTGAGAGCATTTTAACTTGTTTTGAGCAGTTGTTTTTGAACGCCAGTGTATATTATTAGGATGAATAATTTCTAAGGAAGCAACTTTGGATTTGGGGGCTTCAAGTCAGTCGAACTATAATATGATTATACGCGCCAGCTGTCGTTTTTCCGAAAATAGCTTCATCGACGGAGCAGGTGATGGAAAACGTACGTTCATAACGAATTGAACTTTCGAATTCGAGTTTTAAAGTTAATATCCCATGTTTCTATTATGCAAGTGATCTCGCACTACTGAGCGAGAACAAAGTATTTTGCAGAACTTGTTAGTTGTGATGCACCTTTTATGCAAATAAAGCATACTGCGTACCACGGTGCCTTTCCAACTTATCCACCGTTTAAGCTAAACGCCTTTCGAACAACCGGCCCTAGAAAAGCAATTATGGGCCTCCTAGCCACAATTAAAATGATTGCCCAGCAAATTTCCTGTTTACGCTATAACATTGGTGCATGATGAGCAGGTTCTTAACTAACTTTCTATGTCAGACTGTAAAATAAAGCAAAAACTTTCTGACGGTGCTTGAACTACTAATGAAAATGAGCCGGTTAAAATTAATTTACCTGCCATGCAAGGAGTGACATTTCAAACAGTATATATGAATACATCTTAATCTCCAATTCAATTTATTGCAAAACATTTGTGACAAAATAAATAACGTGCATTTTATTCATACACAATGCACAATTTCACATACATGTAACATTAGCTGTATGAAATACATTGAGTGAAAATTCATTTACATCATTATAGAAAGCCGTTATATTGGACATAATTGCGGGAACCACTGAGTATTTTCATAAAATACACAACAATAATAACTCCAAATAAATCATCATGATGACTAAATAAAGTTGAAACGTTGAATGAAAATGCTTACTTTATTCGGAGTTACTATTGTTGTGTATATTGGACATATTACTTTAAGTTTAAAAATCCAATTCCTTACCAGAAATAAGTAACACGATGCATAGCTGTTGCTTGTACTATTAGGTCCGCCATTCATAACATAATGCACCATTAACCTTCACTTTGAAATAGAGCGAAAAATAAAACCTATACATGCAGATCGCAATTGTTGTTAATGATGAATGATTTTCTAAGGTGTTCAGAGTCCATACAGTTGTGGCAAGTTTCAATTTAGGCAATAAATAAATAAATAAATAAATAACATCTTTATAGAAAAAAGAACGTTGTGGCAAATTTCTATACACTAGGTAAATGTAGCAAATAGCTATTGACCAACATTATTACAACTGCGCGTCGCAGTGTGCCAACAAAATTGATATACATGCTGAGGGCATGTAAACAGTAATATTTCAATAGCACTATATTTTCTTTTCCAATTTGATTTAGAACCAGAAATTGAAGAAAAACTGGGTGATCGTTTGTGTACTAATGTGCATTCATAAATGCAATGTTTCGCGCCAAGGAAACAAGTGAAAAAAAAACACAATTTCCCTCGGGAGCATACATTAAGTGCATAATATACTAATGTTTGTAAACTTTATTGATTTTACATGAACTCAATTGTATGTAAAGTTTCTTGCTCAAACATTGCTTCGTATACACTCAGACAGTTTCGCGTTCTTTTGTTCAACAGATGTTTTTTCTGTAAATATTAATTCTATAAGTGAGGTTCAAGGTTTATCTACAGTCTACACTGTGTGATTACTATAGTTATCGTCAATGTTCCAACTATATAATTACCTTATACATTGCGGTGAAAAAATACGTAACTTCAATCATAACTACAACTGAATACGGATTTCTTTATTCTGATATATATACAAATGAAACCCTTGACTCTAAGGCGTGCTTCATAAAACGTATTTCAATGTGCCGAATACATTAAGGACAATAAATAATGAGCTGGGATGAAATATTACATGATAAAGGATAAAAATTCGCCGCAACTACAGTTTTAAGACACTCCGGCATATAGCTGCATGTTAACAAACAAATATGCACTATAGTTGTTTTCATGATCAAATTATGTAATCATAGGATTGATGTTTCGTAGTCGCCAAGGAGATCGCTGTCGCTGCGTCTTATACATTAAATATGTTCTCCTATTGAAAATTAAACTATTTACATCGAAATATGTTCAATAAAGAGATAATTTTGTTTTCTCTTTTAAACTTTTCCACCGTTTCAACTAAACGCTATTCGAACAACCGGCCATAGAAAAACAATTATGGGTCTCCTAGCAACAATAAAGATTATTGCTCATCAAATTTCCTCTCTACGCTATAACATTGTCGCATGATGAGCAGGTTCCTAACTTTCTATGTTCGACTATGTAAATAAAGCAAATACTGACTTGACGGTGCTTGAACAACTAATGAAAATGAGCCGGCTAAAATTAATTTACCCGCCATGAAAAGAATGAAATTTCAAACAGTATATGAATACAATTTAATTTCCGATTCAATTTATTACCAAAAAAAAGTGACAAAATAAATAACGTGCATTTTATACAAACACAATGCACAATTTCGCATACATGTAACATTAGCTGTATGAAATACATTGAGTGAAAATTCATTTACATCATTATAGAAAGCCGTTATATTAGACAAATTACTTTAAGTTTAAAAATCCAATTCCTAACCAGAAATTAGTTACACGATTAGGTCCGTCATTCATAACATAGTGTTCCATTAACCTTCACTTTGAAATAGAGCGAAAAATAAAACCTATACATGCAAGTCGCAATTCTTGTTAATGATGAATGATTTTCTAAGGTGTTCAAAGTCAATACAGTTGTTGCAAGTTTCAATTTAGGCAACAAAACAAATAAATAAATAACATCTTTAAAGAAAAAACAACGTTGTGGCATAAGTGTACTAACAAAATTATTGCGATACATCGCACAAAATGTACATTGTGCATCAAGTGTCGCAGAAGATCGAGTTTTTGAAGCCACAAGGTATGTTTTTGAAGCCTCAACCCCCCCCCCCCCCTTCTTCCTGCTAATATTGTCACTTTTTGATCACATCGGTAACTTTCTATATACTAGGTAAATGTAGCAAATAGCTATTGGCCAACATTATTACCACTGCGTGTCGCAGTGTGCCAACAAAATTGATTTACATGCAGAGGGCATGTAAACAGTAATATTTCAATATCACTATAATTATTTTCTCTTCCAATTTGATTTAGAACCAGAAATTGAAGAAAAACTGGGTGATCGATTGTGTACTAATATGCATTCATAATGCGCCTTAACTTTAACTCTGAAATATATTGAATTACTTGAAAAAATAGTAAAATCGTCGCAATGGTGGTTAATTATTAATGATTTCGAAATTTTTGACAATGTATATGTTCGTAGCCTATACTTTGTGTAAAATAATATTTAATTAAAAAAGGTTTTACTATACGGTTCAGCCTTATAGTCCTAAAACACTCCTTACCCCCTCTATTATATATAATATTTTATACTCTATGATGTTCGACTGTAGTAGGTTAAATATATATTTTCCAAAGTTTAGTTTGCTGTGCTCATAAATTATATTACGCGACGCCACTTGACTTATACGTTTTCTATCACCTGCTCTGTCGACTGAGCGTCATTTCAGAGACTATACACGTCGAAGAGAGCACAGTTGGCGATCTCGTGCAATCATGTTTAAGATAATAACTCTAATTTCATTGATAGTTCAAATTGCATATATCATTTCACAGAACTGTTCTCCCATGATTTATATTACAATTAGAACAGGTGAGTCGTCATAGTTTTCCTCTTCTTCTAACAAAATCATTTTCGTTGTGTTTATATCGTTAATATTCGTATTTTACAATCGATTTTTAGGTGGTCTGTCTTTATCTCCAGATGAAATCATATCCAATCATACCATAATGCAAGGGATTGTCCCGATAGAATGTTACGAGCACTGTCAGAAAGAACCGGGATGTGTTGGATATAACTACAAAGACAAGATCAATGTTGTGAACTGTCAACTGACCAACATCAGTGAAAAGAGAGAACAAACTTCAATGATGGAAGAAGGAGAATGGACACTAATGCTCGATGATAAACTGGTATGTTTATGTCCTTCTTTTTGGTCCTCCCGCAGTGCCACAAAATTGTAATTGATTTAGCCTCACCTATTCTCGGCATTACCACCTTAAAATACACTAACCAAACTTGCTCTTGTTAGCTACCTCTGTATCTCAGTCCAGGTGATCTCGCGCTCATATTTCATCCATTAGCGCTCAAAAAGTTTGTGAAAATAGAAATCCATTATGCGATTATATCTTTAGTTATTCTTGATGGAACCATGCTAAATTTTTGTTATTATGTTTAGTTATAAGAACTATAGCTCTGATATAAATATGAAACCGAAAAAAAGTATATATCACGGGATATTATGTTGTTTCAACCGAGAAATGGATTTTTATATGACAACTATAGCCTAGTCCTTTTATCGCCATTTCAGATCGCCTGGGTGGCAAGAGCATTGCACCGGCATCGCATAAGCGTAGGTTCGATTCCTGCCGGAGGACCGATTGTTGAATAATTTTTCTCAACAGTTCCTGGCTTGAATTGAGTTGTGCATGATTCCACTCGAAATTGAGACCCTTTAAAAATATTTTCTTATTAGGAAAAGAGAAGAAATGACATTTTAAACTCAGGTATGCTTAAAACATAAATCTTTCTTCCAAACTACTTTTCTTTTATACCGCGACAGCCTATTTTTGTTTGCAGTGATAACATAACATTTAATGCTGAGGATTTTCCCAATATTAAATAGAATTTAACACTTTGCATGTGGTTGAAGCAATTATTTAACCGATCCTTACTCAATCCTGTAACTCTATAGTTCTATCCTAATATCTTCCCGTATTTTTAAAGCCATCGGCTGTGCCTATCTGTATAACAACGGGATAAGAAAAGATGGTGTTTATAAGATAAATCCTGATGGCCTGGGATCGTTCAAAGTCAGATGTGATATGAGCACAGATGGGGGTGGTTGGACCGTGTTCCAAAGAAGACAAGATGGAAGTCAAGATTTCTACCTTGGATGGTCAGACTATAAAGCAGGCTTTGGTGATCTTAACGGCGAGTTCTGGTTGGGCCTTGATAAAATACATCGTTTGTGGAAATCTGGCCAAAATGTTTTAAGAGTTGATTTGATGGATTTCAATGGCGCTGAACGTTACGCTAAATATGGAACGTTTAGTGTGGCTGATGAATCAGACAAATACAGATTGAATATTGGCAGTTATTCAGGTAAATCAAACCCTGGGATAGATTTTGACATTTTTATTTAATCGTACATAATAGCAGGTATGCAGCGATTACACGAATCACGCTAATTTCAACAAAAATATTTGTTTATATCAAGTCATTTAAGAACTATATATCACGCAGTTTATATAACGCATAGGAAAGTTTTAAACATCATATTTCATGGTTGTACGCTGGTTTTCACAGCTAATAACACCACCACTAGTTTTTGCATTGACCATATTAATTTTTATGCATTTTAATTTTTTTTGATAATTCGTTTAATTATTTTTGTGATCAAAAAACGAGCAGGTAATCAATTAAGCGATTCATACAAATTAATTATTTTGCATTCTCTCTCTGTGTTAACTTTTGGGGCACAATGCAAGATTATTACACATTTTGTCATTACGATTTGTTAAAGTTGAACTTTATATTTGTTAATGAAACGAAGGATAATTAAGAATGGCTTAAAAAGATTCTCAATTTCATATAAATATGTCTAGCAATTTGACAAAACGATTTGACCACTAAAAACAGGATGGTCAGAAAATTGACCGAGCGGTTGATAAAATTACAGACCTTCAAGATGATTATTTTAGAGCTCCTCCGATTAACAAATGAAGCAGGTTTTCATACGCGGTAATGAACGCAATCCAATCGATACCATGCAGATTAGCCGTTTAGAGATAGAGTAAACCAAACTGGTAAAATTGCAGGAAAGGCAGGCAAATTTTGGTTTGCCTCGTCGAATTGAACCTACGTCGATGCGATTTAACGGCAATGTCTTCACCGCTACTACCCTACTTTGCATTTCATCATGCAAAATTTAAAAAAATATTATTACCTTTTGGTTTAAACTTTTTTTCCATTGAGGAGTTTTATTGTATTTCTTAAAAGGTAACGCAGGTGGTTCTCTTGATTATCACAATCAAATGCAGTTCACTACCAAGGATAGCGACAATGATGCTGGAGGTTATGAGAATTGTGCTACGAGATGGAAAGGTGCTTGGTGGTACAAGAGCTGTCATCATTCCAACCTCAATGGCCAGTACCTGGGTGCAGGTCAGAGTGGTGGCAGCGGAATAAGATGGAGCAGATGGCACTATTATTCTATGAAAAAGACAGAGATGAAAATTCGTCCAAACCAGTTCTAAGAAAAGGACCGGCTTTAGCAAGGACATAAACATATGCCAAGAACATCGAGTGTGTTGATTTTTTTTTATTGTAACAGGATCATGGATAAAAATCAATTTTTGATTCTTTACTATCATTCTAATCGCAAAAAATACTCTATTGGTATAATAACGGTATAATAACAGACCAAAGTCAGTGATGGTTACTAGGGATGCAAAAATTCAAACCTGTTTACATTAACTCGGTTATCCGATATTCAAAGAATTGTAAAATAACTTTGAGCAAGTAGTCTTTATAAAACCAAGTTGCAAGAATATCGTAACGTTTAGGGATGTTTAAAACGACTGCCAGAGATAATATTTTTTACTTATTTCAATGCCTCAAAGTCATTTCACGCCCATGGTTTGATCTCGAGTATCCGGGATCATAAAACCCTAACCAAATGAATACGTTTGAAACTTTTGACTAAAATGAAGTTTTGTAGTACCTGACCAATCAAAAGATGTGATTGAAAAACAACTCGGAGGTCTTCCTTCTCCCAGTCAAAAATGTTAACAGGCATCTACGAAATCTAAGGGGCTGCTTACATAAGCTCGGTTAACCGAGATTCAAAGAAATTACTATCGAAAAAGGTAAAATTTTGTAGTTGTGACGGTAGAGATTTTTAATGTCTGAGCCCTGAATAAATATATTTACTAGAAATACATGCATGCAGCAACCCCTCGCCATTTCAAACGAAGCAAAATATTTCCTGAGCTAGCCAGTCCTAACCTTCAATATTATGAAATGTCCTAAATGTAAAGCCGATAGCTGATGTTTCAAATATTTCGGAAACAAACACAGTCGTAAAGACTAAAGGTGAAGTGAAATCACCCATTTTCCTGCTGCTTTCCGTTGCATTAAGTTATAGACTTTCACAGTTTAAGTGAGATTTAATACTTCATTATAGCTAAACCTTCAAAATATCAAAAAAGCCCAAGTAATATAAATAACCAAGCAGTGAACGTCGAATGTTGTTTTCTAGTCGATTATTAAATTCATGCAGGACTCTTTTGGAAGTTAAAACGATGATGTAAAGCCTTAAATAGTCGGTCTTGTCTTCGCAAAACCGAGCAAAACGACATACTGTACCAAGGTCATAAAATGTATTCGTACAGCAAACACGAAATAAACCTCGAAATAAACAAAATACACACCTACCATTTCAAGGATTATAATCGAGTTGTTCCATTTCACCGCTAATTCCTCCAGTTCTGATATTTTAAACTCTTTCCAGTGTTTTATCTGTTATTTGATTCCACATTTCATATTTTGTTTTCGAAACATTTTTTAAAAAATAGTTTGCAAAATGACAGTTAAATTGCTGACGTTTTTCACTGAAACACAAACGTTTCGTCTTAGCCAATCAGGAAGTTGCTGATTACCAGTCTACACTCGTTCGTATTTCGCGCATGCGCACAAGTACCATAACCATTGAACGTCCATGACATTTGGGCAACTTTGGATTCCGCTATGTTCTCCCGGGTCCCGGGTGTAATTCCTAATCTCCGGGCGGAATTAGTACCCTCGCACGGTGCTCCGCACCGGCTCGGGGAATATTCATTTTTTGTAAACTTACGTTTTGATTGATCGATTTGTGTACCACGCTAGGGTATAGCATTGCGTCAATCTTTGTGTACAAACTACGCTCTTCGAGCTCGGTCTGTTTAAAAAAACCTCAAAGCGATGTTTCTCGGTAAAGACCTAGCGCTCGGTTAATAAGAAGTTATTCATATAAATCATACGATCTTATTCAGCGTTTTCGACGTCAGGCTCATTGGCAGTGCTTGTTAGAAAAAGAGAAAATGCAGTATACTTGCTCTTATCAACAACTGCACTTCAAGAATTTAATATTTTCACTATGCAGAATTCTCGTATTGATGCATTTGATACTATATCATGCAATGGGTGATTTAATATTTAGCCCGCGCCTAAAATGACAGCCATTTTAATACAAGCCTGCGATTCCACATAGGAATTAGGAAAGCGGTATACTCCATGAATGTAGGCCGTTTTTGTGACATCGCTGGGCATTTTAAGACACTGGTCTTGACGGACTACGACTAGTGTAAAACGTTTGCCCAATAAATAAACGTTTGTCGAGCTTACGTGAAGTTTTAGACAACACGAACGGCATGAGCAATGTCAAAAGACTGGGTCAAGGATTGTGATCGGTGAAAAACAAAAACTTTACTTCCGGTCAACGTACGTGCTGTCAAAAACGTTACTTACTTGAGTTCATTAATGCTTTATCAGATTTATTATGATAATAGAGAGGTTAAGATATCCGTAAAAGAGAGAAACACTGATGGAAATTCATTGAACAAAATCAGGCTATCCGTACCCGTACACCGGAACCGGGGTATCTTAACCTCTCTATTTATTAACATCATAATTACCAAAAGCTAATGCATAGAAGTACCGATTATCCATTCAAGACGACGTTTTACTCAGTCAATGGGGGAATTTAGCATGAGGACGTGAACGTCAAAGAGGACGTGAAAATGGCGAATAAATGGCGTGATGCGTCTATATATGGACATGCCACACCATTTATTCGCCATTTTCACGTCCTCTTTTACGTTCGCGTCCTCATGCTAAATCTGCCTAATATATTAAACTGAGAGGGGTTTAAAACGGCGCTTTCTAACTTGGAAAGTTATTTGATGATGTGCATAGTTCATAAACAAGCACGATAATTGTGTTTTTCCAATGGTCGACATGTCATGTATAACAGGGTTCGCCAGTGGATTGTGCTTATATGCGTCTAAAATGCTAGTAAAGCCCATCGCATACGAGAGCTATCAGCTGAGCTAACGACCTCGCGAGGCAGTTAGCTCAGCTTGTCCGCACACGAGAGAACCTTGCCTCTCGAGACGAATTCCTCAAGAAAACTATCCGCACACGAGAGAAACTTGCTGAGCTAACAGACTCGTGAGGTATTTATTTAGCTCAGTTGATAGCTCTCGTGTTCGGCGGGCTTAAGAGCTTGCCTGATTGCTATCAGCCAGCGCTGTTCGAAAATTAACGCACACGTATTGCGCAAGATTTGACAGCGCTTAAACACGTAAGAAATCATTTTGAGAAATTTTTTGAGAAACGTCATAGGCAGCACTCCCAATAACAATCAGTCAAATCCCTCACGGAAAAAAGGTTTTTTTGTCCTTTTCAACCTAGTCAAAATAACTTTTGGCTTCGCTTTTGAGAAACTAAACTATTTTTATTATATATATTTTACAAACAACTATACGCTTTAATTACTCAAATAAATATTTATGAGTTACGACCACTTTAACGCAAGAGAAAAATAATATATTAGCTTCGTTTTTTATATTATTGAAAGTGTAGGGGTACGTGGTGTAGTGGGACTATTATGTGGACTACAGAGAAAGGTGTGTGAGAAGGAGGGTTTAAGATCAAAATGGTTTGTCCCATATTTTTGCTTTAGATATTTTTATGTACGTTACAACAGGTATACGGTTTAAACGCGCCGCACACGAGAGCTATTAGCTGACGACCTCGTGAAATCATGTTTAAAAAAATGACCTTGATCTTACTGATAATCAAAATTGCACGTATCTCTTCACAGAAATGTTCTTCGGCGATTTTCATTACTATTAGAAAAGGTACTACCTCGGTTGCTTTTTCTTAGTTAAAAAAAATCGGGTTCGTAGTGGTCGAGAACTTTTTCCTTTGAAAATTTCTTTCTCTAACAATTTTCGCTACTTTTAGGAGGTCCCTCTTTACCTCAAGAAGAAATCATATCAAATCATACCGTCAACTTAAGAACTCTACCGAAAGAATGTTACGAGCTCTGCCAAAAGGAATGGAAATGTGTTGGATTCAACTACAGAGACAAGATCAATGTTGTGAACTGTCAACTGACTAACATCACTGGAAAGGGAAATCACGTTGAAACAACGGAAGAAGGGGAATGGATACTAATGCACGATAATAAAACGGTATGTAAAATATATTTTAGATTTGCAAAATTACTATTTGTTTATAAAGAGTTTATGTGCATTTCCAAAGGCTGTTCGCACAAATCCTATTTTGTTGGATCCAATTCCCTTTCTGATGGATGTTTTTATAGCCGGTTAATTTTCTTGTATGTGAGCAGGAAATGCACTGAAGCTAACGCAGTTCTGCTTTATCAGTTACCCACTATATTGCATACGTCAGAGGTTAATTGGATAAAACAAAATTGGATCGTGTGAAGAGACGCTAAAATAATTCTCTTTCAGGAAAGAAACGAGGACGAAAAGAGCAAAAATGACACTTCAGGTATTCTCAAGGAAGGACAATTGCAGTAAAACTTTCTCTCACTTCCTCCCCTTAGTCTCTTACGCACGCATTATCATACGTTATTATTTATTTAAATAGTTATTCACAGCTTTTTAATCCCTAACAGCCAATGTGTGGAACAGTCATGTCTAACGAACGACGTCATAGCGTCAAATAAGCGCTGGAACAGTCAAAAATAATACTCTCAATTCCCAACAACGTCAGTTTTCAAGGGGATATCTTACATCGATCTTATTCTTTGATATTTTACCATTATTTAGCCAGAAGCTGCGCCCATCTGTACGGATTAGGAGAGAGGAAAGATGGTGTTTATACCATCAATCCTGACAACCAGGGATCGTTCCAAGTCAGATGTGATATGAACACAGACGGGGGTGGCTGGACCGTATTTCAAAGAAGACAAGATGGAAATCAAAAATTCTACCTTGGATGGTCAGACTATAAAGCAGGCTTTGGTGATCTTAACGCAGAGTTCTGGTTGGGCCTTGATAAAATACATCGTTTGTGGAAATCTGGCCAAAATGTTTTAAGAGTTTTAACGGCAATGTCTTCACCGCTACTACCCTACTTTGCATTTCATCATGCAAGATTTAAAAAAAAAGATATTACCTTTTGGTTTAAACTTTTTTTCCATTGAAGAGTTTTATTGTATTTCATAAAAGGAACCGCAGGTGATTCCTTTTATGATCACAATCAAATGCAGTTCACTACCAAGGATAGCGACAATGATGCTCGAAGTTATGAGAATTGTGCTAGGAGATACAAAGGTGCTTGGTGGTACAACAGCTGTTATATTTCTAACCTCAATGGCCTGTACCTGGGTGCAGGTCAGAATGATTTCAGCGGAATAAAATGGATCAGGTGGCACTATCATTCTATGAAAAAGACAGAGATGAAAATTCGTCCAAACCTGTTCTAAGAAGGGACATAAACATATTTACTGCCAAGAATATACAGTGGGTTGATTTTTTTAATTGTAAACAGAATAATGCATGCAAATCAATTTGTGACTCTAGTTGCAAAAAATACTCTATTGATATAATAACCGTATAATAACAGACCTAAGTCAGTAATAATTATTAGGATGAAAAAATTGAGAATTGTTTCCATTATTACTCGGTTATCCGATATTCAAAGAATTGTAAAATAAATTTGATGTATTAAAAGTAGTTTTTATCGAAGACATAAGCTGAACCAAATGAATAGTCTTCAAATTTAAAATTCAATGTTTTAATTATGCAATATTCTCGTATTGACGCATTTGATATTATCATGCACTGAGTGATTTGATATTTAGCCCGCTCCTTAAATGGCAGCCATTTTAAAATAAGCCTGCGATTCCACATAGGAATTAGGAAAGCGGTATACTCCATGAATGTAGCCCGTTTTTGTGACATCGCTGGGCATTTTAAGACACTGGTCCTCACGGATTACGACTAGTGTAAAACGTTTGCTAATAAATAAACGTTTGTCGAGCTTACATGAAGTTTTGGACAACACGAACGGCATGAGCAATGTCAAAAGACTGGGTCAAGGATTGTGATTGGTGAAAAACAAAAACTTTACTTCCGGTCAACGTACGTGTTTTCAAAAACTTTACTTGCTTGAGTTCATTAATGTTTTATTATATTTATTATGATAATTATTAACATCATAATTACCAAAAAGCTAATGCGTAGAAGTACAGATTATCCATTCAGAACGACGTTTTACTCAACGTCTAATTAAACTAAAAGGGATTTAAAACCCAGCACACGAGAGAAACTTGCTGAGCTAACAGACTCGCGAGGTATTTATTTAGCTCAGTTGATAGCTCTCATGTGCGGCGGGCTTGTACCACCAAGCTCCCCTCCATGTCTCAACACAATCACCACTCCAAACGTCATTGTCACTTTCCTTGGTTGAGAACTGCATTTGATTATGGATAGTAAGAGTGTCACCTGCGTCACCTTTTAAGAATATATAATAAAACACCTCAATGAAAAACAGTAAAAAATGGCTAAGTTTTTTTCAGTTCGCCATTTAATTCTGATATATGACGATGATTATGTATGCTTATAAATAGTGTAAATTTTTAGTTTTTAAAACATTCATTACCCACATAATTTACACTGAGAATCTATAGATCTTACTTTACTTGAATAACTGCCAATATTCAATCTGTATTTGTCTCATTCATCAGCCACACTAAATGTTCCATATTTAGCGTAACGTTTAGCGCCCTTGAAATCCATCAAATCAACTGTTAAAAAATTTTGGCCAGATTTCCACAAACGATGTATTTTATCAAGACCCAGCCGGAACTCGCCGTTAAGATCACCAAAGCCTGCTTTATAGTCTGACCATCCAAGGTAGAAATCTTGACTTCCCTCTTCTCGTCTTTGAAACACGGTCCCGCTTCCACCGTCGATGCTCATTTTTCATCTGACTTGGAACGATGAAAACTGACGTTGGCAATTGAAACTATTTGACTGTTCCAGTCTTTAGAGAGAGTTAAATTTGCATGTATATGAATAGAAAATTCTTAGGCACACTGAGCAGCAGTGTACTTCAGCATATTCTATAAACATAACGAAGGAACCAGTAGAAAATCGTAAGATAGTGGGAATAGAAAGAACTTCTAAGTTACTATATAACTGTTTTTATTGCTGAAAAAATCACCAAATTTTCAACACTATCCAACCCAATGCATTTATAGCTTCAATCGTTGATTTCATTTAACGTGCGTGTACGAATGTAGAAAGAACGCGGCAGCGGAAAGCAGCGCTTATTTGACGCTATCACGTCGTTCGTTAGACATGACGGTTCCACACATGCATGGGCTGTTAGGGATTAAAAGGCTGTGAATTAGTTTTAAATAAATAATAACGTATGATAATGCGTGTGTAAGAGGCTAAGGGGAGGAAGTTTACTTCAATTGTCCTTCCTTCCAACATCCATCAGAAGGGAATATGATCCAACAAAATTCGATTTGTGTGAAGAGACCTTTGGAAATGCAACAAGGTCGTCAACTGTGCTTACTTTGACAAGCAGTCGCTGAAATGACGCTTACATGCAATCAACAAAGCAGGTTATAAGTCAGCAGATCTGGGCGTAATTATGTTAGTTATGAATATATTTATACTCTATTCATTGCAATGAGCTAGCGCATATGTGCAGTAATAATTTCTTGTTTGATGTCTTGCGCGGAAAAGAAAAAAAAGACAAAATCACGCACGAGTAGCAGGAGAAGGCCGCAACATTTTTGTCTTCTGAACAATGGAGCGTTCGCTCTGCATTACTGCAGTACACATGACGTGCGGAAAATTTCATTCTGTTACTTTAATATATCAATGACTAGACGTTGAACATTTTATCATTTTTATTGCGATGTCATACTCTTGTTGAATAATGCACTTATCGACTAATGCACTTAACGACTAATGCACAACCTCAATGGCCTGTACCTAGATGCGGGTCTGATGCATGACACTGGGATAGTATGGAGTTATTGGCACGATTATTCACTGAAAAAGACGGAGATGAAAATTCGTCCGAACCAGTTTTAAGATTAAAGCCAGCTTTAGGAGAGATAAACATATTGGCTTCCAAGAACGTTACGTTTGTAGGGTTTTTGAATCGTAAACAGAATAATGCATGAAAACCCGGTATAATAACTTATTTAGTGATAGTTAACGAGAACACCATAATTATATTATAGATATATATCAATTCTTTAAAACTGTTGATTAAAACCATAGTTTGAACAATCATAAGAAGTGTTCAGCACTACAAGAGCTAGTGATGGTGGACAACTGTGTGGTAATGCACTCGCAGTACAACAGCTTTACTTATAAGTATTAACGCTATTTTGAGATTGAGAAAAAATAGACAATTTAAACTGAAATCCTAACTGATAACTGATTGTACTGGTACTAAAAAGTTTGTGTGTGTTTCCAGGGTAACGAAGGAGCGCAGAACTAGCTTGCCTGCAATTTCGCCAATTTCGCCATGCCAGCTGCATGTCGAGTTTTTTACATTTGAACAATTAAATAGTTAACTTACATCTCCCCGTGCAAAAATATATTACTTTTTGCTTTAAATTTCTCCAATGAGGAGTTCATTGTATTTCTTATAAGGTGACGCAGCTGATTCTCTTACTTTCCTCAATCAAACGGAGTTCGCTGCCAAGGGTAGGACAATGATGTTTATGGAGCCAATTGTGCAACATATTGTAAAGGAGCTTGGTGGTACAACAACTGTCATCATTCCAACCTCAGACCTGTACCTGAAATGGCACAGGTGGCACCCTAGCATCCTTTATTCAATGAAAAGGACAGAGATGAAAATTCGTCCTAACCAGTTTAAAGAAAAGGACTAGCTTTAGCAGGGACATACGCATATTCACTGGCAAAAACATCAAATTTGTTGATTGCTTTAATTGTTAACAGAATAATGCGTGCAAATCAATTTGTGATTGTTTACAACTATCATTCTAGTCGGTCGTAATAATTAAGGGCTGTTTTCATCTGAGTCCGGTTATCCAAGATTCAAGGGACAATTTTTGAATTTTTAAGTCTTTATGAAACCTAAAAAGCACATGTTATGCGATTGTTCGGGTGACAACACGACTGCCAGGATCATTTTGTACCCCCCCCCTTTCAACACTTCAAAATCATTTCACGCTTCGTTAAATCTCGGCTAAACGGGATCATGTAAAAAGCCCCAAACTAAAAGGTATATTACACGTTAGAAACTGCTGATTGGAATGGTTTCTGAACCATCAGACGAGGTCAGAATGGCAAGCATGACTGCGACTTCCTTATTTTTACGTGGCCCCGGCCGCAATTGACATCTGGTGATTACTATGCGGTTGCTTTCTTTCCAAGAAAGTAAAGTTTAATTTTTACCTCCACTCTTCAATTGATTTTACAGCCAGTTGCGAAAAAAATGCCTATGGTTTGTCTTCCTTTCCAATATAAATCTAACGAAATAGTTGGAGGTCATGATCAGTCTAACAGTTTCAATCCATAAGTATTTTGCAAATAGTACGACCCCGTTTTTGGCATCTTACAACGTATAATTCACGAACGAACGAAGCTCGCCTGAAAATCACTTTGTGGAGATTTGTTCCTCTACTAATAATTAACAAATCTACATCAGAAAATCACATTTTACACAATTTTTACTCAGTGCATATTCACTGAGACTGAGGCGAATCATTATTTCAGCATAATTATAAAGGTCATCGCAAGGTGATCCAGTGCCACAAAATTACAATTAATGAAAAATTGAAGGGAAACAAGACTTAGTCTTCCTAATCGATTCTGGATATTTTTTCTCTGAGAATATCTAATAAACGCGAGAATAATGTTATTCATTGAACCTAGAAAGAAAAATACGAGGTAAAAAACGAAAGAGGCCTAGCCACAGATTAACAACCAGATGTCTCTCTTTTGACTAAAAAACGTGAGCAATTCTTACTGCGCATCGCCTGCTGCGCATGTTTAGCAAGTAACTAGAGCCTTCCATTTCGGCATTTCGCTTATTTCAAAATGGATTTACAAAAGATTAATGATGTTATCAGCACTGAAACACCTCATATCAATTAAATTTATTTATATTCATCACTCAATTTCACCACACGACGTCTAACAGCCATCCTATTGTCTAAAATGAAATTACGTGAAACTTTATATCGAGAGTCAGCGATCGGAGATGTACGTTTCCAAAACAATTACATCAAGGATCAATTTGACTCTTTAGAAGATTTCTGATTACTCAGTGGCACAAGTCATAGTTATAACACACAGTTTTAACACCGCTTTCATTCAAGAGGCTTATCTTGGACGTTCTCATTGTTCCATTTGATATCAGCGATCAGGTAAAATTATTTCATTGCTTTGATGTTAGTAAAATATAACATGGAAAAGAGTAGAAAACTGCTAGTGCTGCACTACATGCTGGGAGTTAGACAACAAAGAACAACAGCATTTGTACTTCAATAACGCAGTAGATTTGCTTTAGACCGTCCCTGCTTCATTCAGATACCAGGGATTCATAGAAAATCTCAACTGTATCATCATGAGGAGTCGAAACACGTCATTACTATAGATGTCGTTCGCGCCTACTCATGTATAATGATATTTCGGGTTGGAACGTAACTATATTAGGTTCTGAAATCCCACAATCCCGACCATGCAACATGGATTACCTCATGCTGCAACATCTTCTTTAAGGGTCTTTAAATTGCTGCTCTCGTATATCTCAAAAGGCTAAAATCTATCATGCATGTAGATGTGTTATAAAATTTAGTGGAAACAAAAGACGGTCATGTCACGACCATAAATTATGTTATGAAAACTATGGCTGTATTCCTGATGACCTAATCTCATTAAAATAAATATTGGACATATAATCAAAGAATAGCGAGAGATATGCATGTCACTTAAGAATATAGAAGGATGATCATCGATACGAACAGCAGCTTTTAAAATTTCAGCACTGCAGGCTACTCATAAAACATACGATAGCATGCAATTAGTAAACGTCGGATGAAATTGTACCAAGCTATTAGTTCAAACCATTAATAAATATTTACTGCATGTAATGTGTGAAAACGATTAAAACTAAGAAAATTGCATATTTTTGGCACATTCTAATGGAATGTGTGAGACGTAAAATGATATGTCTGAAAAGGAATTAAGATCTTTGAACAGTTGTTTATTTATATAACCTTGCCCGGTTTAAGATTCACGATCGACATGTAATGTGTAAGTCATATCAGGTTGTAATCGTGGACCGGCTTAAAATTTCAGGCCTAAAAATTTGACGACAATCGCTTCAGTGAAGTCTCGTGACAGTTTGTTTCGGAAATGCCATAAAAATTCAACAGTGCTTTTAAATTATTGCAATAACATGTGTCCCATACATTGTGTTTGTATCCATTTAAATTATACTAGGGCAGTAGGCCTGTATAAACAAAGTCCCGCGTCCATACGATGCCAGAAGAATTTGAAAACGCAAGAATATTTTTTCGATCACCCGTACCGTCAACACGTATCCGGCGTTATCGACCACTGAAAAGGGAAGAATCTAAAAACGCTCTCAAGAGTAAAGGAAGTTAAAAGCGACGGCTGAGTGGATACGTGTGGACGGCTTTGCCGGATAAATAGGGACTTTACGATTCACGACGCGGCCATGCAGCTTGACGACGTGCTTGGAAAAGACACATCACACGCGAGACCATAGGTATGCATAAATTGTGGTCCCACGACAGTGTTGTCATTCTCACGACGCGCCTTAAAATCAGGCATTTTCACAGCCTCTCCAGGACATGAAAGCAACGGTTTCATAGCTTGTAGGAAGCTGCGATAACAGCTAGACATCGGAGGTTCTTAGCACAATTGAGACGTTTGTATGAATATTTAAAAGTCCTGGCAGCATAATAATTTCTCGTAGCTAATTTCTAGCAAAATAATTGACAAGCGTCGTCGAGCTAACCGCGTCGTAGATCGTAAACTCCCAAATTTGAAAACGATGACTTCACGTATCAAAAAGCTTCCATATTAACCAGGCTTGTTTCAAGTCTTAGTGGCTTTTGCTCAAGTTTACATTGCTCACATTAGTGTCAAATGAGTCTAACTTCTTTAGCTCAGTTATTTTCATCGTGAGTGAAATCTTCGGCAATCCTTTTAGAATTAGCGGAGAATTATGCCCAAATTGTCGGAGTATGGTTACACACATTTTTTATACACGACATGAATTTAATTAATAGATACTCGACAACAATAATATTTAGGAGCGAATTGAAGTTAATGAATTCACGGCAACCAGGTATATAATCGGTTATTGCGACTCTGGTTTTATTAAATGAAAGTAATTAATCAGATCACCCCTGATGAAGACACTAGACCGGAGTGTCGAAACGTTGGGTCGTGAAAGTTAATCTTTGTGTGGTGATCACTATCATTTAAAAAAACCAGGGTCGCAATAATTACGATGGAATATTTAGGAGTTCAAGCTTGTTGTGTGTCGAAACAAAGTTCTCATTCTTGTTTTTTTCTTCGGTTTTGGTAGATGTTTGTTTTTAATTTAATATCCCAGATGTGACACGCAGGTGGAAAACATGAAGGTGTCTTCCGAGATCAAATAACCTATTTTAACGAAGAAATATTTTTGCGTTTTTAAATTCTACTGGATCGTGCAGACGTAGCCAAAGGCGCTGCGTAATATAAAATGTGCTTAGTTTGACTAATGGTCGTGTTTCTTGGTTGAGAAGGGGCGTCGTGGGTGAAGTGACAAATAAAACGCTTTCGTCTTTTTATTTTTGATATAAGGAACACTATCCTGCTAAATTTTTAGCTTTAAGTCTTCTATTTAAGTCACGTTTGATAAGTTCGCCGGAATCTTGCATTGCGAGAACGAAATACATTATTTTCAATAACCGATAGTGTGCGCCATAGAAAGTATCAATCTTCTTCTGCGCATACATTCTACACTTCTTTTGCACGCAATTACGTCCATTACGCAATTAATGGTCCTCCTAATAGGATATTATTAGGACATTATAAGGACATTATAATCAGCATTATATAATTAGGACAGGGCATTATTAGGACATATTATTAGCATTTTATTAGCATAATATACATTATACTCTAAATACATCAATATATTCCTTAGTGGGAAAAACATGCGTGTGAAACATGTGCATGTTTATACCTAATATAACTCTAAAACCAGACCACGATTAAACCTTACGATATATAGACTTCAGCTAAGACTACTTTCCCTCACCTGAAAGACGCTTTCAAGATAAAAAATATCATCTCGCGAGAAAAATATCGTGCGTGATCGTGAAAAACCAGTTTTGGAACTTTTTTGAAAACCTATTCCTGACTAAGATCATATATTCTACTAACGGTTATCATCATCTATGAATTTTCAACAGTCAATTTTAATAATTTATCGCGTTTTAACCATCTAAGAAGACAAAAGATAGATATATGCTCATGCGCGAAGTGAGTATGATTAGCGAGTGATAAGTATACCGTCTCTCTTAAAATGGGAGAATTTATTGAAATCTATAATTGCCCTGATGAAGGCCCGGGTTAATGGACCGAAAGCTTTGCAGCATTAAACATTTACGTGGTGTACCTACAAGCTAATTTAGAGTATAGTTCAATGTTTTTTATTATTATTATTATTTTATTTTTTAAACATATTTATGCACGGTAGCCTTTCAGTGACCTGTTTTTCAAAGGGCCGTGCTCCACACGCATGCAATAAAAATCTAAAAATATTTCAAAATCATGCAAATCCTAAGCTTAATATATATATTCATGCATTATATACAAAGTGACGATTGCCAAAATGCTACAATATGTCTCCGCTACAAATAAATTTAGCACGGTTGTTCGGAGTTTTTATTTTCGTGTCTTTGACTTAATTGTTTGAATGAATTCAATGAAAGAGACTCATAATTGTCAAGAATTTCACGAGGATGTCACCATACCAAATTACAAGAATATTCACTGCTGTTATTATAAAGAGTATGTGTACACATGTTGTGTTAAATATTTGGGCCCAAATATTGAGATTATTATTCGTAGCATTTCGGCCAATCACCCGGTCATTCTCGTTCCCAGGGCCGGGCTCCGTGTGCGGAGAGTAACGGGAGTCCAGGGTGGCCAGATTTTGGCAGTTTTATGCTAGATTCGTGATTCGGTCGGATGTATATAAATCAGACCCACTTGATTTTAATAATTACAAAATTTATTCCAGGAGGGGGCAACCTAACATGATATGAGCAGTCAGTTTGCTAATAAAATATTCATATATGGTCACACTGCTTGGGACGAGGATGTCTCCTGGTCTAACTTAATTTTGTCCAGGTCAGCAGTCAATTACTTCAAGAATTTCAAGCAAACAACCGAAAAATAGTGGGTTAAATAAATGATTATACAAATATAGTTAATTGCTTTGTTTAGAATTATTTCTAAACGCATGCAGTAAGCTGTAGTTTAAAAATAACTTCAAGCTACAAAAACATTCAATCACACTTCGATGATTTCAAGCAACAAAATATGATCACAGTATAAGTGACTCACTTTAAACTTATGTTCCTACCGTCATTGAACACAAGTCTGTGTCCAAATTTACAAATTCTCCAAATTTAACGCCAAAGGATTGTTCGCACACACGACTGCTTTGATGGCACGCTTTGAAGATCTCGAAATCTCCTCTTCTGCTGCTAAAAGCCACCCTTAACTCACACGATGGCGAACGAATACTAAATCTAGTCCGAACAACAACGGCTCTATTTCCTTCCTTTGTCATTCACGCGAATTCGCTTGATTGAAAACCCTAAATCCCTACTCACAGCTTCAATAATATGAATATCTTCTAATGTGTGTGTGATAAGCTATTTCAAATCCTCGTTAGTGTTTTAGGCCTAGGTTATACGTCGCTTTTTGGTCGCGTCGAATGCAATTCAAACAATAGATAATGAGATGGCAATGAAGCTTAATCAATCAGGTGAACCATCTCATTATCTATTGTTTGAATTGCATTCGACGCGACGAAAATGCGACATACAGGGTGTATCAAAAAACAGGAGACTTTTAGAAATCAAGCTATTGTTAAAATTTGAATGCTTTTTCAATTGCATTTGCACATATGCTGAACCGTAGTGCGTTAAATATTGATGGCATGCATGCATACATTAGAAAATGAATTGACGTTTGTACACAAGATTGTCTGCTCCTGGGAATTTGAAAATAACTTTAATAGCATAAGGAAAAATAGGGACCCAAAAATATTCAAATGACGAAGCACACTACCAGAACAAAAATGGTTCAACTGACTTCGGAGCAAAGAGTTTTTGTAGTCTTAACTTATACCCAGCCTGCCGTCATCAGAAAAGCAGTTCGCGATATGCACAAGCATACGGTAGTTTGTGTTGAGAGAAATGGAGGCCACGTTTGAGGTCATGGTCCATGACATTCAGTTCTTTTGATGTTCAATTTATCAGTAATTTTCAATCCGGATCGAAATGTCAAGTGAATCTGCTTCGGATCAAGTTGTAATTCATTCCTGATTCATGTAAACATTTTAATAGGCAGAGTTTGTAAAATGGGATGCTGAGCCATTCCGGATTGAAGGTCAATTCTAACGCATGTGAACAGCCCTAATGCTCGCACGCAGTGTTGAAAATTAATGAACAAATGATTTGTTCATGTTTTGAAGGAACAGCTAAAGCAATTTACCACGCATACTGTTATCGCTTTTGTGCTTAGTCGTTTGTGCTTAGTCATTTGAATATTTTTGGGTCGTTATTTTTCCTTATGCTATTAAAGTTATTTTCAAATTCCCAGGAGCAGACAATCTTGTGTACAAACGTCAATTCATTTTCTCAAGGTCTCCTTTTTCTAATGTATGCATGCATGCCATCAATATTTACCGCACTACGGTTTAGCATATGTGCAAATGCAATTGAAAAAGCATTCAAATTTTAACAATAGCTTGATTTCTAAAAGTCTCCTTTTTTTTATACACCCTGTATAATCTGGGCCTTAGACTCGGCTTCGAAATTCCAAAGTGGCACGAGCAATGGTTGACTGCGCTTATTCATTGTTAATGGCACTTGGATTTAGAAATGATTTAATTTGGGGGCGTAAATTTGAAATACAATGGGTTTCCCCCAAAAAAGTCCCCCCTATTGAAATGAAGCTTTTGTTGGAATTTTAATGCATGAACAACGCAGTAGTTTGTAAATAGCATAGTTATTAGGTCGATCTCGAGGCATTCAAATAAAGCGTCTTGCTTTCAATTGGGGTTATCATATACAGGATGAGTAAAAAAAACGGACACTTTGAAATTCAAATTAGTCGCATAGCGGCTGTAATGTGACAGAAGTTGCTTAAAATATTTCATAGGTATACGAAGCATATCATATTAATTAACCTAAGACATAAAGTTTGTTCATATTGGGAGTTAAAATGCATTCTAAGCTCTGTAAATACAAAAGAACAGTATTATCAAATCGTTTTTGCTGATTGTACATGGGAATTGTCAAATTCCAGCCATTAGTTCGCAGCTAATTTGAATTTCAAAGGTGTCAGTTTTTTTTTACTCACCCTGTATAATATCAATAACGCAATCATGCAGATTATAACAAAGGCTTGATTTCAATAGAGGGGACTTTTTTTTAGGACACCCTGTAGAAACTCACCCTGTAAAAGTCGAGTGAAGTGCTACAAATCTTAATTGATTCAACCTCATACTTCAGCTTTACTCAAAGATATTTGATTAAAAATTTAAAAGATTTGGAATATTGCGCATTCGTGTTTAATTTGATTTTCATTCCAAAAAATTATCACATCAAAATCATTAAAATGACGATCTGTATAGTGAAAAATAAAAAGGACACGGCGTATTAACTCAAATTCTGATTAATTAATAAGAAGATACGCCAAATCTACAACACCGACGTAAAGTAATACCGTCTTCATTTCCACAGTTGCACAACAGGAATAAAAATTATCGACTCCTTTTGGTAAAGATTAGAAGGTCAGCAAAATTTAGAAGGTATGTAAAACTAATTCAAACTGGGTTCCTAACACTAAAGGCTGATTTCATGTCGTAGATTTTGTGTATCTGAAGGTCCTTAATATTGGTTGAAAAGTGGTCTATAAGAGATATTTCCCACTCTCGACCCCTAAAGACGCCTTAAGTATGAGAATGTTGAGCGTAGGGAATGTTTAGCTACTTTTTAGATTATTCTCGCCACGTAATTTTAGTCCTTGTAATTGCAGGTTTACGAAATATTAAACTATCTGTATCTATCTAATGGCATGAATAATAATGATCGAAGCTTCTGGTAATGGTGCCATTAATTAAATGAAACATTATAATCATCGAGATGACAGATCGGAATGTAATTTTTTCAGAATGTCATAGATTTTTGAATTATTTTTCAGATCTTTTATCACTCACTTGTAAGGTCGGAAACAGTTTAGTTAGCCGCGTCTGTTTCAGAAGCGTTTTGTGGGAATTAAAGTCATTGAATGTGATATGAGGTAAGTTTACATTCTACTTTGATTTTCACGGAAAAGACTACGACGGCTAAGACGGCAAATTAATGCATGTGTATTGTGTAGCGAATGTTTGTGATATTTATATGACGCAGTCGAAATAGACTTGTAATCATTGTTTTAGAGCGTTTTTGTTGTTCATCGTCGAAAATCTCCGTTGCAATCCCATTACTAACAAAACGTTTCAGAAAAATAAATTGTGCGTTGTATATAGTATATAGTTTTGCTTATTTAACGACATCCGTTTCAGCCGTAAATATAACACAGAACTTGCTTCCGAATTAATTCAACACATATTGATAAGATAAATATTTGGTATTTGAGTGTATTTGATGAGAAATCATAACGCATATTGTGTTGTGTTGTGCATCAAAATATTTAAAACCATGCAACCGCCATTATAACTATAAATTCATTCATTTCATTGTGAAAACCTAATGTTATAGGGAACACAGTATTTTTAAGTCTTGTATGCATGCTCTAGCATGTCCTGACCTGAGTGACCTCGGTTCTATGGTTTAACTATCTATATAGTAAACCGGCAGTGTTTTGCCATTTAGTGTATGGTAAAGATAAGACATAACATTACTTGGAACTGGAGTAATATTTCTACTGATTTTCATATCAAAACTTGTAAACCTATAAGAGTATTTTTTCTTGTTTTTTATCGTACGAAAACAACTTTCTCTTATAGCGCAATAAACATGCTTCGTTTTAAACTGCTGGTAATTAATGTCCTGATCTCATGGATCTCATTTGTTTCTCCTGAAAAAAAGGTCAGATAATCTCGAGGTTATTTATTTAATTATTTGTTATTTTTTCATCATATTTTCTTTCAATTTAATTCACTAAACAAAGTTGTTTCTCTCGAATCGTCCAAGCGAAATCAAAATGAATTTGTTGATGTATCTTGACAGATTGTGGACATTCAAACAGGTTATGATCCTGGCTCGTGTAGCAAGAAGGAACGTGGTTTGTTAAAACTAATCAAAGATCGTTCAAACAATGATAAACTGTTAATTTGCAAGGAACAAAATGGAATTTATGCTTGGAAAACAACGGACGGTACTTGCTCCATGTGTAATGTGTTCTAAAAGGCGCGGAATTGTCTGCCAATCGCAGAAACTATGTTTAGTTTTTCGAACCGCCAAACTGAATATCCACTTCGTTTCTAGGTTCCAGTCCCTCTGGCGAATATTTCAATCCTGGATACGACTGTACGGATATTTTGAATAAGAATTTTGAGTCTCGAGATGGTTTTTATTGGATAAATTTGAATCGAGCTGCTCCCAAGAGGGTTGGTGAATTTATCATTGGACTTTTTATCATGAAGCAGTGCTAGCGCCTGCCCATTCCTAACTACCTTTTATCGCAGGTCTATTGTGACATGACAACAGATGGAGGGGGATTTGCGCTGATTGGTAAACTCAACAGTTCCGTGACATGGAAAGTTCCATCCAAAAACACAACAGTTGATCCATTTGGTGAATCTCAGTGGTCCAGTGATCTCGGTGACGCTCCAGTTCTTGATTTCAGAATACAAATATCAACAACGGAAAACTTGGCTAAGACAAATGCTCACTGGTAATAAGAATAGGAATAAGTCATTGTCTGTTGAAAATTTGAGAACAAATTCCCAAGTATTTGAGTTATTGACTAAGGAACACCTGCACTCAGGGGATCAAAAAATCATCCTCATGACTTAATCTTGAGTCAATAATTCAGTAACTCAACATTTGCGTATTTAAAACTATTTATGGTAGTCTAAGATCAGTTTTTTCTATTGTTCTTGTGTCAATTGTAAAATATATTTACACTTCACATCTTTGCAGGTCCTACAGACTGCGAAATATTCGTCCTCTCAAAAATATCATGATTGTTAATCAGGGGGGTTGTGGACCAACATCACCAGGCATTGGTGACATCGCTTATGTCAAAGATCTCCGGACTGAGAAAATTGTTGCAACAAAATTTCGCTGCTCACAATTTGGAACATTTCGACATTTTTTTCTAAAATCTGGATGGGTTAGTTTGTTAAGTTGTTGTTCATTTTCCTTTTTATAGTTTTAAGAGTGTTGGACATTTGTTGGCATGCCTTGATTTCTAATGTTAAACGAAACGAACAAAGCATATTTTGCTTGCTTAATCCCTGAAAGACGCTAAATAAATACATTTTCCATTCAATTTAAGGCAATGATTAATGAATGCTTCGAAAAACAATGTCCACAAGGTTTTGCTTTCCACCCTGTATATCCTATTCAAACTGACTCGTCAGGATCTTTCAGGTATAAACTAAGCACTAACACTAGGATGTACTTGGCGTATCTTATTTCAATTTGGGAACGAGATGTAGGGAGGGGAATGAGGGGTACCGTGCTCTTATGAAACTTTAATTTTCTAAAATTTATCCATTCAAAAGGAAAATTGTACCCCCCCCCCCCTTTGCTCAACTGTCCTTACACATTTTTGTAAGCGATGATGTATTCAGTTTATATTGTCTTTTTGAGAAACGTAATATCAAGAGGTTTGTTTTACTGACATCGCAGCATCATTTAAAATTTTAAAATTGCTGGTGTAGTCAATGACGGTCAATAAGTGCCTCCATAGAATACAATAGAATGTGCAGGGGGAGAAGTTAACTAGAGTTGAAATCGCATGCCGGAATATGTAGAAAGAAAATTTCTACATATATATTACAGCTACAGTGTGGTGAGCGAAACATCTGGAATCAGTCACAATTCATCTGCATTTATCGGTTGTGATAAAGGAATGGTAGGTCAATAGAGCTATTGTCACTCCAGACTTTGTACCTAGGCTTTAAATTCCCGGGATCATCCATATATCTAGAATAAGTTTGCATCTTTAAACAAGCATTCGAACTTCGTATAGGCGTATAATCTCAGACTTCTAATTATGCATAAATTTTGAAACCGTATGTGCCTGTATTTCACTGATTTTAAGGAATAAATCTGAATTTTAGTGCTGCAGTTGTTTTAGTCCACCAGACAGCACAGAAGATCTCTGTGGCACAGATTGTAAGGCGAAACCTGGAGCAACTTTGATAAAGAATGTTTATTCATGGTTCTGGGTGAGGACATCTTCTCCAAAGAAAGTTTGGAACAAATGCATGGATTATAAAGTTTCTGAAACTAACGGAGACGAGGTCTGGTACAAGTTGGTTGGTCAAAACGTTGTCCCTAAGAGAGTAAGTCAGCACGAACATTGCTTCCTTGTCCGTGGCAGAGATAACTGACTTATAATTATATTCATTGTAATTAGAATGTGTATTTTTTGGAGGCATTTAAATGTGGGCGTTGCAAGTGATTATGTAATACTTCCTTTTAGGGTCGTTGTTCCACAAACGAGCCGCTGTTAAATGATGGAGTAAGTAATAACATGATATAATAGTAACAATTCCATGCTCTGGTCCATTCCGATCTAATTTTAAATAATCAAATATAGTTGTGCTTTCTATTGTACCTTACTTTCCTCTTATAAAAGAATTTTTGAATATACCATTTTTGTCTTAGATTATAGTTGTTCCTGATAATGGAAGTGTTAGTAAAATTCCAGCCGTCTCAGGAATATTAAAATTTCAAAAGGACAATCAAAAACTTTATGTAAGATCAAATGAAAGATGGAATGCGATTGCAGAAGAGAAAAAGGTAGTCGTAATATTTATAATTTATAACCTCAAGCACGTGCGAAGCGCCACGCGAGGGTACTAATTCCGCCCGGGTGTTGTGGCCGTTGGATGGTATTGTCAGTTATGCGATGCGCGAAATTTGAATGGGAAAACACTTTACAAAATAAAGCGATCAAAAAGAAAGAACGATATATAATCGATAATCCTCCAAGTGTATTAACAATTAAGTGTCTTTGTTTATTCCGTATTTGCTGTCATTAAAATATATATAGTTTACAGTTATAGTATATGAGCTTGGTATGTCGTTTTGCAAAGACATAACCGATCAACTTGGAAAGTCGGCTGCAAAACGCCAATATATTCGCTGCATAAATATTCGAAGAATAAGTACTAATATTATACTTCAAATTCAAATTGGCCAATCAAAAAACATTATTTCTACCATGTGACCAAGAGATTTTTCGTGGTATTGCATCCCAGCCTCCTATTTCCGAGCCAGGCTTGTGACATTAACAGTAGCGTAGCCATGCAGCCTGTCGATTTGTCCCGCTATGCTAATATTTTTGTGTTCACTGACTGTGAAAACAATAGATTTCTAAAGACATGAATTATTATAATAACTCGAAATTTACATAGCGGGACAAAATCGTCAGGCTGGCTACGCCACTGGACATTAAATTTATCACACTGTGATATTAGATTATAATTTATCTCAAGCGACGTCTCGCGAGGACTACACGCACCCACTGAAAATAATGATATTTTCCCTCGAAGTCCTCGGGAAATATCATCATTTCGGGAAATATTTCGCCGAATCCCCCTCAATTCAAGTTAGTCTGATAAATAACATCTGACATTTAGTCCTTGAACATTTTGCACAGTTTTGATGTTTTCAAGGTTGAACACTCATGGAACTTTATTATTCGAATAACCTGCACTCAAAAAATCACCTTAATTGATATGAACCAAATTCACTTTTGTCGTTTATAGCTTAACTCCGCCATTGGCAAACTTACTCAACAAGTCAATGCTACCGTCGCTAAACTTACATCACGTTTGGATAAGTTGAATCATACAGTGGAAATAAGAAGAGGTTCTAATGACTAAATGTATAACGTGACCTTAAATACAAATGCAATTACGATGCTATGGTGCATCCTAATTGCAGATATTTTTCTAATTTTGACAGCGAGTTGCGCTAGTTTGTATCGAGCCGGAGCAAGAATCGACGGAGTCTACACAATAGATCCCGATGGCCTGGGATCGTTTCAAGTCAGATGTGATATGAGCACAGACGGGGATGGCTGGACCGTGTTTCAAAGAAGACAAGATGGAAGTCAAAATTTCTACCTTGGATGGTCAGACTATAAAGCAGGCTTTGGCGATTTTAACGGCGAGTTCTGGTTGGGCCTTGATAAGATACATCGTTTGTCCAAATCTGGTCAAAATGTTCTAAGAGTAGATTTGATGGATTTCGATGGCGCGGAAATTTACGCTAAATATGGAACGTTTAGTGTGGCTGATGAATCAGACAAATACAGATTGAATATTGGCAGTTTTTCAGGTAAATCACACTCTTTGTAAAAATAATACAGCCAACAAAAATATCAAGTACTTGTTTATAATCAACTAAAGACTAAGTATATAGGAGCCGTAATAACACCAAAGTTTTGCATTGAGCATATTTTTCCACGGCTTTTGTTTCAATCATTTTCATGACCAAAATACGAGCAGGTTGTAAGTATGCATGCTGGCATAAATAACCGAGCGATTCATAAAATAAATTTCATTTATTGGATTCTATTTCATACGATCGTGTGCAAGGTTTTAACACCTTTCGTCAATAACGATAGGAGAAACGGAGGCATGCAAATGCACTCTTATTCAAACTGGAAATTGGGCGGTTGCAGAAAAGGCAGCTATAGGTTCAGCAGCAATTGAACATGTGTTAATAGCATACCTGAGCTGAGCAGATGATTTTCGCGGGTTCATTTGATTAGTAAACGAAAAAATCATAAATAAGAATGGTTTTAAATGTTTTGCATTTCATATTACATGTCGGGCATGCAACAAAATGATCAGGCCACTAAAAGCAGAATCATTATGAATGATCCGTGACTGAAAAACCTCCAAGGTTTTGCCTGCGAGGTTTTGATCAGATGCTCAGTAAAGATATTTTTACCCACTTGAACCTTCCATCTTAGTCTTATTTGCCTAAGATGCAGATTCCCTATTAAGATTTTGGAACGAGGTCTAGTAGCAAAGACGAATTACTTTCCAGAAGGGCCCATTTGAATTTAAATAGGGTTATAGAAAATTTCAAAAGTTTACTTTCTATTTTTAAATGCTATTCATTGAGAATTTTTTATTATATTCTTGAAAGGTACCGCAGGTGATTCTCTTGCTTATCACAATCGAATGAAGTTCACTACCAAAGATAGTGACAATGATGCTTCGAATGGTGTTAATTGCGCTACGCTCAGGAAAGGAGCTTGGTGGTACAAAGCCTGTCACTTTTCAAACCTCAATGGCCTGTACCTGGGTGAAGGTCAGAGTAATTCCAAAGGAATAAGCTGGTTCCATTGGAAAAGGTCATGGCAGTCATTTAAAAAGGCGGAGATGAAAATTCGTCCAAGCCAGTTTTAAGATAAAACACCTTTATCACCAAGAACGCTGTATTTTAAATCATTATTTAAATAATTTTAAAGGCAGGTTAGGCCTGGTTTCCACCTCAACCGTATCGTAGCGAAACGTAGCGTATCTCATTGTTTAAGTCATTACGTTATGCTACGTTACGCTACGATACGGTTGAAGTGGAAAACAGGCTTTACAGTGGCTTCTGCACCTTGGTTCTGCTCATGACAATGAGTAGTGTACAATCTACTTGTTTCAAAATTGATCAAATTTCTGATGTTTTGTAATAAACTCTCTCTCATATTCAGGTAAAAGTATAGCGAACTAAAAGCGTGTCAAATATTCTGAAAGTTCTTGATATTTTAGGAAATATATGCGGAGCGTTTGTTAACACTACGGCCGGACGTGCGGACGCCTTTAGTGATGGTAATTATAATAAATGAATAAATTATAGCGTGCAATAATACGTTTGGCCGTTTGGACAGCAGCAGTCCGGCACCGCGTGCACTGCCACTAACAAAGGCTTCAGAAACATCTCATATAATTTGACCACTTCCCGTATAATGTGATCAGTCAACGTAAGAGATCGGGAGTGTACGTTTTCGAAGCGTCATGCAAGGTTAATCTGAATTAAGATCTTTCACAAGTCAGGGCACAAAACACAGTTTGGACGCTAACCGCGTTATTTCAGAAGCTTTATATCTGGTAAGTTGAATGTCGCTGTCATATAAATATTTATCCGTAATTGCGTATGAAACTACACCATATAATACATTTACCAATGTCGTGATTTTCTTATTCAATCATAAAAATTCCGACGACATTCGTTTAAGCAACAAAATAATATAAAATTCTATTTCTATAATATCTTCAGTCATAAGAATTAAGAGTTTATTTCAGAAATCGTGGGTATGTCGACAGGTATTGATAACATAATTTATTGGGCTAATAATGAAGTGTATTTTTCAGCATTTTTTTCATGTTCTAACATGTTCTGACCTTCTGAAGGGTTCAACTATTGTTATAACAAATCGTATTGCAATTCAGCGCAGGTTGCTAGTTTAATTCACCGGATGTTATTTATTACGTTAGTTGAAAGATGAGGCTAAGCGAGCGTGCCTGTATCTGCTAAAATCTAGACGAAAGCTGCTCTTTCCGCTGAAAGAGTTTTTTCCGGCCACCAAGTCTGTGAAAACGACACATTGTCATCAAATGATTATGACAATTTATAATACGCGGGTAAGCGCGTCCAATCATCCAGCGATCGATGTTGCAGATCTATACGTGGTGAAAAAATTCTACTCTTTACTTTAAATAGTTTTTGACCCGGACAGGATTTAAAAAAAAGAAGGAAATTGCATATTCCACGCAGTGGAAAATATACGGCTTTCATGTAATCATATTGGATAGGACGCATATAAGATATAAGCCTGACATCAGAGGTCACTCGTATCCATCATTTCATAAATAGCTCTCGGGACCCAGATTAATAAGTATATATACGATTTTTGTAAATCCGGATTATCATTTAATAATATCTTCTTCTTATCGTTTTTCACTACGCAAACAACTTTCTGTTCTAGCGCGCTGAACATGTCAGTTTGCTTTAAACTGCTGACAATCACTATCCTGATCTCACGGATCTCTTTTGTTTCACCTGAAATTAAGGTCAGATGATTTCAATGTTAACATTATACTTTGCTTAACTATGACATTAACTAAACAAGAGAACTTCAAAGTATTTACCGATACTCTCCTCCGCGTTAAACCAATTTTAATTCTTGATGTATTTTACCAGAGTGTGGACATTCAAACAGGTTATGATCCTGGCTCGTGTAGCAAGAAGGAACGTGGTTTGTTAAAATTGATCAAAGATCGTTCAAACAGTGATAAACTGTTAATTTGCAAGGAAGAAAATGGAGTTTATGCTTGGATGACAACGGACGGTAAAGTTCTATGTGAAATGTGTTCTAAAAGTCCCAGAATTTAATTCTCGACACTTTTTTGTTTTGTGTAGTTGTTCAGACCACTAATATGAACATACGTTTCCATTGTAGGTTCCAGTCCGTCTCGCGAATATTTTAACCCCGGCTACGACTGCACGGATATTTTGAATAAGAATTGGGAACATCGAGACGGATTTTATTACATAAATTTCAATCGGGGTGTTCCCAAGAGGGTTGGTGATCGAATTTATCATTAGTCTTATTTATAATTCGATCCTAATTGCTTTTCTAGTCCCACTCCTAATTGCTTTCTTTACCGCAGGTCTATTGTGACATGATAACAGATGGAGGAGGATTTGCGCTGATTGGTAAACTCAACAGTTCTGTAACATGGAAAGTTCCATCCAAAAACACAACAGTTGATCCATTTGGTGAATCTCAGTGGTCCAGTGATCTCGGTGACGCTCCAGTTCTTGATTTCAGAATACAAATATCAACCACGGAAAACTTGGCTAAGACAAATGCTCACTGGTAAAAAGACAAATAATTTTTTGTTTGGAAAATCTAAGATCTAAGAATAAAGGAAACTCTTCGGTTCACATGCCACACCGGTTACATAAAAAAATCACTAAACACCTGACGCAAATGCTCACTGGTAAAAAGAATTAAAATTAATTTTATTGTCTGTTGAAAATCTAAAACCAAATCTCAAAATGCTTGACTCACATACCACCCTCATAAGGAATCTGGCAATCTAAGAGACTAGCTTGTCCCATCGCTTGACTTAATATTCCTGTAACTCAACATCTATGCACTCCAAACATCTTCCTAAATCGAAATATGGTGTTAAATATATTCTTCCCTAAAATGATTCCTTATCTTTGCAGGTCCTACAGACTGCGAAATACTCGGCCTCTTAAAAATATCATGATTGTTAATCAGGGGGGTTGTGGAGCAACATCACCAGGCATTGGTGACATCGCTTATGTCAAAGATCTCCGGACTGAGAAAATTGTCGCGACAAAATTTCGCTGCTCACAGTTTGGAACACATCAACATTCTTTTCTAAAAATTGGATGGGTTGGTATTTTAAGTTGTTGTTCATTGTCCTGTTTAGAGTTTTATGCTTGTTCGACGAACCTTTTGTTGACTGTATTGGCATACTGCATTGCTTCAAAGTTAAACGAAACGAGCAATACTTTCTTTACAATGCATAGTTCCTAAGAAAAACAAATGAATTTCATTTCCAATTTTTTAAGACAATGATGAACGAATGCTTCGAAAAAGAATGTCCCCAAGGTTTTGCTTTTCACTCACAATTTCCTATTCAAACTGACTCGTCAGGATCTTTCAGGTATAATAACTCAGTAAGGACCGACACTTTTATGTATCAGTCGTATCTTATTTACATCCGGGTCTGCGGTGCAATACCCTATCAAAAGGAATATTGCACCCCCTTATTCTACGGTCCTAAAACGTTGTTGAATTAAACGGCATGGTTTATTCCGTATATATTGCTTTTTAAAAAACGTGCTATCAAGACGTTTGTTTTATCATAACATTATTTAAAAAACTCGAAATAGCTGCTGTAGTCTATAACGGTTTGAAGTGTCTTTATAGAATGGAGTATATTGTGCAGTAGTAATGTTAACTTAAGTCGAAATCGCATGAAGAAATAACCAACAAAACGGAGACGGATAATGTTTCAGAATATTTATAGTGATTTTCCCATTTTCCCTATTACAGCTACAGTGTCGTCAGGGAAACATCTGGAATCAGTCGTAATTCAACTGCATTTATCGGCTGTGATAAAGGTGTGGTAGGTCAATATCGCTATTGTTATTCCAGACTTTGTAGCTTTTAAGTTTTCTAAATCATGCATATATCTAGGATAAGTTTGCATCTTTGAATCAGCCCGGCTATGAATTTCGCCTAGGATCCCACTGTATGGCGTCAAACCCAGACCTCTAAATATGAATAACATGTTGAGTACATATATGCGTAATCTTTTAGTTCTGCAGTTGTTTAACTCCAGCAGAAAGCACAGAAGATCTCTGTGGCACCGATTTTAAGGCAAAATCTGGCGCAACTTTGATGAAGAATGTTTATTCATGGTTCTGGGTGAGATCATCTTCTTCAAAGAAAGTTTGGAACAAATGCATGGATTATAAAGTTTCTGAAGCGAACGGAGACAAGGTCTGGTACAAGTTGGTTGGTCACAACGCTGACCCCGAGAACTTTGCTTCCCTTCCCGTAGTAAAGATGATCGATTCTTGCAATTAGAGTGTGTATTCGAACATTGCATGTCACTTAAGTGGTCTTTTCTCGTAAATGTATTACTAATTACTTCCTTTAAGCTTAGGGTCGAGCCGCTTTTGAATGATGGAGTAAGTAATAACATCATACGGAAATATTCCTATTTCATTTCAAGTCACTGCTATCGGTTATCTACCCTTTTCGATCTCAGCTTCCTTTCATGAAAGATTTTTTATAATTTCCCATTTCTATTTCAGATTATAGTTGTTCCTGATAATGGGACTGTTAGTAAAACTCCAGCAGTCCCAGGAGTATTAAAATTTCGAAAAGACACTCAAAAACTTTATCTACATTCAAATGAAAAATGGAATGCGATTGCAGAAGAGGAAAAGGTATGTTATAATATTTAGGAGCCATCTCTATGTTTTAATATTCTTATACAAGCAAGACCTTATAAATATTTTTTCTTATATTCCATAGTAACAATACTGCACATTCATACAACGCATTATTATTATTTACTTAATAACTTACCCAGGTTTTAGTATTATTCAAAAAGAAATAAAATCACCGTTTCAATTTTACTATATAATAAGATTTAAGCTTTTTGTTGTTTATAGCTCAATTCTGCACTTGAGAAACTTACGGCTCGTTTGGACAACTTGACTCGGAATTTTGAAACAAAAGGTTCGGTACAGATAATACAAATTATGAATGTGTATGTTATATCATTAATATGCGTATGTTATATCATTACACGGGGTTGATGGAGTGCTTTCCTCTAATTTTCTAGAAGCTTGTATTCAAACTCATGCAGCCAGTTGCGCCAATTATTATAAGTGCGGAATGAGACATGATGGTGTTTATACCATAAATCCTGATGGTTTAGGATCCTTCCGAGTCTATTGTGATATGAACAGAGACAGGAGTGGCTGGACCGTGTTTCAAAGAAGACAAGATGGAAGTCAAAATTTCTACCTTGGATGGTCAGACTATAAAGCGGGCTTTGGTGATCTTAACGGCGAGTTCTGGTTGGGCCTTGATAAAATACATCGTTTGCACAAATCTGGCCAAAATGTTCTAAGAATTGATTTGATGGATTTCAATGGCGCGGAAGGTTACGCTAAATATGGAACATTTAGTGTGGCTGATGAATCAGACAAATACAGATTGAATGTTGGCAGTTATTCAGGTAAAACACACCCTGCTTGGTGTGTTATTTACCATACACATAATTATGAAAGTTCAAAATTATTATACCATATTTCATCGATATACGTTTTTTATTCCTAAAACACCACCACCAGGGGCCAGTTGTATAACAGACTAGTTAACTTTTAACTGCATGTAGTTAAAAAAAGAATTGGCGAATCAGAGTCGTGTATTTCTGGGTTCACTAGGATTTAACTATGCAAAATGCATTTAAAGAGTTTGATACAACCGGCCCAGTTTTGATTTTACCATATTTATATGCCTGGTTTTCGTTTTAATTATTGTTTTGATAAAACTGTCAGGTTGCAAGAACCATGTACGCAAAAACAACTGAGCGCTTCTGTGGTATTTTCAGGGCACAAAAAATACATGATTGAATTTTTCAAATTTAACAAGTTTATTACACCTCAAAGTTATTCCACCTTTTGTCATTAACGATGTTGAACTTCCTTTGTTAATTAAACCAAGGTTAAGAGACTTTACTGAGTTTACTCGCAGATAAGTCAGTTTAATTATATTCCTAATAGGTGACGCAGGCGACTCCCTCGCTTATCAGAACCAGATGCAGTTCACTACCAAGGATAGTGACAATGATGTTGATAGTGATAATTGTGCTACTAAGTACAAAAGAGCTTGGTGGTACAAGACCTGTTATTCTTCCAACCTCATTGGCGTGTACCTGGGTGCAGGTCAGACTGACGGCACCGGAATAAACTGGTCTGGTTGGCACTATTTTTCAATGAAAAAAACGGAGATGAAAATTCGTCCAAGCCAGTTTTGAGGTTAAGGCAGGGACATAATTGAAGTTACTGGCAAGAATATAAGTTTGGGGATTTTTTCTGCATCTTAAACATAAATATAAATTTATTTTCGATTGGTTATCATGCGATTTTAGTCCGTCAAAAATATGCTCTAATGTCCGAAACAATTAATATTGTCACACTACTTTGATAAAATAATTAATGTCAAGTAGGATATAAAACACTAATTAATGTTGAAGACGTATCGGACGTTTGCACGAAACAGTTGAACCTTTTGTTTTTGAATCCAAATTATAGTAAGGTAATTTTATCCCTGATTGGTTATTCTGTGATTTGTGTAAAATATGCTCCAATACCGGAATGAATTAATGGTGCACTTCTTATTTAATTAATTAATTAATTAGGTAATATAAGTTTATTTATATTAATTAATAAATATTGCATATGATATATGTTATACGTTTGAAATTGCATGTTGGTTAAAGTCGCATTTCAGCCATCATAAGAGGTGGCATTCTGCGAGATACACTGTGGGACACTGCCGCAAAAGTAGCGACTGATTCAATTAAACAATAGATCCAGACCTAAATAAAATATATATAAGATATAATAGAAACACATAAGACCTATATAAAATATATAAGAGGCCTGCGATGTGACGAAGTTTGCAACAAAAATTAAAGCATTTTCTGATGTTCCAACTGGCTGGACATTACGTCATAACGCAAACTTCTTATAAATATCTTTAGAAAACGCCAGTTTGCAATTAAGCACGTTGAAATAGTTTGTCTTACTTCCCGGTAAAAAATCTGACAAACAAGGTTAGTTTAAAAGTTTCAATCCATACATATTTTTCGAATAGCACTATAACACCGTTTGTGGCATGCTTTACTGATATAATTCACGAACGAAGCCTCTCCAAAAATCGCTGTGTGGATATACCTTCTCGAGAATAAATTAGCTCAACAAATGTGGAAAATCAGAGAAAACGTATATTATAACCTCCCACTGCATGAATGTACGATCCAAAGTTTCACTTTTCTACTAACGAAGTTCAAAACAGCAAGTACTCTTAGCAGAAACGGAGACGAAGTTGAAGGCAAGCTGCGATAAGGTGTGTATGAAAAAGCAACATTTCTAAAAATTCATCTTCCACGTACTTAGGCCTGCTTCTCGTAAGTCGCAGACAGTCGGCGATGAATTGTTTTGTGGTCGGTGACGACGAAAATTTATACAAAAGGTACTTTATTGTCCAGTGATCACCGACAATGGTCATCGTCTACAGTTGGTGACATATCAGAACCAGGCTTTATACTGCGATATTTCTCTCAACAGTAGATTATCAAATACAATTATGCTTTCTTCTTACTCTACCTCATTATAATAATCCAGTTGAGCTGTTTTTGCGCTTTCAACATCTTGTAATATAAATAATACAATATACAACTATCGCCAGACTGTTCTTCTTACGATAAGTCTCCTTCATTGACAGTTTAAATTTGAATAAAGCAAACTCGGTAGCTACACCGGCAATCGATCCCGTATTTATTTTACTTGTTTTTATACTTGTTTATCGCTTCTACTGCATAGCCAAATGTATGGATATAGATACTTGCACCGGGAACTGCTTTAGAGAACGGTTTTTAGAAACATTCCAATTGTTCATCAGTGTACTGCATGTCATCACTCCAAATCATCAACAGAAATGCAATTTCACGAAACTTTATATCGCGAGTCTTGCAAAGATCGATTCGTAAACATCAAGAGTCAATTTAATCGGCTTCAAACATTCGTTTAGTCGCATACGAGTTGCTTGGCTCATCGCGTTCATTTTTATCTGGAAACTTAATTGTCATTGTTTAGTTTGGTATCAGGTAAGATTATATATTACTACTATTAACATGGCATGGAAATTAAAAACTCCTATACAGCGTTGCTGCAGTTTTAGGGTTTTCTGTACAACAAAGAACATCTGTGTATTTATATAACGCAAAAGATTTGTTCTAGAGCGTTCTTGCTTTAATCAGATATATGGTGATATGACGGCGATGACTGTCTGGTCATAAATCGTCAAAAATTAATCTATAAAAATGCTATTCGCGCTCACACAGCATAAAAAAGCAGGTTGAAACGTTTCCAACTTTCATTAGATATGTATTTACCTTTCGCACTTAAATCAACCAGCAACTGCTAGACTTATAAGAACGATAAGTATGCATTCTCCAACAGCCTCAATTATAGTCCACTTTAAGTCCCAACTCGGTCCCTGAATCCGTATTCGACATTCATTTTTTATTCCAAATTCCCGTTCCCGCGAATTTGATGCCGTAAATTAGTTTGGAGTCACATATAGCCCTAATTTCAGCAAAAAATATAAGATAACCTTTAAATAGGGTTTATTTCAGAAATGCCGAAAAATATAGTATATGATCTGCCCTATATATAAACTAGCGACAATTCCAAGTGCATTGCGAAATCCTATACAGAGTTATGTGTCTGTGCCTCTCCTAAAGATCGAATTGAAAAAACGATCCAAGGCTCTTGCCCCTCTTCTAATATTGAGTCGGGCACAAAAAATATATATTCTAGAGCTTATGGTAGTATTGCGTCTAATCCCAGCTATTTAAAGCAAAAATACCAGCGAACACTCAGAAGTCAAACATTTTAATCATTCCATAAAAATGAGATCCAGGCTAATAAGTGGACCGATTTCAATAAGTTAGTAAGCCCCGATATTCATATTTCTTTCTAGTCTTGTATTTCACATAAGCAAACAACTCTTTGTTTATCTTACTTTCTTTACAAATCTGACAAACAAGGTCAGTTTAAAAGTTTCAATCCATACATAGTTTGCACTATAGCCCCATTTGTGGCATGTAATGCAACGGTCTAATTCATGAACGAAACTCCTCCGAAAATCGCTGTTTTGATATACCTTCTCGTGAATAAATTAACTCAACAAATGTAGAAAATCAGAGAAATACGTATTATATTCTCCCACTGAATGTACGATATAAAATCTCACTTTCTTACTAACGCAGTTCAAAACAGCAAGTACTCTCAGCAGAAACGAAGACAAAGTTGAAGGCAAGCTGCGATAAGGTGTGTATAAAAAAGCAACATTTCTAAAAATGCATCTTACACGTATTTAGGCCTGGTGCTCGTATGTCGCAGACAGTCGGCGATGAAATGTTTGTGGTCGGTGACGACGAAAATTTATACAAACTAGCAAGGCACTTTATTCTCCAGTGATCACCGACAATGGTCATCGTGGACAGTTGGTGACATATCATGCAGAACCAGGCTTTATCCTGCGATATTTTAGTCGCATTTCAGCCATCATAAGAGGTGGCATTTTGCGAGATACACTGTGGGACACTGCCGCAAAAGTAGCGACTGATTCAATAATACAATAGATACAGACATAAATAATATATATATAAAATATAATAGAAATACATAAGACCTATATAAAATATATAAGAAGCCTGGGATGTGACGAAGTTTGCAACAAAAATTAAAGCATGTTTCTGATGTTCCATTAATTGGCCGAACAGTACGTCATAACGCAAACTTCTTATAAATATCTTTAGAAAACGCCAGTTTGCAATTAAGCACGTTGAAATAGTTTGTCTTACTTCCCGGTCACAAATGTGACAAACAAGGTTAGTTTAAAAGTTTCAATCCATAGATATTTTTCGAATAGCACTATAACCCTGTTTGTGGCATCCTATACAATATATAATTCATGAACGAAGCTCCTCCGAATCGAGAACAGCTGTGTGGATATACCTTGTCGAGAATAAATTAGCTCAACAAATGTAGAAAATCAGAGAAAACGTATTATATTTTCCCACTGCATGATAGTACGATCTAAAATCTTACTTTCTTACTAACGCAGTTCAAAACAGCAAGTACTCTCAGAAGAAACGGAGATAAAGTTGAAGGCAAGCTGCGATAAGGTGTGTATAAAGAAGCAAGATTTCTAAAAAATATGCATCTTACACGTACTTAGGCCTGGTTTTCGACTTCTTGTATATGTGGCAGACAGTCGGCGATGAATTGTTTGCGGTCGGTGACGAAGAAAATTTATATAAAATAGCAAGGCACTTTATTCTTCAGTGAACACCGACAATGGTCATCGTCGACAGTTGGTGACATATCAGAACCAGGCTTTATACTGCGATATTTCTCTCAACAGCAGATTATCAAATACAATTATGCTTTCTTCTTACCCTGCCTCATTATAATAATCCAGTTGAGCTGTTTTTGCGCTTTCAACATCTTGTGATATAAATAATACAATATATAACTATCGCCAGACTGTTCACTTACGATAAGTCTCCTTAATTGACAGTTAAAATTTGAATAAAGCAAACTCGGTAGCTACAGCAGCAATCGATCCCGTATTTATTTTACTTGTGTTTATACTTGTTTATCGCTTCTACTGCATAGCCAAATGTATGGATATAGATACTTGCACCGGGAACTGCTTTAGAGAACGGTTTTTAGAAACATTCCAATTGTTCATCAGTGTACTGCATGTCATCACTCCAAATCATCAACAGAAATGCAATTTCACGAAACTTTATATCGCGAGTCTTGCAAAGATCGATTCGTAAACATCAAGAGTCAATTTAATCGGCTTCAAACATTCGTTTAGTCGCATACGAGTTGCTTGGCTCATCGCGTTCATTTTTATCTGGAAACTTAATTGTCATTGTTTAGTTTGGTATCAGGTAAGATTATATATTACTACTATTAACATGGCATGGAAATTAAAAACTCCTATACAGCGTTGCTGCAGTTTTAGGGTTTTCTGTACAACAAAGAACATCTGTGTATTTATATAACGCAAAAGATTTGTTCTAGAGCGTTCTTGCTTTAATCAGATATACGGTGATATGACGGCGATGACCGTCTGGTCATAAATCGTCAAAAATTAATCTATAAAAATGCTATTCGCGCTCACACAGCATAAAAAAGCAGGTTGAAACGTTTCCAACTTTCATTAAATATGTACCTACCTTTTGCACTTAAATCAACCTGCAACTGCTAGACTTATAAGAACGATAAGTATGCATTCTCCAACAGCCTCAATTAGTCCACTTTAAGTCCCAACTCGGTCTCTGAATCCGTATTCGACATGCATTTTTTATTCCAATTTCCCGTTCCCGCGAATTTGATGCCGTATATTAGTTTGGAGTCACATATAGCCCTAATTTCAGCAAAAATATATAAGATAGCCTTTAAATAGGGTTTATTTCAGAAATGCCGAAAAATATAATATATGATCTGCCCTACTATATAAACTAGCGACAATTCCAAGTGCATTGCGAAATCCTATACAGAGTTATGTGTCTGTGCCTCTCCTAAAGATCGAATTGAAAAAGCGATCGAAGGCTCTTGCCCCTCTTCTAATATTGAGTCGGGCACAAGAAAAAATATATTTTCTAAAGCTTATGGTAGTATTGCGTCTAATCCCAGCTATTTAAAGCAAAAATACCAGCGAATACTCAGAAGTCAAACATTTTAATCATTCCATAAAAATGAGATCCAAGGCTAATAAGTGGACCGATTTCAATAAGTTAGTAAGCCCCGATATTCATATTTCTTTCTAGTCTTGTATTTCACATAAGCAAACAACTCTTTGTTTATCTTACTTTCTTTACAAATCTGACAAACAAGGTCAGTTTAAAAGTTTCAATCCATACATAGTTTGCACTATAGCCCCATTTGTGGCATGTAATGCAACGGTCTAATTCATGAACGAAACTCCTCCGAAAATCGCTGTTTTGATATACCTTCTCGTGAATAAATTAACTCAACAAATGTAGAAAATCAGAGAAATGCGTATTATATTCTCCCACTGAATGTACGATATAAAATCTCACTTTCTTACTAACGCAGTTCAAAACAGCAAGTACTCTCAGCAGAAACGAAGACAAAGTTGAAGGCAAGCTGCGATAAGGTGTGTATAAAAAAGCAACATTTCTAAAAATGCATCTTACACGTACTTAGGCCTGGTGCTCGTATGTCGCAGACAGTCGGCGATGAATTGTTTGTGGTCGGTGACGACGAAAATTTATACAAAATAGCAAGGCACTTTATTCTCCAGTGATCACCGACAATGGTCATCGTGGACAGTTGGTGACATATCAGAACCAGGCTTTATACTGCGATATTTCTCTCAACAGCAGATTATCAAATACAATTTTGCTTTCTTCTTACCCTACCTCATTATAATAATCCAGTTGAGCTGTTTTTGCGCTTTCAACATCTTGAAATATAAATAAGACAATATACAACTACCGCTAGACTGTATCACTTACCAGAAGTGTCCTTCATTGACATTTTCAATTTGAGTAAAGCAAACTCGCTAGCTACAGCAGCAATCGATCTCGTATTTTACTTCCGTTCACACTTGTTTATCGTTTTTATACTGCATAGCCAAATAATTATATGGATGCATGTAGATATCTGCACCGTGTATTGCTTTAGAGAACGGTTTTTAGAAACATCCTAATTAAATTGTTGACCAGTCTACTGTTTGTCATCACTCCAAATCATCAACAGAAATGCAATTTCACGAAACTTTATATCGGAAGTCATGCAGATATCGATTCGTAAACATCAAGAGTGAATTTAATCGGCTTGAAACGTTTGTTTAGTCGTATACGAGTCGCTTGGCTGATCGCGTTCATTTTTATCTGGAAACTTAATTTTCATTGTTTAGTTTGATATCAGGTAAGATTATATATTACTGCTATTAACATGGCATGGAAATTAAAAACTGCTATACAGCGCTGCAGTGTTAGAGTTTTCTGTACAACAAAGAACATCTGTGTATGTATATAACACAAAAGAATTGCTCTAGAGCGTTCTTGTTTCACTCAGGTATACGGTGACGTCTGGTCATAAATCGTCAAAAATTAATCTATAAAAATGCTGTTCGTGCTTACACATGCAGCTTTTCCAAATTTCATTAAGTATGTATTTACTTTTCGCACTTCAATCAACCTGCAACTACTAGACTTATAGGAACGATAAGTATGCATTCTCCAACAGCCCCAATTAGTTGACTTTAAGTCCCAACTCGGTCCCGGAATCCGTATTCGACATGCATTTTTCATTCCAATTTCCCGTTCCCGACTTCCCGCCAATTTGATACCGTATCATTAGTTTGAAGTTACATATAACCATAATTTCAGCAAAAAATATAAGATAGCCTTTAGATAGGGGTTATTTTAGAAATGTCATTATACTTGTGCAATCGTGGAGTTTCGAAAAATATAATACATGATATGTACTACAATATGAACAAGCGACAATTCATTGCGAAATCCTATACAGAGGTAAAGCAGAAATACCAGCGAACATTCAGAACTCAGACATTTCAATCATTTCATAAATATGAGAACAAGGCTAATAAGTGGACCGATTTCAATAAGTTAGTAAGCCCCGATCATCATATTTCTTTCAAGTCATGTATTTCACATGGGCAAACAACTCTCTGTTTTAGCGCGCTGAACATGTTTCGCTTCAAACTGCTGGTAATCAATGTCCTGATCACGTGGAACGCATTTGTCTCTCCTGAAATTAAGGTCAGATGATTTCAATGTTAATTCTTGTTATGATTCACTTTATCGTATTCTCAATTTTGATTGGTTAATTTACCTGCAGTTAACCGTGCAAATAATACTCTGAGCATGCGCATTCGTTAAAACCGTTGGTCAGTTGCAAATAATACTCTGAACATGCGCATTGGCTCCAATTTTGTAAACAGTAATAGCGACTTGTTTAGCTGAACTTTCGGGAAATGAGTTGTATTGCTTGCTCGAAGAAAAAAAGGCGGAAAATACCAAAAAAATAATAAGATAAGTGAATGATAAAAGAATTATTTAACTCGGTTCACGCAAAATATCGTGATTTGTCTTCTGTGGCTCGCAGAATAATTGGATCTGCTCGCCGCCGAGAAATCACGATATTTTGCTCGACCTCGTCCAATAATTTATTATTATCCCCTCATTGCCGATTATCTCCAGTATCTTCCAAGCGAAATCAAAATCAATTTTTTTAAGTATCTTGACAGATTGTGGACATTCAAACAGGTTATGATCCTGGCTCGTGTAGCACGAAGGAACGGGGTTTGTTAAAATTGATAAAGGATCGTTCAAACAATGATAAACTACTAATTTGCGTCGAACAAAATGGAATTTATGCCTGGAAGACAACGGACGGTAATGTTTCCGGTGTAATGTATCATAAAAGTTCTGGAATATTCTCTTAAATGTTCTCTTTTTTGTGCCGTGTCTTTTTTGATCAGCTACAGAGAACATTTATTTTCATTCCAGGTTCCAGTCCATGTGGGGAATATTTCAATCCCGGCTACGACTGCACGGACATTCTGAACAAGAATTTCGAGTCTCGTGATGGTTTTTATTGGATAAATTTGAATCAAGGCGCTCCAAAAAGGGTTGGTAAATTAGTCATCTTTTAAACTCCTGGAATGTTATAATCAATTATTTTCAAGCCTCTTCAGTCTCATCTTCATTGTGTCATTTGTGTGTTTTTACCGCAGGTCTATTGTGATATGACAACAGATGGAGGGGGATTTGCGCTCATTGGTAAACTCGACAGTTCTGAAACATGGAAAGTTCCATCCAAAAACAAAACAGTTGATCCATTTGGTGAATCTCAGTGGTCCAGTGAGCTCGGTGACGCTCCAGTTCTTGATTTCAGAATACAAATATCGACAACGGACAACTTATCTAAGAAAAATGCTCACTGGTACAAGAACAATAATTTATTGTCTGTTGAAAATCTAAAATCAGTTTCCATATTGTTTTTGGTCACTATTCTAGCAAGAAAAAAGGGTCAAAAATATATCACTTCATTCTAGTTCCAATTGTTTCACCATCTTTATATTCTTCTTCATCGACTTCAACAACAACTTTTAACTCTACAACAGAAAATCTATTTATGAATAATTTTGTTCGTCTCTCGATCAACCCTTATAAAAAGTTTGAAGCCGAAAGCTGGATCTTTCGGCCATATATGCAACTTCTTTGCAACTTGCAATGCAATTATAATTTCGAGGAATGTTAATTTGTAAAAAGTGTTCGAAACAACTTTAGTTGCCTCAGGAGTTGTTGCATAGTGTAACACCGCCTTAAATGCGTGCAGTGCATTTTCTTTCCTTTTCCCCTTTAAATCATCCTTCTTTTGGATTTGTAGGTCCTACAGACTGCGAAATATACGTCCTCTTAAAAATATCATGGTTGTTAATCAGGGAGGGTGTGATGCGTCATCACCAGGCATTGGTGACATCGCTTATGTCAAAGATCTCCGGACTGAGAAAATTGTTACAACAAAATTCCGTTGCTCACAGTTTGGAACACATCAACATTCTTTTCTGAAAATCGGATGGGTTGGTTGTTGAGTCAAAGTTTCTTAACTCCATGCTATAGACATTTTAATGCATCGTTCGTTTTAATGCTTTAATGTTTCCGTGAGAAATAGAAACAAGCAAGATATTATCAAATATACATAGTGCTATATTAGAGTCTAGCTTAATTCAAAATTGATTACGTTTTTCGTATTTTTAATTCAAGGCGATGATGAACGAGTGCTTCGAGAAACAATGTCCTCAAGGTTTTGCCTTTCACCAAAAATTTCTAATTCAAACAGACTCGTCCGGGTCGTTCAGGTAAAATTACTCTACTAAACGCTATCACCAAAGCGTATTAACGATATGTTATGACTACCAAACGTGCAACCAGCCGGTCTGCTTTAATTTTCATTGTGATATCTATTTATAAGTTTTGCATGGTTGCTGTAGTTAGTCGCTGTATTTTGTTTTTTTGTTTTACTAGCTACAGTGTGGTTGGTGATACGTCTGGGATCCGTCACAATTCAACAGCATTTATTGGCTGTGACAAAGGGGTGGTAGGTCAATTAAGCTCTTGTCATTCAAGACCCTTAGACCTAAAAAACAGCTGAAATTAACTGGGCAACAACAATCCAAGGGCCGGGAATTAAGACCGAAGATGGAAGGGACACTTAGTCTACTTCAGTTTTCGGAGTAGGGACGATGTTAGATAAAATAAATTTACAGTGCTTTTGAAGTATTCGATGTAACTACAAATAATAAAAATACTAGAAGTAATCATAGATTAGCAAGTGCGTTCGTTGATAGGATTTCTAATCGTTAAAACACTGCAAAATAGATTCCTGATGCTTTGATAAGAATCCTCACTGATATTTCAAACACTTCAAAATCAAGATAATATATACAATTCCTACAACGTCTTAATCAAACAGGCGAATACGAAAGCCTAATTGCCCGGTCCTAACAACTTATAAAACAGCAACAAAATACGGAAAGCACGTAAAATTAGGACGCGACGCGAAATCCGGCAAGCGAAGCAAACGCAAAAACACCAAAGCGAGGCAAATGCCACACAAAATTCTCAAGACGACATAGCTTCCAGCCGTGACGTCACGATTAGGAGGATTAATTCTCCTTTGTCGAACGCAAATACATATTTGTCCACGCTCTAAACTCGTTAAAAGTCATTGAAAGCTACAAAACGGCTATTTCCAACGTTCGAAGCCTCCCAATTTTCAAAACTGAATATTCTCTCTAAACGACATTCTGCATGGTTGCCTCAGCGTTATCAAACTAATTTATAAAACCTCGCCCAATATCCTTGAAGAAGTCGGTCCCTAGAAAACGTTCACTCCCCCGCAGAAATGCTTTTGCACCCTTAATTACTACGGAGCTATCTGATTTCAAGTATAGTCCCAAAAATTCTTTTGATCCCACTGGCATAGGTTGATTTTATACGACGAGCGATCTCATTATAAATGGAATAAGAATAGTTTCGATATACCTTTTTAGTGTTGCAGTTGTTTTAGTCCACCAGATAACACAGAAGATCTCTGTGGCACCGACTGTAAGGCAAGACTCGGTGCTAATGTGGTCAAGAATGTTTATTCATGGTTCTGGGTGAGGACATCTTCTCCAAAGAAAGTTTGGAACAAATGCATGGATTATCAAGTTTCTGAAGATGACGGAGACGAGGTCTGGTACAAGTTGGTTAGTCAAAACGTTGTCCCCAAGAGAGTAAGTCCGTTTCTTTTTTAAACGCGGACCTGTATGCAGCGAAGTTCTCGTTTAAATCTATAAAAGCCATACCCCCAGTCTTGAGACATGCATGCAGTCCGTGGTAAAGGTAATCGAGATGCTATTGATTGTATATACTTATTATAATGAAATTTATTACACCTATGGATTACCTTTCTCTCTAGGGTCGTTGTTCAACAAACGAGGCGCGTTTAAATGATGGAGTAAGTAATATTTATTGTATAATCGTTGCAATCTCATGTCCGCTATGTACTATCACAATACCTGGGTGTAATTGCTAATCTCCGAGCGGAATTAGTACCCTCGCTGGCGGAGATAAGCTACAATTTCCACCAATTTAAATTGGTCTTGCCCTCGATTTTTCTAACGATTTTTATGGTAAAATGACAAAATTTACCTTCTAACAACAATTTGCGACCGAAAGTCATTTTGGACGTGGGAGACCGAACAAGGGTTATTCGAGGATTAGATAATAGAGAGTTTTAGTTTGACGTTTACGGAAAACCGCAAACCGCGGTTTCACGTCACCGGTTTCACGTTGCCGTTGTCACAAATTTGACTTTTAGTTGGCGGTCATTTACCTATACCTTACGTTTGAACGATTCAACATTGGCATTCAGTACACAGTTTTGCTGTTAAATTGCTTTTAGCTATGTCTAATGCTTCCGTTTTTTTAAATCAAATGTTATTTACACCTGGGTTGAAAAGAACCTCAATTTTAATAAGCGAGTATCGAAATACGATATCATGGTAAACCGCCATATTGCCAGTCGTGTTATTAAATAGTGGTAGTCGCTTTCTCAAAGAAAACTGGTAAACTTATTGAAAACAGGCTGGAATATTAACACAAAGAAAATTTCTAATTAGCTACGTTTACATCCCTTTTTTCTCAGGAAAATATTTATTTGTTTGGACAAGATCACTTTTGTTCTTATCCTTGGTTAGGAAAAATATTATATTTTTTCTGGCATTTCGTTTTTTATGTTCTTATTTTTTAGATTATAGTTATTCCGGATGACAGAAATGTTCCCGAGGTCAGAGGAATATTAAAATTTCAAGAAGATAATCAAAAACTTTATGTAAGGTCAGATAATAGCTGGAATATGATAGCAGAAGAAAAGGTAGGTAGTTACAATAACTTTTTTTAAAAGTATGTACATATTCTTTTATACTGCATTGTCTAAATCTTTAAATACCTTATTTCAGACTTTCTCTTGTTTCTAGATTTTAATTGAAGTCAATGTTACCGTCACTAAACTTACATCACGTTTGGATAAGTTGAATCGGACAGTGGGAATAAAAGGTTCTAACGACTGAATGTTATAACAAGACCTTAAATAGATATGATACGGTGCAATAGTAAATTTTTCAACTAAAATTTAGCATGCAGAGCTTTTTCTACTATTTTGACAGCGAGTTGCGCCAATTTCTATCAAACCGGAGCAAGAAAAGACGGTGTTTACACAATAGATCCTGATGGCCAGGGACCGTTTCAGGTCAGTTGTGATATGAGCACAGACGGGGGTGGCTGGACCGTGTTCCAAAGAAGACAAGATGGAAGTCAAGATTTCGACCTTGGATGGTCAGACTATAAAGCAGGCTTTGGTGATCTTAACGGCGAGTTCTGGTTGGGCCTTGATAAAATACATCGTTTGTCCAAATCTGCCCAAAATGTTCTAAGAGTTGATTTGATGGATTTCATAGGCGCTGAACGTTACGCTAAATATGGAACGTTTAGTTCGGCTGATGAATCAGACAAATACAGATTGAATATTGGCAGTTATTCAGGTAAATCAAACCCTGGGATAGATTTTGACATTTTTATTTAATCGTACATAATAGCAGGTATGCAGCGATTACACGAATCACGCTAATTTCAACAAAAATATTTGTTTATATCAAGTCATTTAAGAACCATAAATCACGGAGTTTATATAACGCATAGGAAGATTCTAAACATCATGTATTTCATGGTTGTACGTTGATTTTCACAGCTAAACCGCGACCACTAGTTTTGCATTGACCATATTAATTTTTATGCATTTTGATTATTTTTATTAATTCCTTTAATTATTTTCGTCACCAAAAAAACGAGCAGGTAATCAAGCGATTGATAAAAAATTAATTATCTTGCATTCTCTCTTTGTGGTACTTTTGGGGCACAATGCAAGATTATTACACATTTTGTCATTACGATTTGTTAAAGTTGAACATTTTATATTTGTTAATGAAACGAAGGATAACTAAGAATGGCTTAAAAAATTCCCTATTTCATATGAATGTCTAGCAATTTGACAAAACGCTTTGCATGACCACTAAAAACAGCATGGCCAGAAAATTGACCGAGCGGTTGATAAAATTACAGACCTTCAAGATGATTTAGAGCTCCCCGATTGACAAATGCAGCAGGTTTTCATACGCGTGAATGAACTCAATCCAATCGATACCTTGCAGATTAGCCGTTTAGAGATCGAGTAAACCAAACTGGTAAAATTGCAGGAAAGGCAGGCAATTTTGGTTTACTTCGTCGAATTGAACCTACGTCGATGCGATTTAACGGCAATGTCTTCACCGCTACTACCCTACTTTGCATTTCATCATGCAAGATTTAAAAAAATAATGTTACCTTTTGGTTTAAACTTTTTTCCATTGAGGAGTTTTATTGTATTTCTTAAAAGGTAACGCAGGTGATTCTCTGCGTTGGCACAATCAACTACAGTTCACTACCAAAGATAGTGACAATGATAAAGCCCCTAGTAGTAATTGTGCTATACACTACCGCGGTGGTTGGTGGTACCATGCATGTCATAGTTGCTACCTCAATGGCCTGTACCAGATTGCAGGTCAGAATCGTGGCAGTGAAATATTATGGAGCGGCTGGCACCATTATCCTTTGAAAAAGACAGACATAAAAATTCGTCCAAACCAGTTCTAAGAAAAGGACGAGCTTTAGCAGGGATATAAATATCTGCCAAGAACATCGAGTGTGTTGATTTTTTAATTGTAACAGGATAATTCATGCGAATCAATTTGTGATTGTTTACTATCATTCTAGTCGCAAAAAATACTCTATTGATATAATAACGGTATAATAACAAACCTAAGTCAGTAATAGTTACTAAGGAGTAAGGATGCAAAAATTCAGACCTTTTTACATCAACTCGATTATCCGATATTCAAAGGGAAGAATTTGGAAGATTCTATCGCATTTAGAATAATAGCCTATATAGTCATCTCATCATTTACCAGGTGGGTTAAGCCGAGTAAAAAATCATACTGTGGTACCGGGTTACTATCGAAAAAGGTGAAATTTTGTAGTTGTGACGGTAGAGATTTTTAATGTCTGAGCCCTCAATAAATATATTTAATTTTCATTTTTTGTAAACTTACGTTTTGATTGATTGATTTGTATACCAGGCGAGGGAATAGTCTCACCTCAAACTTTTTGTACTAACCTCGCTCTTCGAGAGCTTGGTCTGTTCAAAAAGACCTCGAATCGATAATTTCTTTAAAGACCTCGCGCTCGGTTAACAAGAAGTCATTCATAAATCATACGATCTTTATATTCAACGTTCTCGACGTAAGCCTCATTCGTGCTTCTTAGAAAAAAAGAAAATACAGTATACTTGCTCTTATCAACAATTGAACTTCAACCATTCAATGTTTTCAGTATGCAATATTATCGTATTGACGCATTAGATACTATCCTCAACTGGGTGATTTGACATTTAGCCCGCTTTCAAAATGGCAGCCATTTTGATACAAGCCTGCGATTCGACATAGGAATTTGAAAAGCGGTATACTCCATGAATGTAGGTCGTTTTTGTGACATCGCTGGGCATTTTAAGACACTGGTCCTGACGGTTACGACTAGTGTGAAACGTTTGCCTCATACATAAACGTTTCTCAAGCCTACGTGAAGTTTTAGACAACACGAACGGCATGAGCAATGTCAAAAGACTGGGTTAAGAATTTTGATTGGTGAAAAACAACAACTTTCCTTCCTGTCAACGTACGTGTTGTCAAAAACGTTACTTGCTTGAGTTCATTAATGTTTTATAAGATTTATTATGATAATTATTACCATCATAATTGCCAAAAAGCTAATGCGTAGAAGTACAGATTATCCATTCAGAACGACGTTTTACTCAGTCTAATTAAACTAAAAGGGATTTAAAACCCAGCACACGAGAGAAACTTGCTGAGCTAACAGACTCGCGAGGTATTTATTTAGCTCAGTTGATAGCTCTCGTGTTTGGCGGGCTTAAGAGCTTGCCTGATTGCTATCAGCCAGTGCTGTTCGAAAACGCACACGTAGCTATTGCGCAAGATTTGACAGCCTAAACACATAAGAAATCATTTGCTTGTGTCCATATTGATGAATGAAAAATAATGCACGGAACTTGTTCTTGGTTGTCATGAAGTAATGAAATATACCTGCGAGCCTAATTTTGAAAAACGTCATAGGCAGCACTCGCAATAACAATCAGCCTAATCCCTCACGAAAAAAAAGGTTTTTTGTCCTTTTCAACCTAATCAAAATAACTTTCGGCTTCGCCTTCGCTTTTGAGAAACTAAACTATTTTTATCATATGTATTTTACCAACAACTATACGCTTTAACTATTCAATTAAGTATTTATGACTTAAGACCACTTTAACGCAAGAGAGAAATAATATATTAGCTTAGTTTTTTATATTATTGAAAGTGCAGGGGTACGTGGTGTAGTGAGACTATTATGTGGACTACAGAGAAAGGCGGTTGAGAAGGAGGATTTAAGTTCAAAATGGTTAATCCCAGGCTAAGGAACTCCTGCGGCTGTTAGCTGATGTTTTTCGGGCTGAGCTAACTGCCTCGCGAAATCGTTAGCACAGCTGATAGCTCTTGTTTGCGGCGGGTGCTCCAAAGGAACTTAATTTTAGCGTGAGGGTAATGAACTGTTTAAATTATGCAGTACTATGTGTATATAAGTGTGGGAGTGTTCTGTTGTTTGTTATTCGTATTCGCTATTCGCATCGAAATCGTTTACCAGAAAGTAAATATAGCAGAAAGGCTAGTTTTTTCCTTCGAACCAAATTGGTATGGATTCCGTACCGACAGATGCTCTTGGCGTCGAACTATATCATCAGTTAAGTGAGCTTTACGAAGAAGCTAACATGTATCCACACGAATGGCTGTCAAATTCCATAGCAGTGTTAGAGCACATTCCAGAAGAGAAACGAGCGTCGAACGTACTCTTAGAGAAATCAAGCGACTTGCCAAGTGTAAAAACTCTTGGGTTGCATGAAATGGCTTGCTGATGAAGATTCGTTCACCTTTAACGGACAGACGATTAAGAATGACATTCCACCCACAAAACGGAATTTTTTAAAGAAAATGGCTTCGCTTTTTGACCCCATGGGGTTTCTTGCACCGTTACTTATTCAGGCTAAGATCATTCTTCAAGAGATTTGGACGCGAGGACTCGGGTGGGATGATGAGATCGTGGACAGCGACATACTTACAAAAGCAGATACTTGGCTAAACCAGTTGAACAAGTTGGATGACATCAAAGTACCACGATGCATACGGCTAGGAAAGGACGAAAAGGTCCTCTCGATCACCTTGCACACATTTGTTGATGCGTCCCAAGAAGCGTATGGTGCCGTGGTGTACGCTAAAGCCATTTACGTTAGTGGCAAGCAATCATGTCGTCTGATAGCTGCGAAAACAAAAGTTGCACCACTCAAAGCAATGAGCATCCCTCGTCTGGAGTTAATGGCCGCTGTATTGGGAACAAGACTAACGACGTCCATCACCAACACTCTTACAGTGAAGCCTGATCAAATCACCTACTGGTCAGACAGTATGAATGTTCTTTGGTGGATACGCAATGCAAGTCGAAAGTATCAAGTATTTGTCGCGAATCGTGTGACACCGCGGAAATTGGTATAGGCTTAGCCGCAATTCTCGATACTTAGACTTCAAACTTGGTGAGGAAAAAGATTTATAAATATTCAAGAAAATATGTCTTGCACAAAAGATTTGAAGCTTGCTCACGGTAAAAACGAATCGTCTGAATTAATAACCTTGTGTATACTTTAAGCCTCAAAATGGCCATTTCACAGCGGTCAGATGTGTATGATGAGCTGTCAAAAGATTGCAGAATGCGTATTCAGAAGAAAAATTGAACTTTTTTAAGATATTCAAAAGGTTTCTCTTTGATAGGGCGATACAGAAATGCACAATTGTGAACCAGCGATTAGATTTTCGGGTTGAAACGTCTTAAACACCAATTTCTGCGGTGTCGAATCGTGTGGGAGAGATTCAAACGTTAACTAACCCGATTCAATGGCGTTACATACCATCCGAAGAAAATCCGGCAGATCTGCTTGAAGACGAAGAAATAACAGAAAGAACAATGACTGCTGTAAATGCAAATCCTGTTCAATCTTGGCGCTTACAACCAACTTTGTTTTCTTCCTGGCAAAGACTGGTTCGAGTCCGAGGGTGGGTTAATCGGTTTATAACCAACTGTAGAACTGTTGATGGTCGCATTCACGGAGAGTTGACTTCTGATGAAATCAGAGATGTAGAGAACGCAATTATAGCAGAGTCTCAAAGAGAATCCTTTCCATTAGAACTGCAAGCACTTCAATGTGAAAAGGAACTGCCGAAAAATAGCAAACTACTTGGTCTGTGTCCCTGTCTACACGAAAATGGCCTGATTAGATCGAACGGACGACTACAGTATGCTGAATTTCTACCTTTCGACGTCCGGTTCCCAATCATTCTACCGAGGAAGCACTGGGTTATCAAATTATTGGTAAAGTATTACCATGAGCAAGGCCGTCATATTGGTGGTATTAACCAAACCCTTGCTGATATCTCTTCACGATTCTGGATTGTGTCAGGGCGTGAAGAAGTCCGGGATTGGGAAAAAGAGTGTTCAGAATGTACACGAAGAAACGCAAAGGCAGCGACTCAAATAATGGCACCACTTCCAAACATTCGATTAAAAACCTCAATGAAGGCATTTTGTTACACGGGTGTCGATTATGCTGGTCCATTTTACACCGTACAAGGAAGAGGAAAACGTCGACAAAAACGATACCTTTGTCTATTTACCTGCTTATCCTGCAGAGCAGTCCATCTCGAAATGGCCTTTTCTATGGATACAGATTCATTTCTTAACGCATTTTATCGGATCGTAAATCGGCGAGGCTTACCCGAGGAGATGATTTCGGACAACGGAACTAATTTCGTTGGGGCCGAAAAGGAATTACGTCAGCTGGTTAAACGACTAGACAAGAACAGAATTATAGCATCGACGTCAAATAAAGGGTTGAAATGGCTTTTCAATCCGCCACACGCACCGCACTTTGGAGGAGTGTTTGAAACAATGGTTAAGTCCGCAAAGAAAGCGATTTATGCCATATTTGGATCAGCAGACATTTCGGACGAGGAACTATTGTCAGCCTTTACGGGTGCTGAGGCACTCATTAATTCGCGTCCCCTTACCTATCAATCAGCGAGCCTCAAAGATAACATTCCATTAACACCAAATCATTTCTTAGTTGGTCAAGTCGGAGGAAAATTTGCCCCAGAAAGCGTGGACGAGACTGATTTCAATCCAAGAAAAAGATGGAGACGAGTACAGGAGTTAGTACGCCATTTCTGGCACAGATGGCTTAGAGAATGGCTGCCGACTTTAAATCGACGGAAAAAGTGGCAACAGCTACAAAAGGATGTCAAAAAGGGTGATGTAGTTTAGTGATTTCCCCTGACTCACCTAGAGGACATTGGCCGTTGGGAAGAATTGTTAGCGTTCATCCAGGAGAAGATGGACACATACGCGTCGTGAAAGTGCGAATTGGGGAGACAGTATTCACAAGACCAATAACAAAGATTTGTCCGCTCGAGTGCGAACGTTAGAGATTTCGAAAACGCTTCTTGTATTTATTATATATGTATATATTGCGTGTCTTTGACTTTTGTAAGTCAAGGAAGGGGAGAATGCTCCAAAGGAACTTAATTTTAGCGTGAGGGTAATGAACTGTTTAAATTATGCAGTACTATGTGTATATAAGTGTGGGAGTGTTCTGTTGTTTGTTATTCGTATTCGCTATTCGCATCGAAATCGTTTACCAGAAAATAAATATAGCAAAAAGACCAGTTTTTTCCTTCGAACCATCACTTAAAGAACTTACTCAGATTTTTTGCAAACTACTATACCTCAAATAGGGAAATTCATAAACACGAGAAATTCTATGAAACTTCTATGAAAGTCTTATCAAAGAACAAACTATGTTAAACATTCACTCGCTAGCGAGGGAGTTGATATCTGGAATAATCTTGACCCAAATTTTAAAAATATTGTATCTTACTATATAATATTATATACTTTCAAAAAAAATTAAATAGAAATATCTGAAAAGTTTTTTACCAATGAAAAACACTATCATTACCATCTACTAGAAATACATGCATGCAGCAACCCTCGCTATTTCAAACCAAGTACACAATTTCCTGAGTTAACCTGACCTAAACTTATATTATGAAATGACTTAGTAGGGAGATTAGGATTTACACCCGGAACCCGGGAGAACATAGCGGAATCCAAAGTTGTCCAAATTCTATGTCATGGACGGTTGACGTTGGGTGGTTTTGCAAGTTATACGCATGCGCGAGTAACGACTGGTAATCAACAAACGTTTCGATTGGCTAAGACAGAAAGTTTGAATTTCAATGAGAACGTCAGCAATTTAACTGTCATTTTGTAAACCTTTTTGTAAAAACGTTTCAAAAATTTTGTGAAAAATATAACGAGAACAAACAAGATACATGAAGCATGACAGATAGCAAAGATGAACGTGGATACAGTTAAGACAAAGCCGTGTAAGAGGAATAATGCAAGCTTATAAATGTTTTCAAAGGGTACTTGCATACTTTATTATTTTATTTCGTATTTGTTTCGCGTTAACGATGAGCTGTATTTGTATGATTTTCAGCTTTGCATGTATCATGTATGCCGTTTAATTTTTTAATTTTCAGCTTTGTATAATTTTCGGCTTTTTGTACAAACGCATAAACCTGTGAAAGGCTATTACACCTTTGCTTTAACGTCAAAAAGTGTTTTTGAAAGTGTAATTTGAATTTTGATATCACAAATACACACTATATTAAAGTATATAAAACTTTTAGTTGTCGACTGCATTACAGAATAAAATAACATTTGAGCCGGATTTTTTATCTGTCTCTGAAGATTTTGTCCTGTTTTAATCTTCGAAACTTCGATTTCAAACCATTACTTAATTGCTGCCATCACTGTGCCATGCCCATGGTATAATGCAGCAAAATTGGACAGGTAATGTTTACACTAGCTTTATGATTATTTTTGTATTGAAAATACTCGTTAAAATATAATAAGACTGAATTGAGTTTTTGTGTCATTTAATAATATAATGTCATTAATAATGTCATTTCACAAAGTTTAGGTCAGGTTAGCTCAGGAAATTGTGTACTTGGTTGAAATAGCGAGGGGTTGCTGCATGCATGTATTTCTAGTTATATTTTACGGAGTATATTATTATCATTTATAGACCTGGAGCGAGGGGAATTCGACGAAATATTACCCCCAAGGGAAGATAAAATTATATCCCGAGGGCTTCGCCCGCTGCAGCGGGGTATTCGACTTTTATAGCATAATGTGAAAAAATTCGATGGAACTCCATGATTAATTTACTAATCACGTGGTACAAATCGAGCTTTCTGATTGGGTGATTTACAGTTGAGATATAATATTAGCAAATGTTTCCATCATTCAATACAAAATTAATCATAAAGCTAGTGTAAACATTGCCCGTTTAATTTTGCGGCATTATACCTTGCCAGCAATTAAGTAACGGTTTAAAATCAAAGTTTCAAACGATTAAAACAGTACAAAATCTTCACAGACAAAGAAAAAACTTCAAATGTTATTTTATTCTGTAATTGCAGTCGACGCCGGCGGCTAAAAGTTTCATACTTTATAAATATAGTGTGTATTTTTGATACCAAAATTCAAATTACACTTTCAAAAACACTTTTTGAAGTTAAAGCAAAGGTGTAATAGCCTTTCACAGGTTTATGCGTTTGCATAAAAAGCTGAAAATTTAACAAATAAACGGCATACAAAGCTGAAAAGTATACAAATACGGCACATTCTTACCGCGAAACAAATACGAAATAAACAAAGTAAACACGTACCTTTGTCTTTGAAAATATTTATAAGCTTGCAGATTATGAATTATTCCTCTTACACGGCTTTGTCTTGACTTTATCCATGTTCATCTTTGCTATCTGCCATGCTTCATACACTGTATCTTGTTTCTTCTCCTTTTACTTTCTTTGCACAAAGTTTATGAAACGCTTTTACAAAAATGTTTACGAAATGACAATTAAATTGCTGACGTTCTCATTGAAATACAAACTTTCTGTCTCAGCCAATCAGAACGTTCGTTGATTACTCGCCCATGTGCATAACTTACAAAACCACCCAACGTCGACCGTCCATGACAAAGAATTTAGACAACTTTGGATTCATATATATGTTCTACCGGCTTCCGGGTGTAATTCCTAATCTCCGAGCGGAATTAGTACCCTCGCAGGCGCTCCGCGCCCGCTCGGGGATAATCTACATGTAAAATTAAATGATTAAATCGGAAGTGTAATTTTTCAGAATGTCAAATTAGTTGAATTCTATTTCAGATCTTTTATCACCCAGTGGCTAGTTCGGACACAGTTTAGATAACCGCGTATACGCGTCTATTTGAAAAGCTCTGTGTGAATTTATCGTGGTTGAATGTGATATGAGGTAAGTTTAGATACTGCTTTGATTTTCACGGACTTACGAATTAAAACAGCTGCAAATACCTATAATGAATAATGACTAGCCGAATTCATACTATAGAGACGGGAAACTCATGTTAGACAAGAAAGTTGGTAAAAACCCGTCTAAATATGAATAGGAATGGACTGATAAATTTATACGTGTGATGGGTCGGGTAATTCTAAAAAACGTATCGTAATTATTACGATAAAATTCAGTTAAATATTTGGTTTGTTTTCTTTTAGCCTTGTTCCGTTCTTGACCGTGTTGATATTTCAGAAACTCGTCTCATTTATTCGTCTAAATTCGTTATTTAGTATAGTTTTGCTGATTTAACGACATCCGTTTCAGCCATAATTATAAGACCGGCTTGTTTCGTTTATGCATGTTATCACTTATAAGGTTTAAACAATCGCAGATAAATCAACACATATTAATAACATGAATATTTAGTAATATCTGAGTGTATTCATTACAATCGTCTATATATCTATACGCATGTGCCCAGATGGGAAATAAAAACGCATATTGTGTTTTGCTGTGCATTAAAACTAGCCGCCATTAAACTATAAATTCATTATGAAAACCTAATGTTATGAGAAACATTTTTAAATCTATTTAAAGTGTTTAATGAAGTCTTGTATGCATGTTTCAGCATGTCCGGACATGAGTCACCTCGGCTCTAAGGTTCGACTACATTTATAGCAAACAGTGGATTGCCATTTAGATGTTAATATCGATATACTAAGATCGGGAGTGAGCCATTTCTAAGACATAACGCCACTGGGATTAGGAATATTGCTTGTACTGATTTTTATATCAATACTTGTGAACCTATAGCAAAGTATTAATATTTTTTCACTACGAAAACAATCTAGCGCAATAAACATGCTTCGTTTGAAACTGCTGGTAATCAATGTCCTGATCTCATGGATCTCATTTGTCTCTCTTGAAAAAAAGGTCAGATATTCTCGATGTTAATTCTTCATCATTGTTTCTTTTGATATACCTTACTAAACAGAGTTTTTACAAACTATTTTCTTGTGAATATTATATATCTGTTTCATAGTTAGTACATCATAATGTAGTTTCATATTTCATTGTTAGCGTCCTTTTAACATTTGTATTCTACCTGATGAAGGCTAAAGACTAATAGCTATAAGCTTGTAATAAATTAATATTCCAACCAGAGATCCTTTCTCAATCGTTAAACAAAGTTGTTTTTCCCGGATTGTCCAAAAAACAAATTTGTTGATGTATCTTGACAGATTGTGGACATTCAAACAGGTTATGATCCTGGCTCGTGTGGCAAGAAGGAACGTGGTTTGTTAAAATTGATCAAAGATCGTTCAAACAATGATAAACTGTTAATTTGCAAGAAAGAAAATGGAGTTTATACCTGGAAAACAACGGACGGTAATGTTCTATGTGTAATGTGTTTTAAAGTTCCACAATTTCAGTCTGTGAATTCCCGACGATTTGTTTAGTTTTTCGAACCGCACAAATGAACAACTATTTCGACTCTAGGTTCCAGTCCCTCTGGCGAATATTTCAACCCTGGCTACGACTGTACGGATATTCTGAATAAGAATTTTGAGTCTCGAGATGGATTTTATTGGATAAATTTGAATAAAGGTGCTCCCAAGAGGGTTGGTGAATTTGTCATTGGACGTATTTGTATTGCGATCCCTGAGTTTTTTTTTATAAATTCTCGCCAAGCAGTGCTTGCTCTTGCCGATTCTTAATTGTTTTCTTTACCGCAGGTTTATTGTGACATGACAACAGATGGAGGAGGATTTGCGCTGATTGGCAAACTCAACAGTTCCGCAACACGGAAAGTCCCATCCCAAAACACAACAGTTGATCCATTTGGTGAATCTCAGTGGTTCAGTGATCTCGGTGACGCTTCAGTTCTTGATTTCAGAATACAAATATCAACAACGGAAAACTTAGCTAAGCCAAATGCTCACTGGTATTATTGAAAATGCTCATTGAAAATCTAAGATCAAACTTCCTCAACCTACGACCATCTTGTCCCATCCCTTAATTGGAAATATGGTGTTAATCCAAGAACAATGCCTCTCAACGTTGTTGTGCTTTTTAAAATCGTTGCTTATCTTTGCAGGTCCTACAGACTACGAAATATTCGTCCTCTAAAAAATATCATGGTTGTTAATCAGGGGGGTTGTGGAGCAACATCACCAGGCATTGGTGACATCGCTTATGTTAAAGATCTCCGGACTGAGAAAATTGTCGCGACAAAATTCCGTTGTTCGCAGTTTGGAACACATCGTCATTTTCTTCTAAAAATCGGATGGGTTGGTATTTTAAGTTGTTATTTGGTTTACTGTTTACGGTTTCGTGTTTACAGTTTTTGAAACATTTCAGCGTAAATGGGACTAGCAATGCATCTTTTTTATATTAATTCCTGAAGTATGCCATTAATTACATTCTTCATTGATTTTAAGGCAATGATGAACGAATGCTTCGAAAAACCATGTCCCCAAGGTTTTGCTTTCCACTCCGTTTATCCTATCCAAACTGACTCGTCAGGATCTTTCAGGTATAACGAAGCATCGAGGCTTTGATGTACAGCAGAAATCGCATGAGGAAAGTGTCAACAAAACAGAGATAGATAGTGGGATTGTTTTAAAATATTAAGTGATTTCTGTATAATTATTACAGCTACAGTGTGGTGAGCGAAACATCTGGAATCAGTCACAATTCAACTGTATTTATCGGCTGTGATAAAGGAGTGGTAGGTCAATAGAACTGTTGTCATTCCAGACTTTGTAGACTTCGAACTTTGCATAGGCGTATAATTTTAGACTTCTAGTTGTGGATAAAGTTTTGTGTCCTTATGTGCCTATATTGAACTGAATCTAAAGAATCATTCTGAATTTTAGTGCTGCAGTTGTTTTAGTCCACCAGATAGCACAGAAGCTCTCTGTGGCACCGATTGTAAGGCAAAACCTGGCGCAAATGTGGTAAAAAAGGTTTATTCGTGGTTCTGGGTGAGGACTTCTTCTCCAAAAAAAGTTTGGGACAAATGCATGGATTATAAAGTTTCTGAAGCGAACGGAGACGAGGTCTGGTACAAGTTGGTTGGTCAAAACGTTGTCCCTAAGAGAGTAAGTCAGTGTGAATTTGCTTCCCTGCCTCTGGTAGAGATAATTGACTTATATATTCATTGGCATTAGAGTGTGTTTTATCTCTCCTGTGATTATCTACTACTTCCTCACTTAGGGTCGTTGTTCCACAAACGAACCACTTTTAAATGATGGAGTAAGTATATAATAACACCATTATGCTGGTATTAATTCCATGCTCTGGTGCATTCCGATTTCATTTTTAAATCATTACTATCAATTGATGTTGTGCTTTCTACCGTATAAAATCTCATTTCTACTTATGAAAGAATTTTTGAATTTTCCATTTTTGTCTTAGATTATAGTTGTTCCTGATAATAAGACTGTTGGTAAAATTCCAGCAGTCCCAGGAATATTAAAATTTCGAAAGGACAATCAAAAACTTTATGTGAGATCAAATGAAAGATGGAATGCAATCGCAGAAGAGAAAAAGGTAGCTACCGTATTATAATTATTTAGGAGCCATCTCTATTATATCATTTTTTACCGTCCCTATACAAGCTTGTCCTAGTCATTCATCGTTTATCTCAAATCGAATATTTTTCAGCCAAAAGTTCCCACTTCTTTTGTGCTTTTACTCTCCCTTTTAGGTCCTGTCTTTTCTTTAAGATTATATCATTATGGCTTGCTAACCTATCTTCAATTAGCAACCTGATTCTGTACGCGAGTCTACACGGTCTACCGAGTGTCCCAAAAAAGTACCTATTTTTAATTCAACATAACTTGTAAGCGAACTGAAGAATTTCAATCAAATAATCTATATTAAGTGGAGTAATGTCTAACTTAAAGTTTGATATATTACATATGAAGTTTGAACGAGTAGTGTCTGAGATATTTGCGTTTAAAATCGCAGCAACGTTTTGAAACTTGTCAAAAATAAAAAAAATGGCCAATTAAACTTGTTTTAACAATACCGGTTCGTAACATGGTGTCTTGTAACTTATTTTTTTGTTTTTTTTTTAAATCATTTTTTACTTGTTCTTATTCATCTGCAAATTCATGTCCACCAGCAGCAACACACTTTCTTGCCCGTGTCAGCATGCCATCAAAAGACCTTTGAATCATGTGGGCGTCCAAATTGCGACATGACCTAACAATCGCCTCGCCGAGGTTCTCTCAAGTTTTGAGGTTGTTGGTCATGAGGAACTTCCCAAATCTGCTGCTTTAAATAGCCCCAGAGAAAGAAATCACACACCGTTAGGTCAGGGGAGCGTGGAGGCCATGGCCAATCGCCGCGTTTACTCATGAGTCGACCAGGAAATTTCCCCTGTAGATATCGGATTGTTGCGTTTAACAAGCCATTTTTTGCTGATTTTTGACACATTTCAAAACGTTACCGTGTCTTTAAACGCGAATATCTCGGAAACTACTTGCTCAAACTTCATATGCAATATATCAAACTTTAAGTTAGACATTACTCAACTACACACATGGATTATTTGATTGTAATTCTTTAGTTCGCTTATAAGTTATGTTGAATTAAAAATAGATAGTACTTTTTTTGGGACACCCGGTATTAGGGCTGTTTTCAAGTTGCGCGTTTTAATTTCAAACGCAGGTACACGCACATAAAAGTCTAAATCCTTTTGCATGTCACCTTTAAAAAAACTAATTGAATAAATCGAAGGAACTTAGTTTCCTGCATATTTTAGTGTGCATTATTTGACCTAGATGTTAAATAATAAAAATTTAAAAGTATACGTGTAGTTTTCCGTACGTGTACGTGCGTATAAAAAACGTGTAAGTGGAAAGCAGCCTTTATTATGAAAAGATTGGCAAGTTTTTTTTGCTAACAGAGACCGCGGTGCAGAGTGGCTCCACCAATAATTTTCCTTAATTCGTCTTTAATTTCGAATGTTTTTTAGTTCGCTCAAATTTACAAGCAATATTTTTAGCAATTTGTTTTTTGCTTACAAGTATAAGCAGTGTATCTTAAATTACTAACCAATTCAAAGAAATGAGTATTCTAATTTCCAACGATATCTCTCGTAATAAATCCGCCATGTTTACAAATGGATTGAAATTAGTTATGTTCAGTGAATATGTTTGGCTAAAATAAGAAAAAAACAGAGACAAATAAAGGACAAGTATTTGACCATTAAAACAGCGTGGTTATTCTTGTCAAAATATTTGACATCATAACCAAAGCATGGTTACATTTTCCGGTATATTCGACCATGGTCGAATGTAGCGTTTTTCCGGCCATATCCGATGCTTCCAAGTTGCAACTTTATATAGATGTTTGTATAATTATGAGCACCAAACATGCTTGAAACTTAACATAGGACTAGCATTTGACCATTAAAACAGCGTGATTATTCATGGTCGAGTATACAGTTTTTCGGCCATATTCGACCATGGTCGAGTATTCCGTTTTCCGGAACCAAAGCATGGTTACATTGTTTCATGTTTGTATATGAGCACGAAGCAAGCTTGCAACTGACCATTAAAACAGCGTGGTTATCCATATCAAAATATTTGACATTATAACCAAAGCATGGTTATATTGTTTAATGCATGTTTGTATAATTATGAGCGTCAATCATGCTGGAAACTTTACAAAGTATCTACTATTTCAGAGGGCCATTTCAGAGTTCTATGTATATTTCAAAATTTTCCCGGACTCGATCTCCTAGCAGGCGCGCGGTTCCGAGCCCCAGCAATACGAAAAACGCTCCGCGGTCCATGACTAAAATATACTACAACGTTTGCTACGACTTGAATATCTTGCAAATTACAAATCGGTTTAAACGTCGGTAAGGTATATTCTTGTTATCTTGCACGTTTGCATGGAGACATCAAATAAGTAAATTGGCTTGCAGGTACACCACGTAAGCATTTAATACTGCAAAGTTTCGGTTCGTTACCCGGACCTTCCTCAGTGCAATATCAATGAAGCCCCGGGTTAACGTACCGAAAGCTTTGCAGTATTATTTACTTACGTGGTGTGCCTATAAGCTAATTTTTTATTTTCAATTCAAAAACATAATGACACTGGCGCAGGGTAGGTGACCCCATGCAGGATAGTTTCGATAAAATTTTGCAAAAATTTCGCGAAACATTTGCTTCTTCAGCATCCTTAAAATTAACGTTGGCTTCTTCAGCATCCTTAAAATTACCGGGATTTAAACCGATGCAATTTTTGCATTATTTTTATTTTAAATTTGCAAGATATTCAGGTTGTAGCAAACGTTGTAGTATATTTTAGTAAAGAAACTTTCCAACCTTGACATAATAATAGACCGAGTGGACTCACATACAAGTGCGAGTGCCACGAGAACGAAAACATTTTTGGGCTGCCTATGGTACGATTAATGTTTGGCCAAAATTGGATGAGCCGGCGGGGGCGAGTACATTGTACATTGACACAATTCTGGGGCGATGTACAATTGGCACAATTTTTGTTTACCTCTTCGGCTTTTCTTATTTCCTTAAGGGTTGACTTTAAAAACCTAGTAAATGACTTTCAATGACTTGGCTAACACTTTGTTGTATTGTTCACAACATCTTCAGAGCAATTACCGAGTAAACGTATTTATTAGGATGGGTTCTATATAATTAATACACATTTTTTTTTACGAAACCGTTACACTTTTTTAGGAATGAAAAAAACTTGTCAGTAATATATATATTAGTAGATTGTTGTTTAGTTTGCTTTCAAATCACCAGTGGACCGACCTAAAAAATCACCTTTATACACTGGCGGTCAAAAAGAACTGCTCAAAACAAGTTAAAATGCTCTCAAATGAATTGTTCCTCTAACAACGTATATATACGAGTAAAATTAATACAGACTAGATTACATGCTAAGCTATATGAAGTATTAATATTTTGTTGATCCTCCTTTGACCTTGATGACGGCCTTACACCGCCGTGGCATACTTTCATCTCTTGCACTATCCCCTTGACATTGTCCTACACGGATTTTCAATAGGTTAAGGTCTTTTGTGCATGTGTGCAGTTCAATTCATTTCTGTCACCCCTTCTTCCTGAAACCATTGCTTAATTGACTCTCTTGGAGGTGTAGCAAGTTGCAGTACGGTATACTGAAATATTGCTTGGAATGAGAGAATTATCCAAAATGCCTATGAAGCCCTCTCCTATATTTGCTTCTTTTTATGAAATTGTGTCTAAGCAGTTCTTTTTGACCGCTTGTGCATATTACAAGTTTGATTGTTACGATTCCTGTTACATATACGATAATAGCAAGATTTGAGCAGACCATTTTGACTGCCAGTGTATTTTTAGCTTTAATCGCCCAGTAACTTTTTCTCGTTTATAGCTTAACTCCGCCTTTGCGAAACTTACGGCTCGTTTGGACGACCTGACTCGGAATTTCGAAGACAAAGGTTCGGTAAAATGATAATTAAATAGAATATGTGCGTCCTAAATCATTACAACGGGTTGATGGAGTGCTTTTTCATGATCCTCTATAGAAGCTTGTATTCAAACTCATGCAGCCAGTTGCGCCCAATATTATAAATGCGGAATGAGACAAGATGGTGTTTATACGATAAATCCAGATGGCCTAGGATCGTTCCGAGTCTATTGTGATATGAACAGGGACAGGGGAGGCTGGGCCGTGTTTCAAAGAAGACAAGATGGAAGTCAAGATTTCTTCCTTGGATGGTCAGAGTATAAAACAGGCTTTGGTGATCTTAACGGCGAGTTCTGGTTGGGCCTTGATAAAATACATCGTTTGTCTAAATCTGGTCAAAATGTTCTAAGAGTTGATTTGATGGATTTCAATGGCGCTGAACGTTACGCTAAATATGGAACGTTTAGTGTGGCTGATGAATCCGACAAATACAGATGGAATATTGGCAATTATTCAGGTAAATCAAACCCTGCAGGGATAGATTTTGACTTTTTGACTTATTCGTACTTACCAGCACCTAGACTAGGTGCGCGTCAATTGCACAAATCTCGCTAAATTCAACAAAAATATTTGTTTATATCAGGTTAGGTAAGAACTACAAATCACGGAGTTTATATAACGCCCAGGAAGATTTTAAACATCATATTATTTCATTGTTGAACGCTGGTTTTCACAGCTAATAACATGCACCACCACTGCATTTTGATTCTTTTTAATAATTCGTGACCAAAAAACGAGCAGGTAATCAAGCGATTCATGATAATCAATTATCTTGCATTCTATACCATAAGATCAATAAGTCTCTACGGTAGTTTTGGGGCACAATGCAAAATTATTACACATTTTGTCATTACGATTTGTTAAAGTTGAACTTTATATTTGTTAATGAAACGAAAAATAACTAAGAATGGTTTAAAAAGATTCCCTATTTCATATGAATATGTCTAGCAATTTGACAAATTCCAAAACTTTTTGACCACTAAAAACAACAAGGCTAGAAAATTGACCGAGCGGTTGAAAAAATTACAGACCTTCAAGATGATTTAGAGCTCCCCCGTGTGACAAATGCAGCAGGTTTTCATTCGCTTTCGATACCAATAGATTAGTAATTAGTAGATTCCTTATAATAACAACCTTTAAAGTGAACCAAACTGGTAAAATACCTTTTGGTCCAAATTTTTTTTCTATTGAGGAGTTTTATTGTATTTGTCAAAAGGTAACGCAGGTGATTCTCTTGCTTATCACAATCAAATGCAGTTCTCCACCAAGGATAGTGACAATGATGCTTGGCATGGTAATTGTGCTTCGGACATCAAAGGAGCTTGGTGGTATAAGACCTGTCAACATTCTAATCTCAATGGCCTGTACCTGGGTGCAGGTCAAAGTAGTTACAGAGGGATAAAATGGCACAATTGGCACTCTCATTCTATGAAAAAGACAGAGATGAAAATTCGTCGAAACCAGTTCTAAGAAAATGACGAGCTTTAGTAGTGATATAAGCATGCGCCAAGAACATCGAGTGTGTTGATTTTTTTAATTGTAAACAGAATAATGCATGCAAAATAATTGCAAATAAATTTGTGATTGTGGTAAACTTACGTTATGATTGATCGATTTGTATACCACGTGAGGGAATAGAGTCACCTATCACCTCAATCTTTCTGTATAAACTACGCTCATCGAGCTTGGTCTGTTTAAAAAGACTTCGAACCGATATTTCTTGGTAAAGACCTCGCGCTCGGTTAATAAAAAGTTATTTATAAATCACACGATCTTATTCAGCGTTTTCGACGTCAGGTTCATTGGCATTGCTTGTTAGACAAAAGGAAAATGCAGTTTACTTGCTCATAGCAACAATTGCATTTGGTTTAACCATTCAATGTTTTCACTATGCAGAATTCTCGTATTGACGCATTTGATACTCTCATGCACTGAGTGATTTGACATTTAGTCCGCTCCTAAAATGGCAGCCATTTTTGATACGAGCCTGTGATTCCACATAGGAATTAGGAAAGCGGTATACTCCATGAATGTAGCCCGTTTTTGTGACATCGCTGGGTATTTTAAGACACTGGTCCTGACGGATTACGATCAGTGTAAAATGTTTGCCTAATAAATAAACGTTTGTCGAGCTTACGTGAAATTTTAGACAACACAAACGGCATGAGCAATGTCAAAAGACTGGGTCAAGGATTGTGATTGGTGAAAAACAAAAACTTTACTTCCGTTCAACGTACGTGTTGTCAAAAACGTTACTTGCTTGAGTTCATTAATGTTTTATTAGATTTATTATAATAATTATTAACATCATAATTACCAAAAAGCTAATGCGTAGAAGTACAGATTATCCATTCAGGACGAAGTTTTACTTGTTTGCTGCGGGCTTAATGACAAAAGTGCATTAGTCGATAAGTGCATTATTCAACAACGAGTATGACAACACATTAAAAATGATAAAATATTCAACGTCTTTAGTCGTTGATATATAAAATGAACAGAATAAAATTTTCCACACGTCATGTGTACTGCAGTAATGCACAGCGGACGCTACAGCGTTCGGAAGACAAAAATGTTGCAGCCATCTCCTGCTACTCGTGCGTGATTTTGTCTTTCATTTTCTTTTCCCGCAAGACATGAAACCAGAAACTGTACACATGCGCTTGCTCATTAAAATGAATAGAGTATAAATATATTCATAACTAGCATAATTACGCCCAGATCTGCTGACTTATACCTGCTTCGTTGATTGCATGTAAGCGTCATTTCAGCGACTGCTTGTCGAAGTAAGTACATCTAGTTGACACCTCGTAAAATCATGTTTAAAGAAATAAGCTTGATCGTACTGATAATCAAAATTGTACGTATCTCTTCACAGAAATGTTCTTCGAGGATTTTTATTACTATTAGAAACGGTAATATCTCGGTTGCTTTTTCCTAGTTAAAACGAATCGGGTTCCAAGTGTTGAACTTTTTCCTTTGAATATTTCCTTTCCCTTACCATTTTTGCTACTTTTAGGAGGTCCGTCTTTACGTCCAGAAGAAATCATATCAAATCATACCGTCAACTACGGAATTCTCCCCATAGAATGTTACGAGCTCTGCCAAAAGGAACCGAAATGTGTTGGATTCAACTACAGAGACAAGATCAATGTTGTGAACTGTCAACTGACCAACATCACTGGAAAGGGAAATCACGTTGAAACAACGGAAGAAGGGGAATGGATACTAATGAACGATAATAAAGCGGTATGTATTGGCAAAGTTACTGTTTATAAAGAGCTTGTGTGCAGAGAATATATAGCGGATAAGTCGTAAAATTAAACCCTTAACTTAGGCAGCAAAAAAAACTCATCCAGACGACGAACGTCTAGCTAAACTTTCATGTTTTACTCGTCATACGTACTCCAGCGCACTTCATGCAATCATTTCCAAAGGTCTCTTCACACAAATCGAATTTTGTTGGATCATATTCCCTTCTGATTGATGTTTTATAGTCTGTTAATTGTCTTGTATATGGGCAGCAAAGCACTTAAGCTAACGCAGTTCTGCTTTATGAATTACTTACTATATTCCATACGTCAGAGGTTAATTGGATACAAAATAATTGGATCGTGTGAACAGACCCTAAAATCATTCCCTTTTAGGAAAGAAGCGAGGACGAGAAGAGCAAAAATGACACTTCAGGTATTCTCAAGGAAGAACAATTGAAGTAACACTTTCTCTCACTTCCTCCCCTTAGTCTCTTACACACGCATTATCATACGTTATTATTTATTTAAAACTAATTCACAGCCTTTTAATCCCTAACAGCCCATGCATGTGTGGAACCGTCATGTCTAACGAACGACGTCATAGCGTCAAAAAGGCGATGCTTTCCGCTGTCGCGTTCTTTCTACATTCGTACACGCACGTAAAACATAAAATCATTAATTTTTTAAATGATATTTATGAAATCAACGATTGAATCTATAAATGCATAAGGTTGGATTCTGTTGAAGATTTCGTGTGTTTTTTCTGCAATAAAAATAATTATATAACAACTCAGACGGTTCTTTTTATTCCAACTGTCTTACAATTTTCTACTGATTCCTTCGTAAACCGATTGTTACGTTTACAAAATATGCTGAAGTACACTGCTGCTCAGTGTGCCTAAGAATTTTCTATTCATATACATGCAAATTCAACTCTCTCTGAAGACTGGAACAGTCAAATAGTTTCAATTCCCAACAACGTCAGTTTTTAGGGGGATATCGCATGTCGATCTTATTCTTTGATATTTTACAATTCTTTAGCTAGAAGCTGCGCCCATCTGTACGGATTAGGAGAGAGGAAAGATGGTATTTATACCATCAATCCTGACAACCAGGGATTGTTCAAAGTCAGATGTAATATGAGCACAGACGGTGGAGGCTGGACCGTGTTTCAAAGAAGACAAGATGGAAGTCAAGATTTCTACCTTGGATGGTCAGAGTATAAAGAAGGCTTTGGTGATCTTAACGGCGAGTTCTGGTTGGGCCTTGATAAAATACATCGTTTGTCCAAATCTGGCCAAAATGTTCTAAGAGTTGATTTGATGGATTTCAATGGCGCTGAACGTTACGCTAAATATGGAAAGTTTAGTGTGGCTGATGAATCAGACAAATACAGATTGAATATTGGCAGTTATTCAGGTAAATTAAACCTTGGGATAGATTTTGACATTTTTATTTATTCGTATACATAATTACACGAATCACGCTATTTTCAACAAAAATATTTGTTTATATCAAGTCATTTAAGAACTATAAATCACGTAGTTTATATAACGCATAGGAAGATTTTAAACATCATATTTCATGGTTGTACTCTGGTTTTCACAGCTAATAACACCACCACTAGTTTTTGCATTCACCATATTAATTTTTATGCATTTTGATTATTTTTAATAATTCGTTTGATTATTTTCGTGAGCAAAAAACGAGGAGGTAATCAAGCGATTCATAAAAATTAATTATTTTGCATTTCTCTCTGTGCTACTTTTGGGGCACAATGCAAGATTATTACACATTTTGTCATTACGATTTGTTAAAGTTGAACTTTATATTTGTTAATAAAACGTAGGATAACTAAGAATGGCTTAAAAAGATTCTCTATTTCATATGAATATGTCTAGCAATTTGACAAAACGCTTTGACCACTAATAACAGCATGGCCAGAAAATTGACCGAGTGGTTGATAAAATTACAGACCTTCAAGATGATTTAGAGCTCCCCCGATTGACAAAAGCAGGTTTTCATACGCGGAAATGAACGCAATCCAATCGATACCGTGCAGATTAGCCGTTTAGAGATGGAGTAAACCAAACTGGTAAAATTGCAGGAAAGGCAATTAATTTTGGTTTGCCTCGTCGAATTCAACCTACGTCGATGCGATTTAACGGCAATGTCTTCACCGCTACTACCCTACTTTGCATTTCATCACGCAAAATTTAAAGAATAATATTAAATTTTGGTTTATTTTTTGTCCATTGAGAAGTTCTATTGTATTTCTAAAAAGGTGACGCAGGTGATTCCCTTGATTATCACAATCAAATGCAGTTCACTACCAAGGATAGCGACAATGATGCTAATGGGGCTGCTACTGGTTATTGTCCTAGGACCTGCAAAGGAGCTTGGTGGTACAACAACTGTCATCATTCCAACCTCAATGGCCTGTACCTGGGTGCAGGTCGGACTAGTGGCAGCGGAATAAAATGGCACGGTTGGCACTCTTATTCTATGAAAAAAACAGAGATGAAAATTCGTCCAAACCAGTTCTAAGAAAAGGACGAGCTTTAGCAGGGACATAATTCATAAACATATTTCCTGCCAAGAACATACAGTGTGTTGATTCTTTTAATTTTAAACAGAATAATGCCTGCAAATCAATTTGTGATTGTTTATTATCATTCTAGTCGCAAAAAATACTCTATTGGTATAATAACAGTATAATAACAAACCTAAGACAATAATAACAGACCTAAGCCAGTAATAATTACTAAGGATGCAAAAATTGAGACTAGTTTACATAAACTCGGTTATCCGATATTCAGAGAATTGTAATATAACTTTGATGTATTAAAAGTGGTTTTTACGGCCAAAGACAGTACCCCAACCAAATGAATAGTGTTCAAATAAATAATTCAATGTTCTCATCATGCAATATTCTCGTATTGACGCATTTGATACTATATTTATTATGAAATAGAGAGGCTAAGATACCCGTAAACCCGGGTTTCGGTATACGGGTACGGGTAGCAATAATTTGTTCATTGGAATTTCTTGTTGTTTGCACGTTTCACGATACAAAGTATGCTTACCTCAAGAGGCTAAAGTCAACCGGGAAAGAATTGACGAGGTAATCTTCGAAAAATTGAGAAACACTGATGGAAATTCATTGAACAAAATAAGGCTATCCGTACCCGTACACCGGAACCGGGGTATCTTTACCTCTCTATTTATTAACATCATAATTACCAAAAAGCTAATGCATAGAAGTACAGATTATCCATTCAGGACGACGTTTTACTCAGTCTAATTAAACTAAGAGGGGTTTAAAACGGCGCTTTCTAACTTGGAAAGTTATTTGAAGATGTGCATAGTTCATAAACAAGCAAGATAATGGTGTTTTTCCAATGGTCGACATGTCATGCATAACAGGGTTCGCCAGCGGATTGTGCTTATATGCGTCTAAAATGCTAGTAAAGCCCATCGCATAGGAGAGCTATCAGCTGAGCTAACGACCTCGCGAGGCAGTCAGCTCAGCCCGTCCGCACACGAGAGAACCTTGCCTCTCGAGACGAATTCCTCACGAAAACTATCCGCACACGAGAGAAACTTGCTGAGCTAATAGACTCGTGAGGTATTTATTTAGCTCAGTTGATAGCTCTCGTGTTTGGCGGGCTTTTAAGAGTTTGCCTGATTGCTATCAGCCAGCGCTGTTCGAAAACGCACATGTATTGCACAAGATTTGACAGCGCTTAAACACACAAGAAATCATTTGTTTGTGTCCATATTGTAGAATGAAAAATAGTGCACGGAACTTGTTCTCGCTGTCATGAAGTAATGAAATATACCTGCGAGCCTAATTTTGAGAAACGTCATAGGCAGGACTCGCAATAACAGCCACTGGCAAATCCCTCGCGGAAAGGAACGCTTTTTGTCCGTTTCAACCTAATCAAAATAACTTTCGGCTTCGCTTTTGTGAAACTAAACTATTTTTATGATATATATTTTACAAACAACTATACGCTTTAATTACTCAATTAAGTATTTATGAGTTATGACCATTTATCGCAAGAGAGAAATAATATATTAGCTTCGTTTTTATTTTATTGAAAGTGTAGGGGTACGTGGTGTAGTGAGACTATTATGTGGACTACAGAGAAAGGCGGTTGAGAAGGAGGATTTAAGATCAAATGGTTTGTCCCATATTTTTGCTTCAGATATTTTTATGTACCTTACAAGGTATGGTTTAAACCCGCCGCACACGAGAGCTATTAGCTGAGCTAAAGACCTTGTGTAGCTGTTAACTCATGGATTTCAGGCTGAGCTAACTGCTAACTGTGCTACGCGAAATCGTTAGCACAGTTGATAGCTCTTGTTTGCTGCGGGCTTAATGTCAAAAGTGCATTAGTCGATAAGTGCATTATTCAACAACGAGTATGACATCGCAATAAAAATAATAAAATATTCAACGTCTAGTCGTTGATATATAAAAGTAACAGAATAAAATTTTCTCCACGTCATGTGTACTGCAGTAATGCACAGCGGACGCTACAGCTTTCAGAAGACAAAAATGTTGCGGCCTTCTCCTGCTACTCGTGCGTGATTTTGTCTTTTTTTTCTTTACCGCGCAAGACATCAAACCAGAAATTATTACTGCACACATGCGCTTGCTCATTGCAATGAATAGAGTATAAATATATTCATAACTAGCATAATTACGCCCAGATCTGCTGACTTATAACCTGCTTTGTTGATTGCATGTAAGCGTCATTTAAGCGACTGCTTGTCGAAGAAAGCACAGTTGACGACCTCGTGAAATCATGTTTAAAGAAATAACCTTGATCTTACTGACAATCAAAATTTCACGTATCTCTTCACAGAAATGTTCTTCCGAGATTTTTACTACTATTAGAAACGGTAATATCTCGGTTGCTTTTTCCTAGTTAAAACGAATCGGGTTACTAGGGTTGATGAACTTTTTCCTTTGATTATTTCCTTTCCCTTACCTTAACATTTTTGCTACTTTTAGGAGGTCCGTCTTTACGTCCAGAAGATATCATATCAAATCATACCGTCAACTACGGAATTCTCCCGATAGAATGTTACGAGCTCTGCCAAAAGGAACCGAAATGTATTGGATTCAACTACAGAGACAAGATAAATGTTGTGAACTGCCAACTGACCAACATCACTGGAAAGGGAAGTCACGTTGAAACAACGGAAGAAGGGGAATGGATACTAATGAACGATAATAAAGCCGTATGTATTTGCAAAGTTACTGTTTATAAAGAGCTTGTGTGGAGAGAAAATATATAGCGGATAAGTCGTAAATTAAACCTTTAACTTAGGCAACAACAAAAAACTCATCCAGACGACGAACGTCTAGCTAAACTTTCATGTTTTACTCGTCATACGTACTCCAGCGTACTTCATGCAATAATTTCCAAAGGTCTCTTCACACCAATCGAATTTTGTAGGATCATTTTCCCTTCTGATGGATGTTTTACAGTCTGGTAATTGTCTTGCATATGGGCAGCAAAGCACTGAAGCTAACGCAGTTCTGCTTTATGAATTACTCACTATATTCCATACCTCAGAGGTTAATTGGATACAAAATAATTGGATTATGCGAACAGACCCTAAAATCATTCTCTTTTAGGAAAGAAACGAGGACGAGAAGAGCAAAAATGACACTTCAGGTATTCTCAAGGAAGGACAATTGCAGTAAAACTTTCCTTAACTTCCTCCCCTTAGCCTCTTACGCACGCATTATCATACGTTATTATTTATTTAAACTAATTCACAGCCTTTTAATCCCTAACAGCCCATGCATGTGTGGAACCGTCATGTCTAACGAACGACGTCATAGCATCAAATAAGCGATGCTTTACGCTGTCGCGTTCTTTGTACATTCGTACACGCACGTAAAACTTAAAATCATTAATTTTTTAAGTGATACTTATGACATCAACGATTGAATCTATAAATGCATATAATAGGGTTGGATTCTGTTGAAGATTTGGCGTGTTTTTTCTGCAATAAAAATAATTATATAACAACTTAGACGGTTCTTTTTATTCCAACTGTCTTACGATTTTCTACTGATTCCTTCGTAAACCGATTGTTACGTTTATAAAATATGCTGAAGTATACTGTGTTGCTCACTGTGCCTGAGAATTTTCAATTTTTTATTCATATACATGCAAATTTAACTCTCTCTAAAGACTGGAACAGTCAAATAGTTTCAATTTTTCAATTGCCAACAACGTCAGTTTCCAGGAGGATATCTCATATGGATCATATTCTTTGATATTCTACAATTCTTTAGCTAGAAGCTGCGCCCATCTGTACGGTTTAGGAGTGAGAAAAGATGGTGTTTATACCATCAATCCTGACGGCCTGGGACCGTTCCAAGTCAGATGTAATATGAGCATAGACGGTGGAGGCTGGACCGTGTTTCAAAGAAGACAAGATGGAAGTCAAGATTTCTACCTTGGATGGTCAGACTATAAAGCAGGCTTTGGTGATCTTGATGGCGAGTTCTGGTTGGGCCTTGATAAAATACATCGTTTGTGGAAATCTGGCCAAAATGTTTTAAGAGTTGATTTGATGGATTTCAATGGCGCTGAACGTCACGCTATATATGGAACGTTTAGTGTGGCTGATGAATCAGACAAATACAGATTGAATATTGGCAGTTATTCAGGTAAATCAAACTTTGGGATAGATTTTGACATTTTTATTTAATCGTACATAATAGCAGGTATGCAGCGATTACACGAATCACGTAAATTTCAACAAAAATATTTGTTTATATCAAGTCATTTAAGAACTATATATCACGCAGTTTATATAACGCATAGGAAGATTTAAACATCATATTTCATGGTTGTACGCTGGTTTTCACAGCTAATAACACCACCACTAAATTTTGCATTGACCATATTAATTTTTTTGCATTTTGATTATTCTTAATAATTCGTTTGATTATTTTCGTCAGCAAAAAACGAGGAGGTAATCAAGCGATTCATAAAAATTAATTATCTTGCATTCTCTCTCTGTGCTACTTTTGGGGCGCGATGCGAGATTATTACACATTTTGTCATTACGATTTGTTGAAGTTGAACTTTATATTTGTTAATGAAACGAAGGATAACTAAGAATGGCTTAAAATGATTCTCTATTTCATATGAATATTTCTAGCAATTTCACAAAACGCTTGACAACTAAAAACAGCATAGTCAGAAAATTGACCGAGCGGTTGATAAGATTACAGACCTTCAAGATGATTTAGAGCTCCCCAGATTGACAAATGCAGCTGGTTTTCACACGCGTGAATGAACGCAATCTAATCGATACCGTGCAGATTAGCCGGTTAGAGATAAAGTAAACCAAACTGGTAAAATTGCAGGAAAGGCAGGCAATTTTGGTTTGCCTCGTCGAATTGAACCTACGCCGATGCGATTTAACGGCAATATCTTCACCCCTACTACCCTACTTTGCATTTCATCATGCAAAATTTAAAAAATAATATTATATACGTTTTGGTTTAAATTCTTTTTCGATTGAGGATTTTTTTTGTATTTCTTAAAAGGTACCACAGGTGATTCTCTTACTTATCACAATCAAATGCAGTTTACTACCAAGGATAGTGACAATGATGTTGATAGTAGTAATTGTGCTACGGCCTGGAAAGGTGCTTGGTGGTACAGGAGCTGTCATCGTTCTAACCTCAATGGCCTGTACCTGGGTGCAGGTCAAAATGATGCCAGTGGAATAAGATGGTACTATTGGCATATTTATTCATTGAAAATGACGGAGATGAAAATTCGTCCAAACCAGTTCTAAGAAAAGAACGAGTTTTAGCAGGGAATAAACATATGCCAAGAACATATAGTGTGTTATGCAAAGTTACTGTTTATAAGAGTTTATATGGAGAGAATATATAGCGGATAAGTCGTAAAATTAAACTTTTAACTTACGCAGGAAAAAAACTCACCCAGACGACGAACATTTAGCTAAACATCCATGTTTTACTCGTCATACGTACTCCAGCGTACTTCTGTTTTATCAATTACCCACTTTATTGCATAAATCAGAGGTTAATTGGATGCAACAAAATTGGATCGTGTGAAGAGACGCTAAAATCATTCTCTTTCAGAAAAGAAACGAGGACGAGAAGAGCAAAAATGACACTTCAGGTATTCTCAAGGAAGGACAATTGAAGTAAAACTTTCCCTCACTTCCTCCCCTTAGCCTCTTATGCACGCATTATCATACGTTATTATTTATTTAAAACTAATTCACAGCCTTTTATTCCCTAACAGCCAACGTGTGGAACCGTCATTTCTAACGAACGACGTCATAGCGTCAAATAAGCGCTGTCGCGTTCTTTGTATATTCGTACACGCACGTAAAACTTAAAATCATTTATTTTTAAAATGATACTTATGAAATCAACGATTGAATCTATAAATACATAGGGTTAGATTCTGTTAAAGATTTGGTGTGTTTTTTTCTGCAATAAAAATAATTATATAACAACTTAGACGGTTCTTTTTATTCCAACTATCTTAGACGGTTCTTTTTATTCCAATCTATCGATTTTCTACTGATTCCTTCGTAAACCGATTATTTATTTCATGAATGAATATGAATGTGCACCCTCTTACCTTTAATTACGCTAATGCTCAGTGTGCCTAAGAATTTTCTATTCATATACATGCAAATTTCACTCTCTCTAAAGACTGGAACAGTCAAACAGTTTCAATTGCAAACAACGTCAGTTTTTTTAGAGGGATATCGCACATCGATCTTATTCTTTAATATCTTACAATTCTTTAGCTAGAAGCTGCGCCCATCTGTACGGATTAGGAGTGAGAAAAGATGGTGTTTATACCATCAATCCTGACGGCCTAGGATCGTTTCAAGTCAGATGTAATATGAGCATCGACGGGGGAGGCTGGACCGTGTTTCAAAGAAGACAAGATGGAAGTCAAGATTTCTACCTTGGATGGTCAGACTATAAAGCAGGCTTTGGTGATCTTAACAGCGAGTTCTGGTTGGGCCTTGATAAAATACATCGTTTGTGGAAATCTGGCCAAAATGTTTTAAGAGTTGATTTGATGGATTTCAATGGCTTTGAACGTTACGCTAAATATGGAACGTTTATTGTGGCTGATGAATCAGACAAATACAGATTGAATATTGGCAGTTATTCAGGTAAATCAAAGCCTGAGATAGATTTTGACTTCTTGACTTATTCGTACATACCTGACCAGCACCTATGGTTACGCAGTCATTGCACAAATCACGCTAATTTCAACAAAAATATTTGTTTATATCAAGTCGTTTAAGAACTATATATCACGCAGTTTATATAACGCCCAGGAAGATTTTAAACATCATATTTCATTGTTGTACGCTGGTTTTCACAACTAATAACACCACCACTAGTTTTTGCAATGACCATATTAATTTTTATGCATTTTCATTATTTTTTTAATAATTCGTTTTTTTATTATTTTCGCGTGGCCAAAAAACGAGCAGATAATCAAGCGATTCGTAATAATCAATTATCTTGCATTCTATACCATAAGATCAATAAGTCTCTGTGGTACTTTTCGGGCACGATGCAAGATTATTACACATTTTGTCATTACGATTTGTTAAAGTTAAACTTTGTATTTGTTAATGAAATTAAGGATAACTAAGAATGACTTAAAAAGATTCCCTATTTCATATGAATATGTCTATAATATGACCACTAAAAACAGCATGGCTAAAAAATCGACCGATCGGTTGATAAAATTACCGACCTTCAAGATGATTTAGAGCTCCAACGATTGACAAATGCAGCAGGTTTTCAGTCGCGTGAATGAACGCAATCCAATCGATACCGTGCAGATTAGCCGTATAGAGATCGAGTAAACCAAACTGGTAAAATTGCAGGAAAGGCAGGCAATTTTGGTTTGCCTCGTCGAATTGAACCTACGTCGATGCGATTTAACGGCCATGTCTTCACCGCTACTACCCTACTTTGCATTTCATCATGCAAGATTTAAAAAGTAATATTAACCTTTAGTTAATTTTTTTTCCATTGAGAGTGTTATTGTATTTCTTAAAAGGTGACGCAGGTGATTCGCTGGCTCTTCACAACCAAATGCAGTTCTCAACCAAGGATAGTGACAATGATTCTTCGGGTGGTAATTGTGCTACGTACTACAAAAGTGCTTGGTGGTACAATGCATGTTATGATTCCGACCTCAATGGCCGGTACCTAGCTGCAGGTCAGAATGATGGCAGCGGAATTTTATGGAACAGGTGGAACTCTTATTCTTTGAAAAAGACAGAGATGAAAATTCGTCCAAACCAGTTCTAAGAAAATTCTAAGAAGTTCTAAGAAAATTTTTAACAGGGATATAAACTTATGCCAAGAGCATATCGTGTGTTGATTTTTTTAATTGTAAACAGAATAATGCACGCAAATCAATTTGTGATTGTTTACTATCATTCTATAGTCGCAAAAAATACTCTATTGATATAATAACGGTATAATAATAGACCTAGGTCAATGATAAGGTGAATCAATTATGATTTTTGGCACTTCACTCGATGCAGGTAAATTCTAGAGGTTTAAAGGTTCTTAATTTCGAGTGGAATTACACACACTTCAAATTCAAGCCAAGAACAGTTGATGGAAAAATGAGCCAACTATAGGTCCTCCGGCAGGAATCGAACCTACGCTTTTGCGATGCCGGTGCAATGCTCTTGCCACTCGAAATGAAGAACCTTTAAACCTCTAAGTCAATGATAGTTACTAAAGAGTATTATTATGTAAAAATTCAGACTTGTTCACATTAACTCGGTTATCCGATATTCAAAGAATTAGTCGGAGGTCTTTCTTCATACAGTCAAAAATGTTACAAGGCATCTACAAAATCTAAGGGGCTGCTTACATAAGCTTAGTTAGCCGAGATTCATGATAGTTACTATCGAAAAAGGTGAAATTTTGTAGTTGTGACGGTAGAGATTTTTAATGTCTGAGCCCTCAAAAATATATTTATTATTCATTATTTGTAAACTTTCGTTATGATTGATCGATTTGTATACCACGTGAGGGTATAGCATCGCCTCAATCTTTTTGTACAAACTACGCTCTTCGAGCTCGGTCTGTTTAAAAAGACCTGGAACCGATATTTCTTGGTAAGGACCTTGCGCTCGGTTAATAAAAAATTATTCATATAAATCATTCGATCTTATTCAGCGTTTTGGACGTCAGGCTCATTGTCATTGCTTGTTAGAAAAAAAGAAAATGCAGTTTACTTGCTCTTATCAACAATTGCACTTTGTTCAACGATTTAATGTTTTCACTACGCAATATTCTCGTATTGACGCATTTGATACTATCATGCACTGAGTGATTTGATATTTAGCCCGCTTCTAAAATGGCAAACATTTTAGTACCAGCCTGCGATTCCACATAGGAATTAGGAAAGCGGTATACTCCATGAATGTAGGCCGTTTTTGTGACATCGCTGGGCATTTTAAGAGACTGGTCCTCACGGATTACGACTAGTGTAAAACGTTTGCTAATAAATAAACGTTTGTCGAGCTTACATGAAGTTTTAGACAACACGAATGGCATGAGCAATGTCAAAAGACTGGGTCAAGGATTGTGATTGGTGAAAAACAAAAACTTTACTTCCGGTCAACGTACGTGTTGTCAAAAACTTTACTTGCTTGAGTTCATTAATGTTTTATTAGATTTATTATGACAATTATTAACATCATAATTACCAAAAAGCTAATGCGTAGAAGTACAGATTATCCATTCAGGACGACGTTTTACTCAACGTCTAATTAAACTAAAGGGGATTTAAAACCCAGCACACGAGAGAAACTTGCTGAGCTAACAGACTCGCGAGGTATTTATTTAGTTCAGTTGATAGCTCTCATGTGCGGCGGGCTTGTACCACCAAGCTCCCCTCCATGTCTCAACACAATCACCACTCCAAACGTCATTGTCACTATCCTTGGTTGAGAACTGCATTTGATTATGGATAGTAAGAGTGTCCCCTGCGTCACCTTTTAAGAATATATAATAAAACACCTAAATGAAAAACAGTAAAAAATGGCTAACTTTTTTTCAGTTCGCCATTTAATTCTGATATATGACGATGATTATGTATGCTTATAAGTAGTGTAGATTTTTAGTTTTTAAAACATTCATTGCCCACATGCATAATTTACACTAAGAATCTATAGATCTTACTTTACCTGAATAACTGCCAATGTTTAATCTGTATTTGTCTGATTCATCAGCCACACTAAATGTTCCATACTTAGCGTAACGTTTAGCGCCCTTGAAATCCATCAAATCAACTATTAAAAAATTTTGGCCAGATTTGGACAAACGATGTATTTTATCAAGACCCAGCCGAAACTCGCCGTTAAGATCACCAAAGCCTGCTTTATAGTCTGACCATCCAAGGTAGAAATCTTGACTTCCCTTTTCTCGTCTTTGAAACACGGTCCCGCCTCCACCGTCGATGCTCATTTTTCATCTGACTTGGAACGATGAAAACTGACGTTGGCAATTCAAACTATTTGACTGTTCTAGTCTTTAGAGAGAGTTAAATTTTCATGTATATGTATAGAAAATTCTTACGCAAACTGAGCAGCAGTGTACTTCAGCATATTCTATAAACGTAAGAGGGTGCACATTCATACATTCATGATTTAAACAATCGGTTTACGAAGGAATCAGTAGAAAATCGTAAGAGAGTTGGAATGAAAAGAACTTCTAAGTTACTATAAAACTGTTTTTATTGCTGAAAAAATCACCAAATCTTCAACATTATCTAACCCAAAGCATTCATAGATTCAATCGTTGATTTCATTTAAATGATTTTTAAGTTTAACGTGCGTGTACGAATGTAGAAAGAACGCAACAGCGGAAAGCAGCGCTTATTTGACGCTATGACGTCGTTCGTTAGACATGACGGTTCCACACATGCATGGGCTGATAGGGATTAAAAGGCTGTGCATTAGTTTTAAATAAATAATAACGTATGATAATGCGTGCATAAGAGGCTAAGGGGAGGAAGTTTACTTCAATTGTCCTTCCTTCCAACATCCATCAGAAGGGAATATGATCCAACAAAATTCGATTTGTGTGAAGAGACCTTTGGAAATGCAACGAGGTCGTCAACTGTGCTTACTTTGACAAGCAGTCGCTGAAATGACGCTTACATGCAATCAACAAAGCAGGTTATAAGTCAGCAGATCTGGGCGTAATTATGCTAGTTATGAATATATTTATACTCTATTTATTGCAATGAGCAAGCGCATATGTGCAGTAATTATTTCTGGTTTGGAAAAGAAAAAAAAGACAAAAATCACGCACGAGTAGCAGAAGAAGGACGCAACATTTTTGTCTTCTGAACGCTGGAGCGTCCGCTGTGCATTACTGCAGCACGGAAAATTTCATTCTGTTACTTTTATATATCAACGACTAGACGTTGAATATTTTATCATTTTTATTGCGATGTCATACTCTTGTTGAATATTGCACTTATCGACTAATGCACTTAACGACTAATGCACAACCTCAATGGCCTGTACCTAGATGCGGGTCTGATGCATGACACTGGGATAGTATGGAGTTATTGGCACGATTATTCACTGAAAAAGACGGAGATGAAAATTCGTCCGAACCAGTTTTAAGATTAGGAGAGATAAACATATTGGCTTCCAAGAACGTTACGTTTGTAGGGTTTTTGAATCGTAAACAGAACAATGCATGAAAACCCGGTACTTTAGTGATAGTTAACGAGAACACCATAATTATATTATAGATATATATCAATTTTTTAAAACTGTTGATTAAAACCATAGTTTGAACAATCATAAGAAGTGTTCAGCACTACAAGAGCTAGTGATGGTGGACAACTGTGTGGTAATGCACTCGCAGTACAACAGCTTTACTTATAAGTAATAACGCTATTTTGAGATTGAGAAAAAATAGACAATTTAAACTGAAATCCTAACTGATAACTGATTGTACTGGTACTATAAAGTTTGTGTGTGTTTCCAGGGTAACGAAGGAGCGCAGAAATAGCTTGCCTGCAATTTAGCCAATTTCGCCATGCCAGCTGCATGCCGAGTTTTTTGTATTTCTTATAAGGTGACGCAGCTGATTCTCTTACTTTCCTCAATCAAACGGAGTTCGCTGCCAAGGGTAGGACAATGATGTTTATGGAACCAATTGTGCAACATATTGTAAAGGAGCTTTGTGGTACAACAACTGTCATCATTCCAACCTCACAGACCTGTACCTGAAATGGCACAGGTGGCACCCTAGCATCCTTTATTCAATGAAAAGGACAGAGATGAAAATTCGTCCTAACTAGTTTAAAGAAAAGGACTAGCTTTAGCAGGGACATATGCATATTTACTGGCAAAAACATCAAATTTGTTGATTGCTTTAATTGTTAACAGAATAATGCATGCAAATCAATTTGTGATTGTTTACAACTATCATTCTAGTCGGTCGTAATAATTAAAGGCTGTTTTCATCTGAGTCCGGTTATCCAAGATTCAAGGGACAATTTTTGAATTTTTAAGTCTTTATGAAACCTAAAAAGCACATGCTATGCGATTGTTCGGGTGACAGCACGACTGCAAGGATCATTTTGTACCCCCCCCCCCCTTTCAACACTTCAAAATCGTTTCACGCTTCGTTAAATCTCGGCTAAACGGGATCATGTAAACAGCCCCAAACTAAAAGGTATATTACACGTTTGAAACTGCTGATTAGAATGGTTTCTGAACTATCAGAAGAGGTCAGAATGGCAAGCATGACTGCGACTTCCTTATTTTTACGTGGCCCAGGCCGCAATTGACATCTGGTGATTACTATGCGGTTCCTTTCTTTCCAAGAAAGTAAAGGTTAATTTTTACCTCCACTCTTCAATTGATTTTACAGCCAGTTGCGAAAAAAATGCCTATGGTTTGTCTTCCTTTCCAATATAAATCTAACGAAAAAGTTGGAGGTCATGATCAGTCTAACAGTTTCAATCCATAAGTATTTTGCAAATAGTACGACCCCGTTTTTGGCATCTTACAACGTATAATTCACGAACGAACGAAGCTCGCCTGAAAATCAATTTGTGGAGATTTGTTCCTCTACTAATAATTAACGAATCTACATCAGAAAATCACATTTTACACAATTTTTACTCAGTGATATTCACTGAGACTGAGGCGAATCATTATTCCAGCATAATTATAAAGGTCATCGCAAGGTGATCCAGTGCCACAAAATTACAATTAATGAAAAATTGAAGGGAAACAAGACTTAGTCTTCCTAATCGATTCTGGATATTTTTTCTCTGAGAATATCTAATAAACGCGAGAAAAAGGTTATTCATTGAACCTAGAAAGAAAAATACGAGATAAAAACGAAAGAGGCCTAGCCACAGATTAACAACCAGATGTCTCTCTTTTGACTAAAAAACGTGAGCAATTCTTACTGCGCATCGCCTGCTGCGCATGTTTAGCAAGTAACTAGAGCCTTCCATTTCGGCATTTCGCTTATTTCAAAATGGATTTACAAAAGATTAATGATGTTATCAGCACTGAAACACCTCATATCAATTAAATTTATTTATATTCATCACTCAATTTCACCACACGACGTCTAACAGCCATCCTATTGTCTAAAATGAAATTACGTGAAACTTTATATCGAGAGTCAGCGATCGGAGATGTACGTTTCCAAAACATCAAGGATCAATTTGACTCTTTAGAAGATTTCTGATTACTCAGTGGCACAAGTCATAGTTATAACACACAGTTTTAACACCGCTTTCATTCAAGAGGCTTATCTTGGACGTTCTCATTGTTCCATTTGATATCAGCGATCAGGTAAAATTATTTCATTGCTTTGATGTTAGTAAAATATAGCATGGAAAAGAGTAGAAAACTGCTAGTGCTGCACTACATGCTGGGAGTTAGACAACAAAGAACAACAGCATTTGTACTTCAATAACGCAGTAGATTTGCTTTAGACCGCCCCTGCTTCATTCAGATACCAGGGATTCATAGAAAATCTCAACTGTATTATCATGAGGAGCCGAAACACGTCATTACTATAGATGTCGTTCGCACCTACTCATGTATAATGATATTTGGGGTTAGAACGTAGCTAAATTAGGTTCTGAAATCCCACAATCCCGACCATGCAACATGGATTACCTCATGCTGCAACATCTTCTTTAAGGGTCTTTAAATCGCAGCTCTCGTATCTCTCAAAAGGCTAAAATCTATCGCGCATGTAGATGTGTTATAAAATTTAGTGGAAACAAAGGACGGTCATGTCACGACCATAAATTATGTTATGAAAACTATGGCTGTATTCCTGATGACCTATATAATCTCATTAAAATAATTATTGGACATATAATCAAAGAATAGCGAGAGATATGCATGTCACTTAAGAATATAGAAGGATGATCATCGATACTAACAGCAGCTTTTAAAATTTCAGCACTGCAGGCTACCCATAAAACATACGATAGCATGCAATTAGTTATTAGTAAACGTCGGATGAAATTGTACCAAGCCATTAGTTTAAACCATTAATAAATATTTACTGCATGTAATGTGTGAAAACGATTAAGACTAAGAAAATTGCATATTTTTGGCACATTTTAATAGAATGTGTGAGACGTAAAATGATATGTTTGAAAAGGAATTAAGATCTTTAGCCGGACAAAAATGAACAGTTGTTTATTTATATAACCTTGCCCGGTTAAAGATTCACGATATGTAATGTGTAAATCATATCAGGTTGTAATCGTGGACTTAAAATTTCAGGCCTAAAAATTTGACGACAATCGCTTCAGTGAAGTCTCGTGACGGTTTGTTTCGGAAATGCCATAAAACTTCAACAGTGCTTCTAAATAATTATTGCAATAACATGTGTCGCATACATTGTGTTTGTATCCATTTAAATTATACTAGTGCAGTACGCCTGTATAAACAAAGTCCCGCGTCCACACGATGCCAGAAGAATTTGAAAACGCAAGAATATTTTTTCGATCACCCGTACCGTCAACACGTATCCGGCGTTATCGACCACTGAAAAGGGAAGAATCTAAAAACGCTCTCAAGAGTAAAGGAAGTTAAAAGCGACGGCTGAGCGGATACGTGTAGACGGCTTTGCCGGATAAATAGGGACTTTACGATTCACGACGTGGCCATGCAGCTTGACGACGTGCTTGGAAAAGACACATCACACGCGAGACAATAGGTATGCATAAATTGTGGTCCCACGACCGCGTTGTCTTCTCACGACGCGCCTTAAAATCAGGCATTTTCCCAGCCTCTCCATGACATGAAAGCAACGGTTTCATAGCTTGTAGGAAGCTGCGATAACAGCTAGACATCGGAGGTTCTTAGCACAATTGAGACGTTTGTATGAATATTTAAAAGTCCTGGCAGCATAATAATTTGTCGTAGCTTATTTCTAGCAAAATAATTGACAAGCGTCGTCGAGCTAACTGCGTCGTAGATCGTAAACTCCCAAATTTGAAAACGATGACTTCACGTATCAAAAAGCTTCCATATTAACCAAGCTTGTTTCAAGTCTTAGTGGCTTTTGCTCAAGTTTGCATTCCTACATTAGTGTCAAATGAGTCTTCTTTAGCTTATTTTCATCGTGAGTGAAATCTTCGGCAATCCTTTCAGAATTTGCGGAGAATTATGCCCAAATTGTCGGAGTATGGTTACACACATTTTTTATACACGACATGAATTTAATTAATAGATACTCGACAACAATAATATTTAGGAGCGAATTGAAGTTAATGAATTCACGGCAACCAGGTATATAATCCATCGTAATTATTGCGACTCTGGTTTTATTAAATGAAAGTAATTAATCAGATCACCCCTGATGAAGACACTAGACCGGAATGTCGAAACGTTGGGTCGTGAAAGTTAATCTTTGTGTGGTGATCACTATCATTTAAAAAAACCAGGGTCGCAATAATTACGATGGAATATTTAGGAGTTCAAGCTTGTTGTGTGTCGAAACAAAGTTCTCATTCTTGTTTTTTGCTTCGGTTTTGGTAGATGTTTGTTTTTAATTTAACATCCCACAAGTGACACGCAGGTGGAAAACATGAAGGTGTCTTCCGAGATCAAATAACCTATTTTAACGAAGAAATATTTTTGCGTTTTCAAATTCTACTGGATCGTGCAGACGTAGCCAAAGGCGCTGCCTAATATAAAATGTGCTTAGTTTGACTAATGGTCGTGTTTCTTGGTTGAGAAGGCGGCGTCGTGGGTGAAGTGACAAATAAAACGCTTTCGTCTTTTTATTTTTGATATAAGGAACACTATCCTGCTAAATTTTTAGATTTAAGTCTTCTATTTAAGTCACGTTTGATAAGTTCGCCGGAATCTTGCATTGCGAGAACGAAATACATTATTTTCAATAACCGATAGTGTGTGCCATAGAAAGTATCAATCTTCTTCTGCGCATACATTCTACACTACATTATTAGGACATTATAATCAGTATTATATAATTAGGACAGGGCATTATTAGGACATATTATTAGCATTTTATTAGCATAATATACATTATACTCTAAATGCATCAATATATTCCTTAGTGGGAAAAACATGCGTGTGAGACATGTGCATGTTTATACCTAATATAACTCTAAAACCAGACCACGATTGAACCTTACGATGTATAGACTTCAGCTAAGACTACTTTCCCTCACCCGAAAGACGCTTTCAAGATAAAAAATATCATTTCGCGAGAAAAATATCATGCGTGATCGTGAAAAACCAGTTTTGGAACTTTTTTGAAAACATATTCCTGACTAACATCATAAATTATATTCTACTAACGGTTATCATCGTCTATGAATTTTCAACAGTTAATTTTAATAATTTATCGCGTTTTAACCATCTAAGAAGACAAAAGATAGATATATGCTCATGCGCGAAGTGAGTATGATTAGCGAGTGATAAGTATACCGTCTCTCTTAAAGTGGGAGAATTTATTGAAATCTATAATTGCACTGATGAAGGCCCGGGTTAAGGGACCGAAAGCTTTGCAGCATTAAACATTTACGTGGTGTACCTACAAGCTAATTTAGAGTATAATTCAATGTCACCATACCAAATTACAAGAATATTCACTGCTGTTATTATAAAGAGTATGTGTACACATGTCGTGTTAAATATTTGGGCCCACAGTAATGGGACCAGGGTGGCCAGATTTTGGCATTTTTATGCTAGATTCGGTGATTCGGTCGGATGTAAAAATCAGACCCACTTGATTTTAATAATTACAATTGCAAAATGTATTCTAGGAGGGGGCAACCTAACATGATATGAGCAGTTTGCTTATAAAATATTCATATTATGGTCACACTACTTGGGACGAGGATGTCACCAGGTCTAACTTAATTTCGTCAAGGTCAGCAGTCAATTACTTCAAGACTTTCGAGTAAACAACCGAAAAATAGTGGGTTAAATAAATGATTATACAAATATAGTTAATTGCTTTGTTTAGAATTATTTCTAAACGCATGCAGTAAGCTGTATTTTAACAAGTACGATCGTACTATTGGACCAGGAACTGGTGAAGTATATAGATTCAATCTTTTTAGTCGTTTTTTATGTATATGTATGCTGGGCAAAGCCTAAACAAATAAATAAAAAATAAGTAATGCCCTAGAGAGAAACGCATTTAACGCAATGGTCCTATAGTCATGCATGAATATATATTGTGTACAAAACAAAGGAAATACACGACCTTCTGGCTTGAACTCATAGTATATGAATATTAATAATATTAAAATTTGCCTCCCGCCACAATCTGACATGGCTTGCAAATCTTCTGAAGAATATAAGCACAAACAATTTAGCTCCGTAAGTCGATAGAGAATAACGTTTAAGATAGTTGTGTGAATTTTATCACGATCTGGTGCGAAATGACGGAGCCTTAGCCATTTGAACTTGCTTCAGTTATGCATACTAATATTGAATATAATCTATACGGATTACTACGCTACAATTTTGAGTTGCTTCTAAATTTCTTTAAAATAAAAAAATCAAAATTATAACTCCGTTAATCGATGGGGAATATCGCTAAGGATAGTTGTGCGAAGTTTAATTGCGATCTGATGCGAATTGACGGAGCCTTAGGCTTTTTTAAAGAGCGTCACCCGGGACTCCTTTTGGTAAAGAAGGTCAGCAAAATTTAGAAGGTATGTAAAACTAATTGAAACTGGGTTCCTAACACTAAAGGCTGACTTCATGTCACGTCCGCGTCGTAGATTTTGTGTATCCTAAGGTCCTTAATATTGGTCGGAGAGTGGTCTATATAAGTGATATTGTTTATTTTCTACCCCTAAAGACGACTGAGAATGTTTAGCGTAGGGATGTTTAGCTACTTTATAGCTTATTCTCGGCACGTAATTTAGTCTTTGTAACTGCAGGTTTACGAAATATTAAATTATCTGTATCTACCTAATGGCATGAATAATAATGATCGAAGCTTCTGGTAATGGTGCAAATAATTAAATGAAACATTATATCGCGATGACAGATCGGAATGTCATAGATTTTTAATTATTTTTCAGATCTTTTATCACTCACTGGTAAGGTCGGTAAGGTAGCTGCGTCTGTTTCAGAAGCGTTTTGTGGGAAATAACGTCGTTGAATGTGATATGAGGTAAGTTTACATTCTACTTTAATTTTCACGGAAAAGACTACGACAGCTAAGACGGCAAATCAATGTTTGTATATTTATATAACGCAGTCGAAATGGACTTGTAATTGCTTCAGAGCGTTTCTGTTGTTCATCGTCGAAAATCTCCGTTGCAATCCCATTAGTAACAAAACGTTGCAAGAAAAATAAATTGTGCGTTGTATAGCATATAGTTTTGCTGATTTAACGACATCCGTTTCAGCCATAAATATAACACAGAAGTGAGAACCTGCTTCGGAATTAATTCAACACATATTAACAACATAAATATTTGGTATTTGAGTGTATTTGCTGAGAAATCATAACGCATATTGTGTATAAATTCATTCATTTCATTCTGAAAACCTAATGTTATAAGAAACAAAATATTTCAAGTCTTGTATGCACGCTCTAGCATGTCCTGACCCGAGCGACCTCGACTCTAAGGTTTGACTATCTATATCGTAAACAGTGGATTGCCATTTAGTGTATGTTAAAGATAAGACAAAACACTACTTGGAACTGGAGTAATGTTTGTACTGATTTTCATATCAAAACTGCAATCCTATAAGTATTCAGTATTTTTTTCTTGTTTTTTTATCGTACGAAAACACCTTTCTCGTATAGCGCAATAAACATGCTTCGTTTTAAACTGCTGGTAATTAATGTCCTGATCTCATGGATCTCAATTGTTTCTCCTGAAAAAAAGGTCAGATAATCTCGATGTTAATTATTTTATTATTAATTTTGTTATTTGTTATCTCATCTTTGTTCCTTTCAATTTAATTCACTAAACAACTTAAGTTGTTTCTCTCGAATCATCCAAGCGAAATCAAAATTAAAATTTTAACGTATCTTGACAGATTGTAGACATTCAAACAGGTTATGATCCTGGCTCGTGTACCAAGAAGGAACGTGGTTTGCTAACATTGATCAAAGATCGTTCAAACAATGATAAACTGTTAATTTGCAAGGAAGAAAATGGAGTTTATGCCTGGAAAACAACGGACGGTACTTGCTCTATGTGTATTGTCAGTGATGTTGCGAAATTGTCTGCAAATTGCAGAAACTTTATTTAGTTTTTCGAGCGCCAAACTGAATATCCACTTCGTTTCTAGGTTCCAGTCCCTCTGGCGAATATTTCAATCCTGGCTACGACTGTACAGATATTTTGAATAAGAATTTTGAGTCCCGAGATGGTTTTTACTGGATAAATTTGAATCGAGGTGCTCCCAAGAGGGTTGGTAAATTTATTATTGGTCCTTTTTATAATTCGATCCCGAAGTTTTGATATATTCAGCTGGTTCTAGCCGATGCATTTCTTTTGTAAGTGGAATAGTTTACATCAGAAATCCGACGGGCAGAATTGAATATATAAATATTCCTCCCCCCCGTCAATTATCGTTCTAGTTACGCCCTAGATCAAGCAGTGATGTCTTCTGCAAATTCTTAATCGCTCATTTTTACCGCAGGTTTATTGTGACATGACAACAGATGGAGGAGGATTTGCGCTGATTGGTAAACTCAACAGTTCTGTAACATGGACAGTTCCGTCCAAAAATACAACAGTTGATCCATTTGGTAAATCTCAGTGGTCCAGTGATCTCGGTGACGCTCCAGTTCTTGATTTCAGAATACAAATATCAACCACGGAAAACTTAGCTAAAGCAAATGCTCACTGGTAATAATAGATTAAATTAATTTTATTGTCTGTTGAAAATCTAATATCAAATCTCCAAACTGCTTTAAGTCACATACCACCACGGTACATCAAGAAAATACCCTCATAAGAAATCTGTCAAGCTAAAATCAAATTATTCTATCGCTTGAGTTTTCAATATTCCAGTAACTGATTATTTATACACTAACCATTTTTCTAGACCAAAACATCTTCCTAAAAATTGTTCCTTACATTGGCAGGTCCTACAGACTGCGAAATATTCGTCCTCTTAAAAATATCATGATTGTTAATCACGGGGGTTGTGGAGCAACATCACCAGGCATTGGTGACATCGCTTATGTCAAAGATCTCCGGACTGAGAAAATTGTCGCGACAAAATTCCGTTGTTCTCGGTTTGGAATGCATCAACATTCTTTTCTTAAAATCGGATGGGTTGGTGTTTGTTGGACTCTTTTCAGTTTGTTTTACAATTAATTTTTGGTTGAATCACTCGTTTCAGTATGCTTTGGTGTTTTAGCGTGACGACAAACAAACTCTGAATAATTGTCTCATCAAATGTGGTATAACAGTCAAATGTCTGATAAAGGGCTTTCGTCGAGCACATGTAAGAATTACTTATGCTTTCTCTCCTGACGAAGGCGATTGGATGGAGATATCCTGAATCTTTCTTGCAGTTGCTATGCCACATATAATGAGAAGTTTTTCGACGATGCATGAAGAGGTCCTGAAAAATATATTCTCTCAATTACATTTACCATTTGCTTTAAGGCGATGATGAACGAATGCTTCGAAAAACAATGTCCTCTTGGTTTTGCTTTTCATCAAATGTTTAATATCCAAACAGACTCGTCAGGATCTTTCAGGTAAAACGGAACCAATACCCGTCACCATTTAAGTTAAATGAAGAGTAATACACACCATGTACGCCCTTTAGTACCTAATGTATATTACCAGGCGGTTTGTTTTATCTGTTATTGTATCGTCCATTTATATGCTTTCAATGGTTGTTCTAGTTGATAGCTTATTAAAGATGTTAACATCGTTAAGGTTATCACAATGCAAAGATAGCCCGCTATTTAGATAAATAGAGTATTTTTAACTAAACTAGGCGAATGTTTGTTTTTTTAAATAATCACAAGTTACGTAAGTGGCGTAACTAGAACGATAATTGGGGGGATTGTTTATTTATTTGTATTCAATTCTTCCCGACGGATTTCTTTTGTAAGTAATTACAATAGAAATCTGTCGGGCAGAACTGAATATATGAATATACAACCCCCCAATTATTATTCTAGTTACGTCTCTGATCCCAAGTTTTTCTATATTACCAGCTACAGTGTTGTTAGCGATACATCAGGAATCCGTCACAATTCAACCGCATTTATTGGCTGCGACAAGGGAGTGGTAGGTCAATAAATTTGCTGACATTGACACAACTAGAATAATCTGAAAATACATTGAGAAAGTATTATGGCCATTATGTATAATTATATTGGATTGAGAAAGTCATTTATCTCTTAATCCAAAAGAAATTTGTCACATATGTATACGAATTACTAGCTTCGATCTCGATTTTCAGTGTTGTAGCTGTTTTAGTCCGCCGGGCAGCACAGACGATCTCTGTGGCACGGATTGTCAAGCAAAACCTGGCGCAAATGTGGTAAAGAATGTTTATTCATGGTTCTGGGTGAGGACATCTTCACCAAAGAAAGTTTGGAACAAATGCATGGATTATAAAGTTTCCGAAGCTGAGGGAGACGAGGTCTGGTACAAGTTGATTGGTCAAAACGTTGTCCCCAAGAGAGTAAGTCCGTTTCTTTTTTAAACGCGACCCTGCATGCAGCGACGTTTTCGTGTAAATCTATATAAAAGCCATCTACCCCCAGTCTTTAGACATGCATGCAGTCCGTTTTAAAGGTCATCGAGATGCTATTAGGGTGTATATACTTATTATAATAAAATTTATTATACCTATAGTTTACTTTTCTCTCTAGGGTCGTTGTTCAACAAACGAGCCGCGTTTAAATGATGGAGTAAGTAATATTATATATCGTTGCAATCTTATGTCCGCTATGTCCAATCACAATACCCGGATCTACTTGCTAATCTCCGAGCGGAACGAGTACCCTGGTTGTCTCTACGCGTCGGCTCGGAGAGTCTGAAATGAATATGAACTGTATTGTTTATGTTCAGAAGCAAAGCCTTCAGAAGCTTTATATTGAAGACTGGCACGTGCGCGGCACGCCGGAGTTAACGCCAGAACAGGCATCTTGTTAATACTTACGTCGCCATTTAAGATAACTTTTGCTCGTATCTTCGGTCAACAAAAATATTCTGGCATTACTTTTTTTTAGATTATAGTTATTCCGGATAACAGAAATGTCCCAGAGGTCACAGGAATATTCAAATTTCGAGAAGATAATCAAAAACTTTATGTAAGGTCAAATAATAGCTGGAATATGATAGCAGAAGAAAAGGTAGGTATAGTTATAATATTTAAAAGCAACTATAAATATCTTTTTTAGTGTATTGTCTGAATCTTTAAATACCTCATTTAAGACCTTCTCTTGCTTCTAGATTCTAACTGAAGTTAATGTTGCCGTCGCTAAACTTACATCACGTTTGGATAAATTGAATCGGAGAGTGGAAACAAAAGGTTCCTATGCATTAATGTTATAACGCACCCTTAAATTAGATCTGCAACTATGCTATAGTGCATTCTCCAACTAAAACTCAGCAGAACGTTTGCTAATTTTGATAGCGAGTTGCGCTGGCTTGTATCGAACCGGAGCAAGAATGGACGGAGTCTACACAATAGATCCCGATGGTCAGGGATCGTTTCAAGTGAGATGTGATATGACCACAGAAAGAGGAGGCTGGACCGTGTTTCAAAGAAGACAAGATGGAAATAAAAAATTCTGCCTTCGATGGTCAAACTATAAAGCAGGCTTTGGTGATCTTAACGGCGAGTTCTGGTTAGGCCTTGATAAAATACATCGTTTGTGGAAATCTGGCCAAAATGTTTTAAGAGTTGATTTGATGGATTTCAATGGCGCTGAACGTTACGCTAAATATGGAAAGTTTAGTGTGGCTGATGAATCAGACAAATACAGATTGAATATTGGAAATTATTCAGGTAAATCAAACCCTGGGATAGATTTTGACATTTTTTTTTAATCGTACATAATAGCAGGTGTGCAGTGATTACACGAATCACGCTAATTTCAACAAAAATATTTGTTATATCAAGTCATTTAAGAACTATAAATCACGCAGTTTATATAACGCATAGGAAGATTTTAAACATCATATTTCATGGTTGTACTCTGGTTTTCACAGCTAATAACACCACCACTAGTTTTTGCATTGACCATATTATTTTTATGCATTTTGATTCTTCTTAATAATTCGTTTGATTATTTTCGTCAGCAAAAAACGAGGAGGTAATCAAGCGATTCATACAAAAGAATTATTTTGGATTTCTCTCTGTGCTACTGTTGGGGCACAATGCAAGATTATTACACATTTTGTCATTACGATTTGTTAAAGAACTTCATATTTGTTAATGAAACGAAGGATAACTAAGAATGGCTTAAAAAGATTCTCTATTTCATATGAATATGTCTAGCAATTTAACAAAACGCTTGACCACTAAAAACAGCATAACCAGGTGTCAATTGGGACGCAAGTCCTGTTCCTTTCCTCTGTCAGTGGCGTAGCCAGCCTGACGATTTTGTCCCGCTATGTAAATTTCGAGTTATTATAATTATTCATATCTTTAGAAATTCATTGTTTTCGCAGTCAATGAATACCAAAATATTAGCATAAGAATGGCTTAAAAATATTCTCTATTTCGTATGAATATGTCTAGCAATTTCACAAAACGCTTTGAGCACTAAAAACAGCATTGCCAGAAAATTGACCGAGCAGTTGATAAAATTACAGACCTTCAAGATGATTTAGAGCTCCCCCGATTGACAAATACAGCAGGTTTTCATACGCGTGAATGAACGCAATCCAATCGATACCATGCAGATTAACCGTTTAGAGATTGAGTAAACCAAACTGGGAAAATTGCAGGAAAGGCAGGCAATTTTCGTTTGCTTCGTCGAATTGAACCTACGTCGATGCGATTTAAGGGCAATATCTTCACCGCTACTGCCATACTTTGGATTTCATCATGCAAAATTTAAAAAATAATATTACCTTTTGGTCTAATTTTTTTTCCATTGAGGAGTTTTATTGTATTTCTTAAAAGGTAACGCAGGTGATTCTCTGGCTTATCACAATAAAATGCAGTTCACTACCAAGGATAGCGACAATGATAGGTATCGTAGTAATTGTGCTACGAGACACAATGGAGCTTGGTGGTACAAATCTTGTCATCAGTCTAACCTCAATGGCCTGCACCTGGGTGCAGGTCAGAATGATTTCAGCGGAATAAGATGGAACAGCTGGCACTATAATTCTATGAAAAAGACAGAGATGAAAATTCGTCCAAACCAGTTCTAAGAAAAGGACGAGCTTTAGCAGGGACATCATAAATATATTTACTGACTGGCAAGAATATCGAGTGTGTTGATTTTTCTAGTTGTAAACAGAAAAATGCACGCAAATCAATTTGTGATTGTTTACTATCATTCTAATCGCAAAAAATACTCTATTGATATAATAACGGTATAATAACAGACCTAAGTCAGTGATGGTTACTAGGGATGCAAAAATTCAAACCGGTTTACATTAACTCGGTTATCCGATATTCAAAGAATTGTAAAATAACTTTGAGCAAGTAGTCTTTATAAAACCAAGTTGCAAGAATATCGTAACGTTTAGGGATGTTTAAAGCGACTGCCAGAGATAATATTTTTTACTTATTTCAATGCCTCAAAGTCATTTCACGCCCATGGTTTGATCTCGAGTATCCGGGATCATAAATTCCTAACCAAATGAATAATACGTTTGAAACTTTTGACTAAAAAAGGTAAAAAAAAGGTATAACTATATAAAAAGGTAAAATTTTGTAGTTGTGACGGTAGAGATTTTTAATGTCTGAGCCCTGAATAAATATATTTAATATTCATTTTTTGTAAACTTACGTTTTGATTGATCGATTTGTGTACCACGATAGGGTATAGCATCGCGTCAATCTTTGTATACAAACTACGCTCTTCGAGCTCGGTCTGTTTAAAAAAACCTCGAAGCGATGTTTCTCGGTAAAGACCTAATAAGAAGTTATTCATATAAATCATACGATCTTATTCAGCGTTTTCGACGTCAGGCTCATTGGCAGTGCTTGTTAGAAAAAGAGAAAATGCAGTATACTTGCTCTTATCAACAACTGCACTTCAACAATTCAATGTTTTCACCATGCAGAATTCTCGTATTGATGCATTTGATACTATATCATGCAATGGGTGATTTAATATTTAGCCCGCGCCTAGAATGACAGCCATTTTAATACAAGCCTGCGATTCACATAGGAATTAGGAAAGCGGTATACTCCATGAATGTAGGCCGTTTTTGTGACATCGCTGGGCATTTTAAGACACTGGTCTTGACGGATTACGACTAGTGTAAAACGTTTGCCTGATAAATAAACTTTTGTCGAGCTTACGTGAAGTTTTAGACAACACGAACGGCATGAGCAATGTCAAAAGACTGGGTCAAGGATTGTGATTGGTGAAAAACAAAAACTTTACTTCCGGTCAACGTACGTGTTGTCAAAAACGTTACTTGCTTGAGTTCATTAATGCTTTATTAGATTTATTATGATAATAGAGAGGTTAAGATACCCGTAAAAGAGAGAAACACTGATGGAAATTCATTGAACAAAATAAGGCTATCCGTACCCGTACACCGGAACCGGGGTATCTTAACCTCTCTATTTATTAACATCATAATTACCAAAAAGCTAATGCATAGAAGTACCGATTATCAATATTGGACCACGTTTTACTCAGTCTATATTAAACTGAGAGGTGTTTAAAACGGCGCTTTCTAACTTGGAAAGTTATTTGATGATGTGCATAGTTCATAAACAAGCACGATAATGGTGTTTTTCCAATGGTCGACATGTCATGTATAACAGGGTTCGCCAGTGGATTGTGCTTATATGCGTCTAAAATGCTAGTAAAGCCCATCGCATACGAGAGCTATCAGCTGAGCTAACGACCTCGCGAGGCAGTTAGCTCAGCCCGGCCCGTCCACACACGAGAGAACCTTGCCTCTCGAGACGAATTACTCACGAAAACTATCCGCACACGAGAGAAACTTGCTGAACTAACAGCCTCGTGAGGTATTTATTTAGCTCAGTTGATAGCTCTCGTGTTTGGCGGGCTTAAGAGTTTGCCTGATTGCTATCAGCCAGCGCTCTTCGAAAACACATACGTATTGCGCAAGATTTGACAGCGCTTAAACACGTAAGAAATCATTTGCTTGTGTCCATATTGATGAATGAAAAATAATGTACGGAACTTGTTCTCGGTTATCATGAAGTAATGAAATATACCTGCGTGCCTAATTTTGAGAAACGTCATAGGCAGGACTCGCAATAACAGCCACTGGCAAATCCCTCGCGGAAAGGAACGCTTTTTGTCCGTTTCAACCTAGTCAAAATAACTTTCCGCTTCGCTTTTTACAAACTAAACTATTTTTATCTTCTATATTTTACCAACAGCTATAAGCTTAATTACTCAATTAAGTATTTATGAGCAATTATGATTACTTTATCGCAAGAGACAAATAATATATTAGCTTCGTTTTTATTTTATTGAAAGTGTAGGAGTACGTGGTGTAGTGAGACTATTATGTGGACTATACAGAGAAAGGCGGTTGAGAAGGAGGATTTAAGATCAAAATGGTTTGTTCCATATTTTTGCTTCAGATATTTTTATGTGCGTTACAACAGGTATATGGTTTAAACCCGCCGCACACAGCTGAGCTAAAGACCTCGTGTAGCTGTTAACTCATGTTTTTCAGGCTGAGCTAACTGCCTCGCGAAATCGTTAGCACACTTGATAGCTCTTGTTTGCGGCGGGCTTAATGTCTAAAGTGCATTAGTCGATAAGTGCATTATTCAACGAGTATGACATCGCCATAAAAATGATAAAATATTTAACGTCTAGTCGTTGATATATAAAAGTAACAGAATAAAATTTTCCGCACGTCATGTGTACTGCAGTAATGCACAGCGGACGCTACAGCTTTCAGAAGACAAAAATGTTGCGGCCTTCTCCTGCTACTCGTTCGTGATTTTGTCTTTTGTTTTCTTTCCGCGCAAGACATGAAACCAGAAATTATTACTGCACACATGCGCTTGCTCATTAAAATGAATAGAGTATAAATATATTCATAACTAGCATAATTACGCCCAGATCTGCTGACTTATACCTGCTTTGTTGATTGCATGTAAGCGTCATTTCAGCGACTGCTTGTCGAAGAAAGCACAGCTAGTTGACGACCTCGTAAAATCATGTTCAAAGAAATAATCTTGATCTTACTGATAATCAAAATTTCACGTATCTCTTCACAGTAATGTTCTTCCGGGATTTTTATTACTATTAGAAACGGTAATATCTCGGTTGCTTTTTTTAGTTAAAACGAATCGGGTTCCAAGTGTTGGAGAACTTTTTCCTGTGAATATTTCCTTTTCCTTACCATTTTTGCTACTTTTAGGAGGTCCGTCTTTACGTCCAGAAGAAATCATGTCAAATCATACCGTCAACTACGGAATTCTCCCGATAGAATGTTACGAACTCTGCCAAAAGGAACCGAAATGTGTTGGATTCAACTACAGAGACAAGATCAATGTTGTGAACTGCCAACTCACCAACATCACTGGAAAGGGAAATCGCGTTGAAACAACGGAAGAAGGGGAATGGATACTAATGAACGATAATAAAGCGGTATGTATTGGCAAAGTTACTGTTTATAAAGAGCTTGTGTGCAGAGAATATATAACGGATAAGTCGTAAAATTAAACCCTTAACTTAGGCAGCAAAAAAAACTCATCCAGACGACGAACGTCTAGCTAAACTTTCATGTTTTACTCGTCATACGTACTCCAGCGCACTTCATGCAATCATTTCAAAAGGTCTCTTTACACAAATCGAATTTTGTTGGATCATATTCCCTTCTGATTGATGTTTTATAGTCTGTTAAGTGTCTTGTATATGGGCAGCAAAGCACTTAAGCTAACGCAGTTCTGCTTTATGAATTACTCACTATATTCCATACGTCAGAGGTTAATTTGATACAAAATAATTGGATTGTGTGAACAAACCCTAAAATCATTCCCTTTTAGGAAAGAAGCGAGGACGAGAAGAGCAAAAATGACACTTCAGGTATTATCAAGGAAGGACAATTGAAGTAAAACTTTCTCTCACTTCCTCCGCTTAGCCACTTACACACGTATTATCATACGTTATTATTTATTTAAAACTAATTCACAGCCTTTTATTCCCTAACAGCCCATACATGTGTGGAACCGTCATGTCTAACGAACGACGTCATAGCGTCAAATAAGCGATGCTTTCCGCTGTCGCGTTCTTTCTACATTCGTACACGCACGTAAAACATAAAATCATTAATTTTTTAAATGATATTTATGAAATCAACGATTAAATGTATAAATACATAGGGTTGGATTCTGTTGAAGATTTCGTGCGTTTTTTCTGCAATAAAAAAAATTATATAACAACTTTGACGGTTCTTTTTATTCCAACTGTCTTACGATTCTCTACTGATTCCTTCGTAAACCGATTGTTACGTTTATAAAATATGCTGAAGTACACTGCTGCTCAGTGTGCCTAAGAATTTTCTATTCATATACATGCCAATTCAACTCTCTCTAAAGACTGGAACAGTCAAATAGTTTCAATTGCCAACAACGTCAGTTTCCAGGGGGATATCGCATGTCGATCTTATTCTTTGATATTTTACAATTCTTTAGCTAGAAGCTGCGCCCATCTGTACGGATTAGGAGAGAGGGAAGATCGTATTTATACCATCAATCCTGACAACCAGGGATCGTTCAAAGTCAGATGTAATATGAGCACAGACGGTGGAGGCTTGACCGTGTTCCAAAGAAGACAAGATGGAAGTCAAGATTTCTACCTTGGATGGTCAGACTATAAAGCAGGCTTTGGTGATCTTAACGGCGAGTTCTGGTTGGGTCTTGATAAAATACATCGTTTGTCCAAATCTGGCCAAAATGATCTAAGAGTTGATTTGATGGATTTCAATGGCGCTGAACGTTACGCTAAATATGGAAAGTTTAGTGTGGCTGATGAATCAGACAAATACAGATTGAATATTAGAAATTATTCAGGTAAATCAAACCCTGGGATAGATTTTGACATTTTCATTTATTCGTACATAATAGCAGGTATGCAGTGATTACACGAATCCCGCAAAAAATAATTCAACAAAAATATTTGTCTATATCAAGTCATTTAATTAAGAACTATAAATCACGCAGTTTATATAACGCATAGGAAGATTTTAAACATCGTATTTCATGGTTGTACGCTGGTTTTCACAGCTAATAACACCACCACTAGTTTTTGCATTCACCATATTAATTTTTATGCATTTTAATTATTTTTAATAATTCGTTTGATTATTTTCATGAGCAAAAAACGAGGAGGTAATCAACTAGCGATTCATAAAAATTAATTATTTTGGATTTCTCTCTGTGCTACTTTTGGGGCACAATGCAAGATTATTACACATTTTGTCATTACGATTTGTTAAAGTTGAACTTTATATTTGTTAATAAAAAGAAGGATAACTAAGAATGGCTTAAAAAGATTCTCTATTTCATATGAATATGTCTAGCAATTTGACAAAACGCTTTGACCACTAATAGCAGCATGGCCAGAAAATTGACCGAGCGGTTGATAAAATTACAGACCTTCAAGATGATTATTTTAGAGCTCCTCCGATTGACAAAAGCAGGTTTTCATACGCGGAAATGAACGCAATCCAATTGATACCGTGCAGATTAGCCGTTTAGAGATGGAGTAAACCAACTGACTTTCCATTGAGAAGTTCTATTGTATTTCTAAAAAGGTGACGCAGGTGATTCCCTTGATTATCACAATCAAATGCAGTTCACTACCAAGGATA